TTGGGCCGATCCCACCGGCGAGGCGAACTAGGAGAAAGCAAGAACAGAGGGTTGAGTTGACAGCCCTGTTTAACAAGTCTAAATTCCACTGTGTGAGACTCTGTTTCAAACAAGACATCTAAATCACTCTAGAAATGTACACCAAAATGCAGGTACTGTACCTAGCCCAAGTTGGACGAAGTCTTCATTGCACTTTGACTCTGTAACGTAGGGAGGAAAGGGAGTCCACCTAAGCTAGTACTGTACCCATCCTTATCACTTTGGTAAAATGAAAAGCAAAATCAAAATCATCCACCCATCCGTACGGTAGGGGTATGTGGGGTACTGCTGTCCCTTTTTATCCCGCTTCGGACCAAGTTGGTCACGATAATGAAACGGCAAACATAGGACCTACCTTGGGGCTGACACACGACGCCCGCGTCCTCGCTGTGCTGACAGTTGTGGCTGTACCGATCCACGTAGGTGCATTTCAGCAGCGACTGCTCGGACCCGTCGCACTGCACGTCATCCAGGTAGATGTCACCGCTCCCCTGGCCAAAGAACGCGGCCCACCTCGCGGCTATTGCCCCGGGGAAGCCTAGCATACGACAGGCCACCTGTGCCTCCTCCATCCCCCATCCATCATCACAGACCGTGTACCCCAGGTCCCACCATTGAGGTTGATCTCTAGACGGCCTTCGTTGTCTGTTGTTCCACCTTGGAGGCGCACTTGAACCAATGGATCTGAAATATTGGAGTTTCTGATTTTTAAGGTCCTATTTTTGGTGGACAAAATAATCTGGAGTAATAACTAAGGGAATGAAAGTGGGATGAAGCATCATTTTGGTCTTAATTCAAATCTTAAGCGCATGCTCAGCACAACCCAAATGCAGACAAACCCAACTATAACCAAATTAAACTAGATTCGGCCAAACTTAATCTTACGTATCCCAACCAACCCAACTAAACCCATCACAACACAACTCAACTCAACTCATGAGGCCCCACCCCAACCCCAACAACCCAACCAGGCGCGGTTCTAGAACCAATATTTTTGGGGGGCTAGCACGGTGGATCCAGAATTTTTTTCAGGGAGGCGTGCTGAAATGTTGACCGGCTATTTTTTCCAGACACTTAGGCCTCCGAAAATCAATACGGGGGGGGGGGGGCTCATGCCATTTTTTCAACCCAATATATATAACCCAACTATTCCACCTCATCCAGACCCAACTGTGAACCCAACCCAAACCTAACCCACCCACACCATGAACCCACCTGCTTGAGACAAACACTCCACGCCAACATCTTCATAATGACCGCAGTTATGGGTTCCCACGCCGTTATGCTGACAATCCTCCAGCCTCTGTTCCTGCCCGGTGCACCTCAGATCATCCAGCAGGATCGCCCCGGTGCCGGCACCGTACCGCACCAGGGCCGAGCTAGCCCCGGGGTAACCCAGGGATCTGCACACCACCACTGCATCTTGCATGTCCCACATGTCGTCACACACCGTGCCCCAAACACCGTTCAGTCGGATTTCAACGCGACCGCTGTGGGAGTTTGGGCCGTTGACCAGTCTGACGTTGTCGTCCTTACCATCTTTAAAAAAATTTAAAAAAAATCAAAGAAGAATTTTTTTGGGGGGGGGGGGAGGGAGCGGGGGAGTACTGTCTGGTATGATTGTATCTGGGCAAAAATGTCCATGAAAATGCATGGATTCGTCTAGCCATCATCTGTTCACATAAGTTACATTGCGATGATTGTATTTTATTTCGTGTACTTACTAATACTATGTTATTTCATGTAGAGTAAGTTTTACCTCCATCGTTTGATTTTATTGCCATAAAAAAAATGGTGGCAGGTTAGAGTGAGACTTTTACAACCTCGAGGACACATCGCATCCTCGGCTGTATCTCAAGTGTCGTGCGTCCCTGGCCCTAGGCAATCGTGAGTAACAGGTTGATGTCTCAAATCAAAGCAGTCGACAGTAATTTTATGTTTACCTCCTCCGTTGGTAGGCTCCGAGCACTGCACCCCAGCATCCTCCGAGTGCCCACAATTGTGCTGCTGTACCCCAGCATGCGAGCAGTGAAAGATGGAGCTCTCTTGCCCCGTGCATCCCAGATCGTCCAGCTGTATCGGTCCCACTCCGGGGCCGTACTGGGCGTGCGAGGCCGCCGTCAGGGCCGCTCCGAAGCCCAGCTCACGGCAGATCACGTTGGCGTCGTTCAGGTCCCAACTGTCGTCGCACACGGTACCCCACTGGCCGTTGGCGTAGACCTCCACTCGGCCTTCGTAGATGGACCCTCCATCCCGTAGCCGAACTGGCAACGGATAGGCAACGGATATTAGCAATGGGCAAAAATTAACGGATCTTTGCGTATTTACAGAGCAGCTCAACAAATTGTGTCGCTCCTTTCGTAACAAACCGTTCCAGTGACAGCTTTGCATCAACTCGTCCCTCAGGCCCTGGCCCTGTTTTATGTCACTTTAATGGTTCTCCACTGACCGCTTACCAATTATGCAGTTCTGGGATGGGTCAAAAACCTAATTTTTGTACTAAAACACTACTCCTTCTCCTTCAAGAAATTACATATCACAATCATCACTCATGCATGATCACGAATTCGTTGGCCCGCAGCTTCCGCGATCAATTCGAGCTTGTTTGCAGACTGAGATAATAAATTCAGTTGCATTGGCAGAGTACAACTAACTGTACAAGATCATCTCTTCTCGATGTTTGCTGCCAAAACCATTCTGCCAATACTGCTTTTACAAGAAATACCTTTTGATCGAATTGTGCCAGAAAAAGTGATGTCACGTAGTTGTTTCCCGTTTACTTTCATAGGGCAGATTATAGGTCAACGAAAGACGGGGCTATAAAAACAAATTGCAGGACACTTTTCTAAACCCCATTGGCGCAATCGATGGGGGACGGGGACATGTCCCCTCCACTTAAGTGGGCGGGGAGGGGTGGGGCATCATTTCGCTTGGCCCCCCCCCCCCCCACTTTTTTCGTCCTTGAATAAAAATTGTAGCCTATAGCCCAGGATCGCTGATTCAATGACTCCAAACTCGAAAAAAGATAAATGGTTAAAGTGGTCAGAAATTGCCTCAGATCTCACCACAGAGCATCTATCCCAAAAATTTCTCGGGCCGTTAAGCGGGCCCCGAACCACACGCCGCAAGGGCTTCGCGCTTAATTCGCGCTTACATTAGTTCTGATCAAGGTTGTCACCCCCCCCCCCCAACTTTATTGAGAAGCGATTAACGCCCTTGCTAAATCCCGGAAATTTTCGCATAACATGTCAGTGACATTTTGGAAAATTCTGTGAATAATGACGAAAGGGACAATATTTGGTAAGGTAATATAAAGAGAAAGGTGGTACAGTAGAGCCCCGAGCACATTACTGCCGTTATATTTTCACCTCAGTTATTTATAGCCTAACTTAAGAAGTTTTTAAATAAGTCCATAAAAAAATAAAGAAGAGTTGGTACCGTTTGATGATCCTCCATCTCCGCCGCTCGCCCCGGCGCCATCTCGCCGATGTCTGTTCAGCAGGTTTCCGATTCCCTTCGCTCTAGTCACCCGGACTCCAACGGCCAGCCAGGCGATCACCACGAGCAGCACGATCGACCGGGGCTTCACAAGGGTCTTCATCCCCATTGATGCTCGTCCCTCTTGCTGCAAAAGTTTCGAAACCCCTGATAGTTCTACAAGATAAGATGTGGTATGAGTACCGCACGCAGGCCTAATATCGAGCGTCGAGAGCGGCAGTTACAGACACAACTTCACTGTATCTGGGAAATACAGCCAGTTATCTCGACTACACTTTCAAGTTCGAACACTGACAAACCCGGAGACAAAAGTGAAAATGAATCTGGCAAAACGAAAATATTTAGGTCTACGTGCTCCTTAAAAGCAGTCGACTACCGTAAACAACCGAGCCTCAAGATCCGTTTCCAGGCTCAGTCTAGGTTACATGTACTTCAACTTGTATTGTTTTTGACCTGGTGTCAAGATGATGTCAAGCGTTGCCATGGGGACGGATACACGACCCGGCCCCCGCTGCCTCTGTCTTTAAGGTTTTTATTGCGAATCGAGGTCAGACCTTTTCGAGCGAGAATCCCCGAATTTCTACCTCCCCCAGCGGGAGGTAAGGGTGTTGGAATTCCATCGTAAAACAATCCGGATTAAATCCGGGTCTGTCGTTTTTCTTCAATAAGGGGGAAAAGGAGAAATAAGCGTTAAGGTTTGATTAAACGATGGAAATGCTGACTTCACTCGATAAAGTCTGAACAATCTTAAATTGAAAACAACTGATGTGGTTATTGACACCACTCTAAAAACAAATTGGTTAACATAACCAATCATTGGTTGAAATAACCAACATATGTGTCCAACCAATCGGTTGGTTGGACACATATTAAATATTTTTTTTTGTTATTTCAACCAATGATTGGTTATGTTAACCAATATTGTTCAAGATTGACACACTAGTTCGTCCTTTGAAAGTTGGAACAGAAAATGTGTTTCTCAATTTCGGTGAGAACTATATAGGGAAAAATGTGAGTGTCGTGGCCTCGTTGTCTTGATTGAGCATTAAAGTTGGTGTATACGTGCTTTTTGAGTGTGGCACCTTGAAAAATAGATTTTCAAATTGAATTGATCATTGTCTTGTTGTGAGCTTTCCAATGAGACATCGCACGAAAAAAATCGGCCTATGACAAGTAATCAATTAATTAATCTCAACTTTTGAATTAAGAGCGGGACGCTCCCAATTCGTTCTCGGAACGGTGTGCGCAATTTCTGAACTCAGTGGAGCGCGCCATTCAAAACCAATTTTTAAAACTGTTTAACAGCCTGCAAAAACAAACAAGCAAATATATTTGTTACAGGACATTGTATATTCCTCTAAATATCGTTCCGAAAAGAAAATCGAAATGTTGAAAAAGCACGTATATACCAACTTTAAGTTCAAGGTCTGTGGGTAATTCTGTAGGTTGTGGGTTCGAGTCCAGTCCGTGGGGTCATAGGTCTATGGTGCGTGTGTCATTCAGCAAGAAACTTTGTAACTATACTTGCTTAAGTTTCCACATAAAAGGTGAGTACCTGTGAGGGTAGACACTGTTAACTGTGTTTGGTTTTAGCTGCTTTACCAACAATAATGGTTGTCGAGCTTATACTCCCCAGGACAAGCTGGGATTGTCTTAACCTACCTCCATGTTTTAACATAGAGCTAGGTCCTTGCTTTATGGTCTTTGGAACGTATTATGGGGTGAATGCTGTAGCGCTGGCGTCCTCAGCACCAACACTGGTGAATATATATGCACGCTTAAATTATGAATATGTGTTACAATATGACTTGTCATGAATTTCCAAGTCATCGTGGTATTTCTGCATGCACTTTTTTTGGTGAGCCATTTACATCAATCTAATCTTCCCTGTAAATTAAGTTTATTGTTCCATGCAACGTTACGGCACAATTCAAAATGGCTCAAACAATGACTCGAAAAGGTCTGACTCCGACTCGCCATGATAAAAACCTAAAAGACGGAGGTCGCCAGAGCCGTGTCGTGTGTATCAATCCCATGGCAACGCTTGACACCATCTTGACAGCAGGTCAAAAAGAAGATGAAGTATACCTGTAGAACTTAGTTAGACTGAGTCTATAAACAGATCTTGAGGCTCGGTTGTTTATGGTAGTCGACTGCTTTTCAAGTAGCGCGCCTTGAAGCCTATAAATACTTTCGTTTTGCCATATTCACTTTCGCTTTTGTCTTCGGCTTTGTCGAGTCAGCGTTCGAACCTGTCCGCAGAGTAGTCGAGCTAAACTGTTTGGCTGATTTTTTTTTATTCAGACATCTTATTCAGTTTGAACGGTTACCGTTCTTTTTTTGTCTGCGAATTTCAAACTTTGGCTTGCAATTTGAATTTTCTCTGTATACTGCCGCTCTCGACGCACGATATTAATTCGGCCTGCATGTGCCACATTTCATCTTGTAGAAGTATCCAAAACTTTTGGGTTTCGAAACTTATCCAGCAAGAGGGGCGAGCATCAGTGGAGATGCAGACCCTTGTGAAGCCCCGCTGGGGCGCACTACTCGTGGTGATCGCCTGGCTGGCCGTTGGAGTCAAAGTGGCTAGAGGATCATCAAACGGTACCGAATCTTCTTCATTTTTCATGGACTTAGTATTTAAACTTCTAAAGCTAACTGATTGTGATCAAACTTAGCTGCAAAAATCTGCTCGGGGATCTACTGTATCGCCGATCTCTAAATGTGTTCCCTTTTATGACCTACAGCTACCAGTATACTAGTCGGTCAAATATTTCAAGGAAGTTTCCAAACGATTCTTTGAAACTTTTCCCGACCGTTTCTGGGAATTTCTTATTTTAAATAGCCCCACCCTAAGCCTGATTATAAAATCCTAATAACATAAGTAAACCAAAAGGTAAAATAATATGAGTATAATATGAGTATTTTATAAATATACATTTTATAATAGGCCTAGTCGACATCAAGGCTATTCATAGTGTTACGCTTATATCCATTGCCTATCCGGCAGTTCGTCTTCGAGACGGAGGGTCCATCTACGAAGGCCGAGTGGAGGTCTACGCCAACGGCCAGTGGGGCACCGTGTGCGACGACCTTTGGGACCTGAACGACGCCAACGTGATCTGCCGTGAGCTGGGCTTCGGAGCGGCCCTGACGGCGGCCTCGCACGCCCAGTACGGCCCCGGACAGGGACCGATACAACTGGACGATCTGGGATGCACGGGGCAAGAGAGCTCTATCTTTGACTGCTCGCATGCTGGGGTACAGCAGCACAACTGTGGGCACTCGGAGGATGCTGGGGTGCAGTGCTCGGAGCCTGCAAATGGAGGAGGTAACCACGGGATTCACTGCTCTGCAGTGAGAATTGTGTTTTTTTACCCACGAGCGAGAGACGCATGGCACTTGAGATACGAAGTCGAGGGTGCTGTGCGTTCTCGTCTCGAAGCTGCAAAAAAAATTAATAAATAAAAAAGTCCCACACCACTGCTGTCAAATTGTTTTGTTTTATGGCAATAAGTTGAAATGCTGGAGGTGGTAACTTACTCTACACAAATTAATATACAGCCGTCGCGATGGCGTTATACATGTAATGCAAAAATCCTATTTTTTTCGTGGATATATTACTATAGTTATCCCCCAGATACAATCCTACTATAGGTAGTAACCCCCCCCCCCCCCCATAAATAAATAAAGTTATTCTTCTGTGATTTTTTTTTAAAGATACGGACGACAACGTCAGACTGGTCAACGGCCCAAACTCCCACAGCGGTCGCGTTGAAATCCGGCTGAACGGTGTTTGGGGCACGGTGTGTGACGACATGTGGGACATGCAAGATGCAGTGGTGGTGTGTAGATCCCTGGGCTACCCCGGGGCTAGCTCGGCCCTGGTGCGGTACGGTGCCGGCACCGGGGCGATCCTGCTGGATGATCTGAGGTGCACCGGGCAGGAACAGAGGTTGGAGGATTGTCAGCATAACGGTGTGGGAACCCATAACTGCGGTCATTATGAAGATGTAGGCGTGGATTGTTTGACTCAAGCAGGTGGGTTGGGTTGGGTTGAGTTGGGTTGGGTTGGGTTGGGTTGGGTTGGGTTGGGTTGGGTTGGGTTGGGTTGGGTTGGTTGGGTTGGGTTGGGTTGGGTTGGGTTGGGTTGAGTTGGGTTGGGTTGGGTTGAGTTGGGTTGGGTTGAGTTGGGTTGGGTTGAGTTGGGTTGGTAGGGCATGGGTTGGGCTGGGCTGGGCTGGGCTGGGCTGGGCTGGGCTGGGCTGGGCTGGGCTGGGCTGGGCTGGGCTGGGCTGGGCAGGGCTGTGTTAACTTCGGTTTGTCATGAGTTTGGTTAGGGTTGAGCCGGGCTTCGGATTTGGATTTAGACCAAATGTTTATTTCATCCCATTTTCATTCCCTTAGTTATTACTCCAGATTATATTTTTCCACCAAAATTATGACCTGAAAATCACTGATAGAAACTCCAATATTTCAGATCCAGTGGTCCAAGTGCGCCTCCAAGGCGGAACGACAGACAACGAAGGCCGTCTAGAGATCAACCTCAACGGTGGGACCTGGGGCACGGTCTGTGATGATGGATGGGGGATGGAGGAGGCACAGGTGGCCTGTCGTATGCTAGGCTTCCCCGGGGCAATAGCCGCGAGGTGGGCCGCGTTCTTTGGCCAGGGGAGCGGTGACATCTACCTGGATGACGTGCAGTGCGACGGGTCCGAGCAGTCGCTGCTGAAATGCACCTACGTGGATCGGTACAGCCAGAACTGTCAGCATAGCGAGGATGCGGGCGTCGTGTGCCAGCCACTAAGTATAGGCCCTACGACTACGTTCACCGTTTTTTGTAACCATGACCTATCCAGTTCGTAAGTGACTGTCATACATGCGCATACAAGCACCACTGTTTGGCTCAACACACCACTTTTGTACTACATGTACTTCCATCTCCAATGGTTCCAATGCTACACCGTGTGCAGTGGGCGTGGTTTAAGTTGAAAATGAAGTCACACTTACGAACCGGATTATGATTAGCCTATACACAAATTTTTAAGAAGAGGAATAAAAGGAGAACAATACAAGTACTCCACAAACCTCTTTTCGTAAGGATGGGTACCGGTATTGTGTTTTCGTTTTTGAATTTCATATCTTCAAAGCTGAAAAGATGTGTATTACAGTATCTGCATTTTGGTTGTACATCACTAGCGTGATTCAGAGGTCTTTTGTTTAAACTGAGTCTCACACAGTGGGACTCAAACATGGCTATCAACTCAACCCCGTGTTCTTACTTTCTCTAGTTCGCCTCGCCGGTGGGGATCGGCCCAACCTAGGCCGGGTTGAGCTGTACCACGAAGGAGCTTGGGGTACAGTCTGTGACGACCAGTGGGACATCAATGACGCTGGCATCGTGTGTCGTCAGCTGGGTTACTATGGAGCGAAGGCCAGTGTGGGTAGTGCTCGCTTCGGCCCGGGATCTGGGGACATCCTCCTGGATCAGTTGGGGTGTCTAGGATGGGAGAGTGACCTCTTCGGATGTCCACACGGGGGGCTGGGGAACCATGACTGTCATCATGGGGAGGACGCTGGAGTCATCTGTAACGTGAACGGTACGATCTGATCCATAGTCGTAATAAAGTCGATCGCTAGTCAATCATGACTCATTTCCCGAATACCGGTACCTAGATGACACATAAGGGACGGACATGGAAAATTGTGGGCTTTTCTTTTTTATTACAAACTAATGTACAGTTTTCCACAACAAAATTGCAGCTTCATGACACATTTGAAGCACTAGTGATGTAATCTCTTCCATTACTTTCCTTCTCTCTGTAGAGGGAGGGTCATGGAAAATTCACAAGACCTTTGGGTAATTTGAGGAGGGGCCCTGACAAAACTGATGTTTCACTCCTTTCTGCATCCCGAAATTTGAAAATTTGATATCTATATATTCGCCAACAGTTCGTCTGGTTGACGGTGCGTCCAGCAATGAAGGCCGTGTGGAGGTCTACTTTCACGGCGAGTGGGGTACAGTATGCGATGATGGATGGTCGCTGGACAATGCCCGCGTGGTCTGCCGTGAGCTCGGCCTTGGAGATGCCCAGGAAGCCACTCAGAATGCTCGCTTCGGTCCTGGAACCGGGCACATCTATCTGGACGACGTTGGGTGCTCTGGGAATGAGGATACCCTGATAGAGTGCAGTCACCTAGCCATCGGGATCCATAACTGCATGCACTCGGAGGATGCTGGCGTCATATGCCAAGCACAAGGTATCCAATGAGTGGTCGCATGGTATAGGTTCCATGCGATTGAAATGTTCGCAAGCAGGTACTTTGTGCTTACTATGTCCAACCCTTTATATGACTCATACTTGCATGAAATCGGAAGACACTGGCTTCATATTATGTTAGACACAAGGTAGCCGATACAATAGTCGTAAGGCTTAGGTTCCATGCGATCGTAATGACCACAGACAAGTCAGGACATAAAGTCACAACAACTTTCATAGCCACACGTCCTATCGAACTATCTATTACTGCACATCATCAGAAGAATGGACAAAAACTATAGCCAACTGCATTAAAACAAAAATAATGCTAATCATCATTTATTTTATTGTATCCAGTCAATTTCCAAAAAAGTCAAGCTCTTCATTTTGCAGTGCGTAGGCCTACACGACCTTGCACATAACTGTAGAATTGTATAGTTTTAAAGAAAATGTCATGTTGTATTTTCAAATGTTCAATCCAACTTTTCTTTCAGAATAAATCTGAAGACATAGGCCTATTCAACCTGTCAAGATCAAAGTTTTAAATAATTCTTCAAAAATAACATGTAGAATTGAATTGTTCCTTTTAAGATTCGATTCGGCTGAGTGGCGGAGACAACAATCGCGAGGGCCGTGTGGAGGTTTTCTACAACGGCGTCTGGGGCACCGTCTGTGACGACTCCTGGGATCTGAACGATGCCACGGTAGCCTGCCGTCAGCTGGGCTTCACGAGCGCCCAGTCCGCGCCGACCGGGGCCCACTTCGGCCAGGGGGTGGACCCGGTGTACCTGGATGATGTGCAGTGTACGGGGAGCGAAGCTACGCTGATGTCTTGCGAGCATTCCGGCATCGGGCAGCACAACTGTGGTCACGGGGAAGACGCGGGCGTGGTTTGCAACTCCCAAGGTATCAGAAGTCAGGCCTCGATTTTCCTAACAACAGCAACAACGGCAACAACAGTAACAGCAACAGCGATGTTAGCTGCTGTTCAGCAGTTACAGAAACAACATCAGCAGCAGCAGTTTAAGCAGGCATTTAAACAATAGTACTAGCATCATTTAAATAGTTTTTCAAGCACACATTTTAAGCAGCACAGCATTTTTTCATAAGCAGCGAGCGGGAGTGTTGTTGCAACGATTATGGTAATAGCAGCACGGTCGCCAGATCTGAGCATGATGAGACAAATGATGAGACAATGAAACAGGGATTCTCATTGGTTCTTGATCCTCCGAATGTCTGCCAATAATATAGAGGTCATATTTGCCAAATGCTTGTAACTGGGTGAAAAAATTCTGAAGGTTTCTCAAAGTGCAGGACTTCCTTTCCTCCCACAGTTGGACTTCGTCTTGTCGGCGGGATTTCTCGCAACGAAGGGCGGCTGGAGATCTTCCTCAACGGCGCCTGGGGCACGGTTTGCGACGACTCGTGGGGACTTCAGGATGCGAGAGTAGCGTGCCTTCAGCTCGGCTTCCCCAATGCTCTGGCCGCCACGCCCGGCGCGTCTTACGGGAGCGGCACAGGACCAATTCTGCTGGATGACGTAGCCTGCGTGGGGCACGAGACCGACCTGAGCAGCTGCCAACATGCTGGTATCGGGAGCCATAACTGTAACCATGACGAGGATGCAGGCGTGGTTTGCTTGCCATCGGGTAAAGAAATCCTCTAAAAAGATCTTCTAAACAAGACGGCTTCGTTAAACAACATCTGTTGATAATGGGTATTTTACATTGGGGTCATTTCTACTCTAGTTTCTCCGAAGTAATACTTAAAAGCCTCCTCATATCAAAACTTGTTTATAGAAGATATTAAGAATTTTATAGCTCATACTTTATCTTTGATCTTCGGGAAAATATGCCAATACATCACAGACGAGCCACAAAACATTACATCTCTGGCTCGACCTTAGAACCGTTTCTATTTTAAAGTTTACTTCACATATGACATTTATTTTATCGGTGATTCTTTATGATTTATGGACTACAACAAAATACAGCAAGAACTAATTCAAACAAATGTCTGTTGTTTTCATGTTCCTACTTCTATACCCAAGTTCGTTTGGTCGGAGGTTCGAACTCCAATGAAGGACGCGTGGAGGTGTTCTCTGAAGGCACCTGGGGAACGGTCTGCGATGACGGCTGGGATGACGACGATGCAACCGTCATATGCCGGGAGCTGGGCTTCCAAGCCACGGCCGAAGCCCTGCCACAGGCTGCCTTCGGCCAGGGACACGGGCTGGACATTCTCCTTGATGAACTGGCCTGCCTGGGTGACGAGGAGACGCTGTTGATGTGCCAACACAACGGGCTGGGGAATCACAACTGCGGGCATAGCGAGGACGCCGGTGTCCGCTGCGGTGTAGCAGGTAATGAAAACAAAAGCCCCAATGTTCCAAAGCTAGCAAAGGAAAGAAATAAACTTGAACTGATGAAGTTTTAAAGTTGTCTGGATATTCCTAGTACGCGCACACAGACCGGAGGTTCTGCCAGACAAAACTAAATTAGGATTTTCTTTAAATATAGAATTTTCGTCACTTATTCTGCAGTCCGACTGGTCGAAGGTTCAATGCCCAGCGAGGGACGAGTCGAGCTCTTCGCCAACGGTTACTGGGGCACGGTATGTGACGACGGGTGGGGCCTAGTCGACGCAGGAGTCGTGTGCCGTCAGCTGGGCTTCAGTAGCGCCCAGGAGGCCACAATGTCGGCTCGATTCGGCGCGGGGACCGGGGAGATCCTGCTAGACGATGTCAGTTGTAGTGGCGGTGAGGAGCGGCTGACGGAGTGCTCGCACAATGGGATCGGCATGCACAACTGTAACCACGGGGAGGACGCCGGCGTGGTTTGCAATGGGGTGGCAGGTAAGGCGGGACATGGATCTCGTAAAAAGACCAGCAGCCAAATTTCTTGGACTGGATTGCTCAACAAAGATATGTGCTAAGAAAACAATTCAGCTGGAAACCAGTCACACAAGACAATCATTTCAATGATACATCACATACAGTTCTGACTGGTAACCTGGTTTTCTTAATCTAAGCAACTATGTTCTGTGCTTAGCAGCTCTGTGAAATGGGCCCAAGTATGGATATGGGCCCAAGTATGGATAGCTGTTGCTGTTTCAAACCGTACCTTGTTATATGTCTTTTCTCATACCCCGTGTTTGTCATGTTATGTAGGTGGTCAGTCCCCCTTCTGCAGTTTAATCAAGTTATCACCAGTTAATGACAACTTCACAAGTTAATCACAACTTGCATCATAAAGTCCCGTGAGTCTCGAGTGAAGTTTAATTTGAAGAAACTGTAACAAACACATTCCCCCGTCATTGTTAGCTCATTTCTCACGCTGATTTGACTTGTGATATGAATCACGATAGAGTTGTGGTTGGGTCTTCTGGCCTTCTTCCAAACTTCGGTCAGAAAAACTCATGCATTTTTTTACTGCTGGTTCGATCCACAGCGAACATTCGCCTGGTCGGCGGGTCGGGGCCCTACGAGGGTCGGGTCGAGATCTTCCACAGCGGCCGCTGGGGCACAGTGTGTGACGACAACTGGGACATGGTGGACGCGGCCGTGGCTTGCCGTCAGCTGGGCTTCACGGAGGGGGCCGAGCAGGCCACCACAGGGGCCCAGTTCGGTGCCGGTACGGGGGACATCTGGCTTGACGACGTAGGGTGTAGCGGAGACGAAGCTATGCTGACATCCTGTCCGCGCGCGCAGACTCACAACTGCGGTCATCACGAGGATGCAGGGGTCGTATGCTCCACACGAGGTGATTAGTGACCAAACGTGGTTACGTCTTTTAGCATTAGTTGCCATTCCGTGTGGTGACAGCTGTGGACTCTCTGCTACATTTGAAGCATTTTGTGCTTGAAATTGCATATGCACAGATTATACACACGTAGCATATCTAGCATGCGAGAAACCTTGCTTTGATTAGACGAACGACGGCAGTGGAGCTAAAGTGTCCTTCAATAGTGATCACCGTTTGAATGTTCACCGCTGAGGGCGTGGCTGTGTACGGGATCTACTACCATTATAGGCACAGTAGACGAGTACCACACACTGCAAAATACATGTAATACAGTGAGACCTGGGTTGCGTAATTTCCGGACATTGAATGTCATGTCCATAAAAAGTAAAGCGAAATGGTTCCGTCCAAGATCATACACGCAGAATAATAAACAGAATCTTGTAATGTTCTTTTCAGCACAACTCCGTTTGGTGGGCGGTCCCACCTTTAACCAGGGGAGGGTGGAGATCTTGCACGATGGTGTGTGGGGGACGATCTGTGACGATGAGTGGGACATCAACGATGCACAGGTGGGCAACTTAAGGGAGCTCTCGAAAGATCTTCAGAACTGTTCCGAAAGTAAAGTCACATTCGTGGCCATAATTGCCTTTAATACTTATAATAAAATATTGTCATGTAACAACAACAAGATCGTTCGAAGAGCATATCGCTGGTGCATGTAGCTCGTTTATTGTTTAAATAATCGCCCAGAGGTCCTTTCTTTTAAGCCGTGGTTGGTAACATATTGTGCCAAAAATTGAACTCCCTCACTATGTAAAAAGTCCTGGGTAGCATTTGCTGGTTCTTTTGTATTTCAACAATCCAATGGTAGGCTTATGTTTGGAAACATTAATATTAAGCTGTATTTTTTTTTTGGGGGGGGGGCAACGTTGACTGTCCATAGTTTGCCAACCACAGGTTGGCAATGAAAGGTTTATATACACTCATTCCCATATTCCTTGTTGGCGGTATAGTTGTGCGCACTTGGCAGTCCGCAGAGTCATTGATAATGGAATGTCTGGATAATTTTGGCCCTTGCTGTCGTAGGTGGTGTGCCACCAGCTGGGATTCTTCGAGGCCTCAGCCGCCCACCAGCACGCCGGCTACGGTCAGGGCACAGGCCCCATCTTCCTGGACAATGTCCAGTGTCGTGGGGATGAGACGGACATCATGCTGTGCCAACATAATGGCATCGGTCTCAACAACTGCGGTCACTCGGAAGATGCTGGGGTGTCCTGCGTTGTTGCGAGTAGGTGACAATCTGTGACAATCGGTGACAATCCGCGACAATCGATGACAATCTGTGACAATCGGTGACAATTTGTGATAATTTGTGACAATATGTGCCGTCATGACGAAAATGATAAATCTTCATGACTCGTTTTGTAGACATTGGTTTTATACACCCACCACTCACTAGTCATTGGGAATGGTGTTTGTGCAACTGTTTTGTTCAAAGAGATTGGCATTGGCAATTTGACCCAAATGAGAATGAGTTAAAGTTTCAGATTTCTTCATTTTCGAAAACATTTATACTAGGTATGATAAAGGTCATGGAGGTGAAAAAGCCCAAAGTATAGCTTGTATGAGGCTTGATTAAGCAAAAGGATCAATGTATAGAAACAAGATGGCCTTCTATCAAACAGTTCGGCTGCAAGGAGGCAACAGTCCAAGCGAGGGGCGAGTGGAGGTGTTCGGCCGTGGCGAGTGGGGCACCGTCTGTGACGATCACTGGGACTTGCAAGACGCGCGCGTCGTCTGCCGTCAGCTGGGCTACCCTGCCGCCCAGTCAGCCTGGAGCTCGGCCCACTTTGGCGCTGGCACGGGCCGGATTCTCCTGGACGAGGTCCAGTGTGAGGGGTCTGAGGATTCTCTTGGGGAGTGTCTGCACTCCGGACTGGGAACCCACAACTGCGGGCACAATGAGGATGCCGGGGTGACCTGCAGCGTGAACGGTGAGTCTATGGCATTGATGAAGGAGACACCAGAGGTGTCCTATATAGGTGTTCATCGCATCCCATGGAATACTATAGGTGACAATTCTGTAACTGTGGTTGGACTGTAGGCCAGGAGGTATCATATAGAATCCTATAGGAACCTGTGGGGACAGAAAACTTGTAAAGACCCTTTAGGGTTGTTTTACGACGCTTTTTTGATCAGACATACATCAGATACTTTAATGTATTAAAGAATCTTGTAATGCAATTATCTAGCATTTGATAAATGTTGGGTAACTTTTGAAATGTTCTGACCATAAAACAGCCATTCGTCTCGTCGGTGGCACCTCGCCCTTGAACGGCCGCGTGGAGATCCTTGTGAACGGCCAGTGGGGCACAGTGTGCGATGACGGCTGGGGAATATCGGACGCTCAGGTGGTATGCCGTGAGCTGGGCTACCAGAACGCCCTGGAAGCACCCACCAACGCACGCTTCGGCGCCGGCACCGGTAGCATCTTCCTTGACGATGTAGGCTGTACGGGACGCGAAACGGAGCTCCTCAGCTGCCCGCATCGGGGAGTCGGCACCCACAATTGTGGTCATTCAGAGGATGCTGGTGTGGTGTGTTCTAATGGTAGGTTCGAGAATGAAAGACCAGCTGAGCAGAATTTCAGGAAATAAAAGATAGATTACCGGTCAAAACTGACGAACTATTTTGACCAATGAAAGCTTGTTAACAGTAAAAGATTGGTAGTTTGGGGGGGGGGGGGGGGGGGCTTGCTACCAATATAGACAGTACAACAGGTAGGCCTACTTCCATTCGGCAAGTACATGACCTAATTCAATCAATTCGGATCGCGGACACAGCATTTTAATGACTTTCTATAGCACTTGTGATTGAATGTAATGATTGAAAGTAGCTATTGAGATCACAAATTGTTTCTCTTTACTATGTTTATAAAATCACCTATATATATTTCACTTGCATTTGGCACGCATGACCTGAATCAATGACTTATGGGCTTGGACACAGCATTTTATGGACTTTTGATGGCATTTGTGATTGAATGAAGCAAATGATTGAATGATATAATCACATTGTTTCTTTGTACCCCATAAATCATGCATATTTTACTGATTTTGGAACAGGGGCGGGTATCCGCCTGGCAGGCAGTCGGAGCGCCACAGAAGGCCGGGTGGAGATCTTCCACAACGGGGAGTGGGGCACGGTCTGCGACGACTCCTGGGACGACGACGACGCCGCGGTGGCCTGCCGTCAGCTGGGCCTCACGGGCGGGGTGGCCTACCAGGGGTACGGTCACTCCTGGGGTGCTGGCAGCGGGTCCATCTGGCTGGACGACGTGGCTTGTAGCGGTAGCGAAGCTTCGCTGTGGGACTGCACTCACCCTGCGGTGGGCGGGCACAACTGCGGCCATAGCGAGGACGCAGGTGTCAGCTGTATGTAACAGCAATCGTATCACACTCTTTGGAAGGTCGGACATATCTTCTTAGAGAACATTGATGACTTGACAGTTGGCTCATTCTCTACTTAGTGATCTTTAAAATAATTTTCTCAAAGATGTTGATAGGCTTATTCCATTTTTCAAACTTCATTTGCATGTACGTTAGTAAAAAAAAGAAAATTGTGAGAAAGTGAATTGAATTGTATCGTAGGTGAAATGCTTGACATTGTTACTTGCTGTCAAGTTTTGTTTTTGCAAATTTCAAGAAGCACGCTTTTCCATCGTAACATATCTTGCTTTTCATTGAAAAAATAATTAAATTTTTAGCTCAAAAACACAAATATTGTCATTTTGCACGTCCAATTTAAAATGCATGCATTCATTGAAACCTATTGAGTTTAACTTAAGTTTTTTTTTATTATTGTGTTATGGTATCATGTTCGATAAATACTTGGTTTAACAGGAGACATTCTGTGATTTAGCGCCATTTTAATCACTATTCATAAATAAGACAGTTTAGCCATTCCCATTGGTCGAGAGCCCATTACGTGGCCGGTCTTAAACGGATGATAAAGACATGGCGAGCTGGTCTTAAACACTTTTCCCTTGTCACATGAAATTTGGACTCCTATGAAAGCCGGTGCCTTTTACCGTTTCATTGGTTGAAATGTCACAATCCTCACGTAGGCATGCGCAATTGACCTATTGCCATTTTAGAGTCAGCCACGCCCCTTAGACAATCCTATGGATTTTTTTGTGTACGTTAAGTATTGTTTGTCTCATATTTTGCGCGTCCATTTGTATATCATGTAATTGGACAATATTTTACAAGCTGCGCGCGTTGACGCGATTCTACTGCGATAGGTTAATATACCAGCGTGTCAGCTAGTATTTCATAGTCCTAAATTCACAACTCACTCGCCACAGTTGTACTTGTGCGACATCACACAGTACGCGCGACACGCTCGCCAATCTCCATAAAAAGAGTTGTTTACGTCTTACTCGCGAGCTGGACACTGACACTCCATTATGTAGCTAGAGGGGTGTTTCGATAAACATGAATTAATATTGTTGAACAAATTCGTTGGACATTTTTCATTTTTGACATGTTTTGACTTTTGAACCGAAAGTTTTGATTTTTTTACCTTGGGCTTGGGTAATGATCAGCATCCAGCCTCCTACCAGTCTTAAACATAGTGTTTAACACCTCCCAAGCACACATTTATTCCCTAATTAAGGTAGTGTGTTATCTTCCTAAACATTTATACTTTTGCAAAAAAGCAAGATGAAAATTACTGTAAAATTCAGCATGTATATGTAACCAAAAAGTAGATTTAGATGCAGCAGCTTATGCATGTTACAGCCACTAAAGTGTGAGATTTGAATTAAATGAAGCATAAATATCCTATATTAAAAGATCCAATGCTGTCTATCTTTCTGCCTGTCTGCCTGTCTGATGTCTGTGTGTCACGTTTTTTTGTAAAAGGCCTAAAAGATTTCTGATATGCCCCGATTTCACTGAAGTCACAGTAAAGGCACATGAAAAAATGATGTATTTGTTTTGTTTTCCTAAATTTGTTTCTTTCAGACTATGAATACTTATATATTACATCATTATCTCTATGAAAACAATCCAAAACGTTTCTTTGAGACTTTGAATAGTTAAAAATTACATTATCTCTATGAAAACACTGAAAAAGTTATCTGTATTTCGAAACCGTAGAACCCCTTCTAAAAAAATTACGTCAATTGAGGGCGCACTGACAAGCTAGCGGTTGGATAGTTATATTACAACATAATCTCTAGGAAAACACTGAAAAATGTATGTGCATTTCGAAACCATAGAACCTCTTCTATAGTTTGGTTCCCAGACCAAAAGATTCCGACTATTCCTGATGAATCTTAGGTCCGGTAGCCTCCGGTAATACAATGTATTACAATTTACGTCACGTGACTAAAACGGGAGGAATTCCTCCTTTTTCCGAAAATTTCCGAGGTTTCCCGAAGTCGTTTCGTCGACAATCGGATAGCGCCCGAGTATTTCCGAGTATATAATATAGGTTTAATTAACTGCTAATTGCTTATTAAATTTATTTTAAATGAGTTGATAATTAATATTCATTGTTTTCATTTAGAAAACTTGAAATTCAACGACGATTTTGTGCATCAAATATACTCGGATCGTACGGGCGAACTTTTTGCTGCGTCATGTACAATTTTGAATTTGACGACCGTTACCGAGATTTTCCAAAACTCGGTCTTCATTCGGCTCCGCCTGCTAACAGTGCTATTTGGTTCCGTAATTTTGAAGATTCCAGATCAACATTACTCAATGTTATCTTACAAAAACATCAAACTGTATTATCATAACTGTATGATATTACAAAGCAAGTGATTTATTTAAAGATTTGATCAGAACATTAAAAGCTACAAGTGATAAAGCGAAATCGGAAACGAAGCCGCGCTTTGAAAAAGGGCCATTAATGTCGTCATGTTTATTTTTAGCCACGCAGGCAGCCTGACCCAAAAGCTAAAGGGCCCCTCTCGCATTAACAAGATTGTGCACCTTCTTCTCGAGATGGAAAACTACCCCTCGAAAGCACAAAATTAATACCCCTCTCGCAATAATGAAATTATGACCCTATCTAGATGGAACTTGAGTTGGCCATCAAAAACAATAGTGCATTTCACGATAACTACTCCAGATGGAAAAGTGCTCCTCCTCACGCGAATAAAATGGTCACTGAGCTGGCAATCAAACGCAAAAGTGCCCCTCTCGCGATAAAAAAGTGTTCTCTCTACTAACTAGTCAAATTCATGGGCCGACCCACTTTTTACTGCAGGGGCCGGAAGCGCTATTCAAAACCGACAATTATTATGCACACAAAGGGCCAATACATGGTGCTTTTCAGGGCGATTCATGTGCGAAATTCTGAAAAAGGCACCCAATACGGCAGATGCCACAAAAAAGGGCACTACTTCTTTTTGGAAAAGGTCACTTGTTCAGAAAAAGGGCACTTCGTAAAAAAAGGGCACTCTTTAAAAATTATTGGGGGGGGGGGGTTAAGCCCGTTGAAAAAAGGGTATTTGAATGGAAAAAGGCAGTCTTTACAAAATATTGGGGGGGATAGCCCTTTCACCCCCCCCCCCACCCCGGCTACGCTACGTTATTATATGTCTACGGTTTCAAGGCCACGTTGTTGACGCCAGATGTCTAAAAAAATTAGCGCCGGGTGATTCCAGCTGTATTTTATGTTTTTGTATTAGATTCGAAGTAACTCCAACCTCGTTTCCAGGGTGTCGAGCAGTACGCACCCACCACTACCTGCTCTCTCACCCTGGTATTGGGTCATTTGCATGTGCAAGATTTTTGAACATGAATGCAAATCGGATACAGGAAAAAAGTTTCCTATCCAGGGCTTACTATTGGAAACCAGGTCGAAAATAAAGTAAACACTGGGGACGAGGTTGTTGTAACCCGGACTCAAATATTAAGCGATGAAAAATTGAGTAGACACCTGGGAAGTGCTTTCAATAATAGCGAGGATTGTTCTTTCATCATAAAGGGAAAAACCGTGCACTTACCCAAACAGCCTTATCCGGTACGGGAAACAAACATTGATCCGGTTTTATCTCAAAGTTTTTAAAGCGGCAAAGCTGTTTATTCATTCCTTCAGAGTCCATTTGACAAACTATAGTGTTGTAAAAACGTGGATAAAGGAAAGTAAATTAAAGTTCCCACATTCCAGGAAAGCCGGTGTGACAGGTAAATCTGTCCCCGTGGTACCACCTCTTTTTTTCAAAGGCCACTTGTTCCAAAAAAAGGCCACTTCGTAAAAAAGGGCACTCCTCACAAATTATTTTGGGGGGGGTAAGCTCCTTGAAAAAAAAGGGCATTTGAATGGCAAAAGGCAGTCTTTACAAAATATTGGGTTTTTTTTTTAATACCCCCTTTACCCCCCCCCCCCCGCCCCCGCTGGCTACGCCTATGTTATTATATGTCTACACTGCAAAAACCGTAGTGTTAATTTAACACCGTTCGGTATCTATATAGGACAACACCAGTAAAATTTAACACCAGATGGTCCTATATAGATACCAATGGTGTAAATTTAACACTGCACTTTTTGCAGTGTACGGTTTCAAGGCCGCGTTGTTGACGCCAGATGTCTAAAAAATTAGCGCCGGGGGATTAGGCTACCCCTTTATATTCCCCAACTTATTTTTTAGAGCGTGTCCGGGCTTGCGACAGATTTATTTCCCATTTTGCTCCGGACCCACCACTCTCCCTAGTACTAGTCGACTGCATTTCAAGTAGCGCGTATAGGCCTAGCCTATAGCGCCGGGGGATTCCCCCTTTATTTTCCCCAACTTATTTTTTAGAGCGTGTCCGGGCTGGCGACAGATTTACTTCCCATTTTGCTCCGGAACCACCACTCTCCCTAGTACTAGTCGACTGCATTTCAAGTAGCGCGTATAGGCCTAGCCTATAGCCTATAAATACTTTGGTTTTGCCATAGGCCTATTCATTTTCGCTTTGTCTTCGGCTTTGTCGATCAGCGTTCGAATCTGTCCGCAGAGAAGTCGAGCTAAACTGTTTGGCTGATTTTTTATTTAGACATCTTATTCAGAATAAACAGTGAGGGTTTTTTTTTGCCAGCGAATTTCAAACTTCTGCTTTCAATTTGAATTTGCCAGAGTCGTTTTCTCTGTATACTGCCGCTCTCGACGCACGATATTAGGCCTGCATGCGCCACATTTCATCTTGTAGAAGTATCAAAAACTAAAGGATTTCGAAACTTTACCAGCAAGAGGGGCGAGCATCAGTGAGGATGAAGACCCTTGTGAAGCCCCGGTGGAGCGCGCTGCTCGTGGTGATCGCCTGGCTGGCTGTTGGAGTCCAGGTGGCTAGAGGATCATCAAACGGTACCAACTCTTTTTCATTTTTCATGGACTTAGTATTTGTTAACTTCTAAAGCTAACTGATTGTGATAAAACGTCTGTTCGGGGATCTACTGTATCGCCGATCTCCATAGCCTTACCAAATTTTTCCCTTTTATGACCTACAGCTACTATACTTTTACTAGTCGGTTAAATATTTCACGGAATTTTCCAAACGATTCTTTGAAACTTTTCCCGACCGTTTCTGGGGATTTTTTTTTAAATAGCCCCACCCTATAAGCCTGATTATAAAATCCTAATAACATATGTAAACCAAAAGATAAATATGTGTAAATTTTTTTCATGTAAAAGCAGTAATGTCGGCATGTAATGCATGTATATTGTGAAGGCAGGGGCGGCGGAACTGGGGGTGGGGGCTGGGGCTGGGGGGCACTTGCCCCCCCCCCCCCCCTCCCCGATTTTCCCAGGCCAACAAAATTTGGGGGCGAGTGTTATTCCTTTGAAAAAAATTGTCCGACCCCCCTTTTTTAAACAAGGGGGGTCGTCGGACAATTGTTATTTCCTTTGAAAGAATGTCCCATCCCCTAAATCCAGAAACTTAGGGTCTAGTGTTATTCCCTTTCTTTAAAAGGGGGTCGAGTGCATTAATATCTCTTTGAAGAATTGTCCAAACCCCCCTTAATTCAGAAAATTTAGGGGCAAGTGTTATTTCTTTGAAAAAAAGAGTGCATTAATTTTCTTTGAAAGAAAGTCCCAACCCCCAAATCCAGAAAATTTAGGGTCGAGTGTTGCTCCTTTGAAAACGAATCCCTTTTTTGTAAAGGGGGTCGAGTGCATTAATTTCCTTTGAAAGAATAGGCCGACCCCCTTAATTAAGAAAACATAGGGATGAGTATTTTCTTTAGAAAAAACTTGTCCGACCCCTCTTTTTAAAAAAAAAGGGGGGGGGGGTCGGTGCATTAATTTCCTTTGGGACAATAGGCCGCACCTCTAAATAAAGAAAACTTAGGGTCGGTTGTTTTTCCTTAAAAAAAAAATGGTCCAACCCCCTTTTTGAAAGAGGGGGTCGAGTGCATTAATTTTCTTTCGAAAAAAAAGGCCGCCCCCTAAATTAAGAAAAGAAAGGGTCGAGTGTTTTTCTTTTGAAAAAAAATTGTCCGACCCCCCTTTTTTACAAGGGGATCGAGTGCAATAAATTCGTTTGAGAGAATTGTCCGACTTCCTCAATTAAGAAAACTTAATTACAGTCGAGTGTTTGTCTTTTGAAAAAAAAACCTTTTTGTAAAGGGGGCTGAGTGCATTAACTTCCTTTGAAGAATTGTCCAACCCCCTAAATTCAGAAAATTTAGGGGCGAACGTTATTCCTTTGAAAACGTTTGTCCAACCCCCCTTTTTTAAAGGGGGTCGAGTGCATTAATTTTTCTTGAAAGAATGTCCCACCCCCTAAATCCGGAAAATTTAGGGTCAAGTGTTGCTCCTTGAAAAATTGTCCGACCCCCCTTTTTTAAGCGGGATGCGAGTGCATTTATTTCCTTTTTTTTACAAGGGGGGTCGAGTGAAATAAATTCCTTTGAAAGAATTGTCCGACCCTCTAAATTATGAAAACTTAATTACAGTCGAGTGTTTGTCCTTTGAAAAAAAAAACCAGCATTATTTTCATTCGCATCCACACACAACGTATCTTGACTTTATCAATCAAGCTATGCACCTTTAAAGTGTCTTCAGTAATACTGTACCCTTGTACCATAGAGCAAGGAACATGCTTGTATGCTTGTACCAATGAGGTAGACTATACATAGAATCAAGCGATTTTTTTTATAAAACACTGTTTCAATACCATACCGGCACACTCCGCAAAAAGTGGTTCGGCCACCTTTCTATACAAAACCTCATTGGCCGGGGTTTTGTGCGTAAACCTTATCAGACAGCCGACCACGCTTAATTGACTTCGGCAAAACCGCAAGTCCCATCATAAAGAATAAGTTAACCGGACCATTTTTTCGAAGAGTGTGTTTCTAATGGCTTGTGGGCTTTTAAGTGAACTTTTTCGTCCCCGAAAAGAAATGTAGCCTACGTTTGATTCTGTAGCTCAGAATAGCTGAATCAATGATTCCAACATCGAAAATTATGTTTAAATGATGATTTTTTGCTTTTAGAGCGTTTAGAATCCCATTTTTTTCAGGGCCCTTCAGCGGGCCCCGAACCCCACGCCGTTTAGGCGTCGCAATGGCATTAGTTCTGATGAGGATATACATAATTATAGCGTGTACCCCCCCCCCCCCCACACACACACACTTACCATATGGGGTTTATGAGGTACCTCTTTTGTTTGACCCTAATCCCCTTCTTTTGTTCTCCTTTGTCTCCTTAGAAATCGCAAAATACATAGCGTTACGTACGGCTATGGGGTACTTCAATTTCTAAAGACAGACTTGCGGGGTACCATTGTCCCTATTGTTACCCTTTGTTCCTGGTACCCCATAAGTGCCAATATGTAAGAGCACACACACCCAAGTTAACGTTACATACCAAGTGTTGACTTTCCATTGCTTTCGTGTAGTTAAGAAAAACTAGTGAAAAAACTCATTTTTCTCAAACTGTGAAAACTCTTTCAACCCAATTTTTTTTCTTTAATTCCCTTTAGTGTTTCTCTTCACTCTGCTACAGATAAACCTAACCCCAAAATACCTCTAAACCTGTTTTCCAGAAATGGGGAAACACTGTGTGGACTTGCCCAAGTCCACACAGCGTCTCCTCTACCTGGTTTTAATATATGGACCTCTTTTGTTCGGAAGTCCACACAGTGAATGTAAAGCCTGTACACACACACACACTTTTGAGAAGCGCTTGATGCCCTTGGCCGTTGCTTAGGACATACCAGTTTGGCCTGGCTTGATATGTACAGTGTTTTGTACTTTTATAGCATCAACATGAATTTGTTGCCGGTGCCTAGGGTTGAGTAGGGCCTACGGAACACTGGTGCCTAGGGCCTACGAAACACTTAATCTGGGCCTGGGTCTGCATTATTGGCAGCTAATTTTGGCCGGTAAAAAATCTATACACTAAACGAGTATCACAAGACACATGAATTCGATAGCAGTGCATTCCAGTACCCAGAGTGTTAAGAAACACTTCGGAAAATCAGGGGAAGAGAATTCTTACCTTTTCAAGAAAATTGTAATTTTTCTGTGACAATTTTATGCGATAAGTATAACCTAGCTGAACAATCCTTTGACCCAGATGAAACCAGCTTGTGCATTCCTGACCGTTCGTTGTAACCTGGACTCAAGTATTAAGCGGTGAAAAAAAATTGATTAGACGCCAGGGAAGTGCTTTCAATAATAGCGAGGATTGTTCTTTCATCATGAAGGGCAAAACCCTGCACTTACCCAGCAGCCTTATATCCGGTACGGGAAACAAACATTGATCCGGTTTTATCTCAAAGTTTTTAAAGCGGCAAAGCCGTTTGTCCATTCCTTCAGAGTCCATTTGACAAACTATAGTGTTGTAAAAACGTGGATTAAGGAAAGTAAATTTAAGTTCCCACACTCCAGGAAAGCCGGACCTATTATAGGCACAAAGAAAATAAGTGCAACGACCAGTTCCAAATATCCCTGAAATCAACACCCGTTTCAGGAAACCCTTTATCATCGGCTGATGGGCTTTTAAGCAATTATGTTATGATGGCATTGATGAAGGAGACACCAGAGGTGTTCTATATAGGTGTTCATCGCATCCTATGGAAAACTATAGGTGGTCATTTTGTACATGTGTTATAAGACAGGACTGTAGGCCAGGAGGTATCCTATAGAATCCTATAGGAACCTGTGGGGACAGAAAACTTGTAAAGACCCTTTTGTTTTACGACGCTTTTTGGTCAGAAATACATCAGATACTTTTATGTATTAAAGAATCTCGTAATGCAATTGTCTATCATTTAATAAATGTTGGGTAACTCTTGAAATGTTCTGGCCATAAAACAGCCATTCGTCTCGTCGGTGGCACCTCGCCCCTGAACGGCCGCGTGGAGATCCTTGTGAACGGCCAGTGGGGCACGGTGTGCGATGACAGCTGGGGAATATCGGACGCTCAGGTGGTATGCCGTGAGCTGGGCTACGGGGACGCCCTGGAAGCACCCACCAACGCACGCTTCGGCGCTGGTACCGGTAGCATCTTCCTTGACGATTTAGGCTGTACGGGACGCGAGACGGAGCTCATCAGCTGCCCGCATCGGGAAGTCGGCACCCACAATTGTGGTCATTCAGAGGATGCTAGTGTGATGTGTTCTAATGGTAGGTTCGAGAATAAAGACCAGCTGAGCAGAATATCAGGAATAAAAGATAGATTACCGGTCAAAACTGACGAACTATTTTGACCAATGTAAGCTAAAAGATTGGTGTTAATTTTTTTTTTTTTTTTTTTTGGGGGGGGGGAGGGGCTTGCTACCAATATAGACAGTACAATATGTAGGCCTACTTCCAAATCAGGGGAAGAGAATTCTTACCCTTTTCAAGAAAATTGTAATTTTTCTGTGACAATTTTATGCGATAAGTATAACCTAGCTGAACAATCCTTTGACCCAGATGAAACCAGCTTGTACATTCCTGACCGTTCGTTGTAACCTGGACTCAAGTATTAAGCGGTGAAAAAATTGATTAGACGCCAGGGAAGTGCTTTCAATAATAGCGAGGATTGTTCTTTCATCATGAAGGGCAAAACCCTGCACTTACCCAGCAGCCTTATATCCGGTACGGGAAACAAACATTGATCCGGTTTTATCTCAAAGTTTTTAAAGCGGCAAAGGCTGTTTGTCCATTCCTTCAGAGTCCATTTGACAAACTATAGTGTTGTAAAAACGTGGATAAAGGAAAGTAAATTTAAGTTCCCACACTCCAGGAAAGCCGGACCTATTATAGGCACAAAGAAAATAAGTGCAACGACCAGTTCCAAATATCCCTGAAATCAACACCCGTTTCAGGAAACCCTTTATCATCGGCTGATGGGCTTTTAAGCAATTATGTTATGATGGCATTGATGAAGGAGACACCAGAGGTGTTCTATATAGGTGTTCATCGCATCCTATGGAAAACTATAGGTGGTCATTTTGTAAATGTGTTATAAGATAGGACTATAGGCCAGGAGCGAGGTATCCTATAGAATCCTATAGGAACCTGTGGGGACAGAAAACTTGTAAAGACCCTTTAGGGTTGTTTTACGACGCTTTTTGGTCAGACATACATCAGATACTTTAATGTATAAAAGAATCTCGTTATGCAACTGTCTATCATTTAATAAATGTTGGGTAACTCTTGAAATGTTCTGACCATAAAACAGACATTCGTCTCATCGGTGGCACCTCACCCTTGAACGGCCGCGTGGAGATCCTTGTGAACGGCCAGTGGGGAACAGTGTGCGATGACGGCTGGGGAATATCGGATGCCCAGGTGGTTTGCCGTGAGATGGGCTACCAGAGCGCCCTGGAAGCGCCCGGCAACGCACGCTTCGGCGCAGGGACCGGTAGCATCTTCCTTGACGATGTAGGCTGTACGGGACACGAGGCGGAGCTCATCAGCTGCCCGCATCGGGGAGTCGGCACACACAATTGTGGTCACCATGAAGATGCCGGTGTGGTTTGTTCTAATGGTAGGTTCGAGAATGAAAGACCAGCTGAGCAGAATTTCAGGAAATAAAAGATAGATTACCGGTCACTTGAAACTGACGAACTATTTTGACCAATGAAAGCTTGTTAACAGTAAAAGATTGGTGTGGTTTTTTGGGGTTTTTTTTTTGGGGGGGGGGTCTTGGCGTCTTGCTACCAATATAGACAGTAGAACATGTAGGCCTATTTCCATTTGGCAAGTACATGACCTAATTCAATGAATTATGGACTCCGATCGCGGACACGGCATTTTAATGACTTTCTATAGCACTTGTGATTGAATGTAATGATTGAATGTAGCTATTGAGATCACAAATTGTTTCTCTTTACTATGTTTATAAAATCACCTATACATATTTTACTTGCATTTGGCACGCATGACCTGATTCAATGAATTATGGGCTTGGACACAGCATTTTAAGGACTTTTGATGGCATTTGTGATTGAATGAAGCAAATGATTGAATGATATAATCACATTGTTTCTTTGTACCCCATAAATCATGCATATTTTACTGATTTTGGAACAGGGGCGGGTATCCGCCTGGCAGGCAGTCAGAGCGCCACAGAAGGCCGGGTGGAGATCTCCCACAACGGGGAGTGGGGCACGGTCTGCGACGACTCCTGGGACGACAACGACGCCGCGGTGGCCTGCCGTCAGCTGGGCCTCTCGGGCGCGCACGGCGTGGCCTACCAAGGGAACCATCACTCCTGGGGTGCTGGCAGCGGGTCCATCTGGCTGGACGACGTGGTTTGTAGCGGTAGTGAGGCTTCGCTGTGGGACTGCACTCATCCTGCGGCGGGCGAGCACAACTGCGGCCATAGCCAGGATGCAGGTGTCAGCTGTTTTTATGATGTAATATTAGGAATCCCATAACACTCTTTGGAAGGTCGGACAGATCTTCTCAGAGAACATTAATGACTTGACAGTTGGCTCATTCTCTACTTAGTGATCTTTAAAATAATTTTGTCAAAGATCTTGATCCGCTTATTCCTTTTTTACAAATTTCGTTTGCATGTAAGTTAGCAAAAAAAAAATACATTGTGAAAAAGTGAATTGAATTGTATCGTAGGTGAAATGCTTGACATTTTGATTCATTATGTTACTTGCTGTCATTTTTTTTAAGGGGGGCAAATTTCAAGAACCACGCTTTGCATCGAAACATATCTTGCTTTCCATTGAAAACATATTAAATCTTTAGCTAAAAAAATAATTTGTAATGCATGCATTCATTGCAACCTATTGATTTTAACTGAAGTTTTTTTTTATTATTGTGTTATGGTATCATGTTCGATAAATACTTAGTTTAACAGGAGACATTCTGTGATTTACAAGGGCGGATCCGGGGGGGGGAACCAAAGGGGGCCATGCCATTGGTCGAGATCCCGTCACGTGGCCGGTCTTAAACGGATGATAAAGACATGGCGAGCTGGTCTTAAACACTTTTCCCTTGTCACATGAAATTTGGACTCCTATGAAAGCCGGTGCCTTTTACCGTTTCATTGGTTGAAATGTCACAATCCTCACGTAGGCATGCGCAATTGACCTATTGCCATTTTAGAGTCAGCCACGCCCCTTAGACAATCCTATGGATTTTTTTGTGTACGAATAAGTATTGTTTGTCTCATATTTTGCGCGTCCATTTGTATATCATGTGATTGGACAATATTTTACAAGCTGCGCGCGTTGACGCGATTCTACCGCGATAGGTTAATATACCAGTGTGTCAGCTAGTATACAAATATTGAATGCTTCGAGTGGTGTAGTAAAACTAGCCTCCCGAGGTGATCCATGGACATTCTATTTTCCCGAGGCGAAGCCGAGGGAAAATAGAATGATCCATGGATCACCGAGGGAGGCTAGTTTTACTTCACCACGAGATAAAGCATTCAATATTTGTTTTATAACACTTCACCCACAGATTCTGCTTGATTTTAATATTCTAAATTATTTAAATCTGAACACAGCTGAAATAAACTTCAATTTCAATACAAAATTGGTGGAAAATGTATTTCTCTCTTCCAAACTACCCCTTCACGAAATGTTTGAACCCAAGTCTGCGGCGCGCTCTCTTTGGAATAATACGCGCTACGCACAACGCGCAACGCGCACACCAGCATGCATTTGCACACAAATACCGCGCCGTGGAAATAGTACTTTGGTTGCTAATGGTATAGTACTTTGGTTGCTATGCGCATAGTACTTTTGGCCGTGCACAGAAAGATAGCAAAATTAGAAAGTAACATGTGACTCGCTCTCGGCCAATCAAGACACAGAATCTGTGGGTGAGGTGTTATAATCCTAAATGGACCGAACCAGTAAGCCCCGCCCACTGCGCACGTGGGCAAATTACCACGTGCTCCTCTCCAATGCCACGCTGCATTTTCCTGCCGCGCGCATCATACGCGCGTGCACGCATGTCGGACTTCTGTGCACGCACGTCGGACATAAATCACGGCTGTGATTGGTCAGTACACCATGGGGCGGTGCTTACTGGATCGGTCCATTCACAACTTACTCGCCACAGTTGTACTTGTGCGACATCACACAGTACGCGCGACACGCTCGCCAATCTCCATAAAAGGAGTTGTTTACGTCTTACTCGCGAGCTGGACACTGACACTCCATTATATAGCTAGAAGGGTGTTTCGAAAAACATGAAGTAATATTGTTGAACAAAATCGTTGGAAATTTTTCTTTTTTGACATGTTTGAACCGAAAGTTTTGATTTTTTTTTTACCTTGGGCTTGGGTAATGATCAGCATCCAGCCTCCTACCAGTCTTAAACATAGTGTTTAACACCTCCCAAGCACACATTTTATTCCCTTATTAAGGTAGTGTGTTATCTTCTAAACATTTATACTTTTACAAGAAAGCAAGATGAACTTTATTGTAAAAATCAGCATGTATGTAATCAAAAAGTAGATTTAGATTCAGCAGCTTATGCATGTTCCAGCCACTAAAGTGTGAGATTTGAAATAAATGAAGCATAAATATCCTATATTAAAAGATCCAATGCTGTTTGTCTGATGTCTGTCTGACGTCTGTGTGTCACTTTTTTTGTAAAAGGCCTGAAAGAATTCTGATATGCCCCGATTTCATTGAAGTCACAGTAAATTAAGGCACATGAATAAATGATGTATTTGTTTTGTTTTCCTAAATTTGTTTCTTTCAGACTATGAATACTTATAATTATATTACATCATTATCTCTATGAAAACACTCCAAAACGTTTCTGTGAGACTTTGAATAGTTAAAAATGACATTATCTCTATGAAAACACTGGAAAAATGTTTCTGCATTTCGAAACCATAGAACCCCTTCTAAAAAATCACGTCAATTGAGGGCGCACTGACAAGCTAGCGGTTAGATAGTTATATTACAACATAGTCTCTATGAAAACACTGAAAAATGTATCTGCATTTCGAAACCATAGAACCCCTTCTAAAAATTACGTCAATTGAGGGCGCACTGACAAGCTAGCGGTTAGACTTTGAATAGTTAAATATTACAACAATCTCTTTGACTGAAAAATGTATCTGGATTTCGAAACCATAGAACCCCTTCTAAAAATTACGTCGATAGAGGGCGCACTGACCAGCTAGCGGGTGCCGCCAGTTTTATTATGTCTATGGGTGCCGCGCGAAGCGCGGCATCCTCCTGGTATATTATAAAAGATGTATTTTATTTGCTCAATTTTTACCAGATATCTCAACTCCCATAGTTGCAACCTCATTTCAACGAATGCCAAGACAACATTAGGTAATGAAGATGTGATTGCACAGGCAGCTGCCCATGCGCAGAAAATGCACCCGCATTGCTGAATATAGTGCGTGACGTCACAAACAGGTTTAAAGGTATAGTAAATCATTTGCAGCTATCCAAAAAGTAATTGACGAAATTATTGCTTAAAAGCTTGCTTGGCATGGTTTAAAGATAGTAAAGGCACTAAACTCCCTAGTTTAGCCTATGCAAGCACAGGCACAACGCAGATAATCTTAAGTATAAATCAGAAACGAAATTTCAGTCTGATTTATTACTTTTATGTAATCCATAACAACAAGATAAACTAATTATTAGGCCTACAGAAACTCTTGCACAAATAATCTAACTAAGTTTCGATTTCTGAAGCCCATAACTCATCCTTGACATTGACCCTTGACATTGGCCTCGTTTTCCTCGAACAAGCGACCCCACCGCCTGGTCGTTCGGTCGTAAGTCATAGTTGTTTTCCCGGTCCCCAACCCTATCACTCTCAACTCCGATGAAGATCTATCGCGATGCGTGTCACATGCACAGCGCGTGGACTTCCCCCAGGCGGAGCCAAGCAGGGGGTGCTCAGAATCCTCATACAAAGCAACGATTTTGAGTCAACTATAGTACAGTCCAAACCGGCTTCGATAATCAGCAAAAAAAATGCAGGATTTCTATGGAGTGCTGGTCCTCTTGTTAGAAAACCACGTTTTGGACTCAGCGCCTCAGAGGAACAACCTCTATTATACTGCAGACAAGGCTTATGGCCTAAAAGCGATTCAATTTGTAAGGGGGGAGGGCCTTAAGGGAGCCTCGTTTTCTGCAGGGGTGATAATTAAAACCTCTCATTTGCATTCACCTACATTCTTCCCGTCGTTCCCTCAGTGTTGGGACCTTATCACAGAACTTACAATATGATAATGGTAAAAAGCGCACGTATGTCCACCATTATTGGTGCTCAACGCGCTACATCATTATTACCCTGCTCGTTGGGCCAATGAAAGTTGAAACACTCCAAAGACAATCTCAGCTCCCTGGGGAGTATATACAGCTCGATGCTGCCATTTTGGCGCAAAGCAGCTAAAATCAACCACAATAACCATCTCTGCACTCACAGATACCTAATTTACTCCTGGGTTGGGAGAAGCAATGAGTGACAAAGTACCTTACCCAAGGGCACACGCACCATAACCCCAGGCTGGACTCGAACCCACAACCTGCAGAATTACCTGCAGTACCACTCACACAAAACTTGACATCCTTTTTTTCTAATTACACAAAAAAGGTGTTTGCCGAGCATGTAACTATTATGAGCATCCAGCTCTTGGGCCCATGTGCAATACCCCTCACAGCTACTATTGCTATGGCAACAAGTGGCAGCCGTCAGCCATGTTGTAAAGGTTTTTATACTTCAACTGTACTATTTCCCCCCATACTCACTCTTTTTCGCAAAACCTCTGAAGACAGCTGCGGGGAGGCAAAGACGACCAATAAAAAGGATCTATAAAGATCTGTAGGCCAAATTTCACAAACAAAATTTAGCTCCACCAAAAACTTTGGGAAAACATCAGAAAATTGAATGTTATTGTTGGGTTCACTGGCCTTGGGGACGCTGAAATCACGCGAGGTGGCTCACAACCTGAAGTCGATGATGTTGGCAAACACAACATTTAGTTATTTTCTTCCCTGCATTCCATGAATCAGACAGGCATGTATGTTATGGGGTTATCTCTAAGAATATCAGTTAGAGGTCTATAAATACGAGACGATCTGGTATCTTTCGCATCACGCCATACCGTTCAACGCTTGCCATACCCCGGGCTGAGGTGGATAGTGGGTAGGTGATGGGTGGGGCAGGGGCCGCCAAATCATCACAATGACGTAGGGGGGGGGGTACGTTGTGCTACCCTTTGGAATAATTTTGTTTAATAATACAAAATATATATTTCATAGCTTTGTTTACTCGGTGTGTACTAAATAATTGTTCGCTTATTGCGAGGAGGACCGAATGAATACAATTGTTTGTAGAAGCAACGGCATTTATGTAGATCCCCGAATGAAAATATTTGTCCTACTGTGATGGGGGGGGGGGGAATCGATTTTACCGTGTGGGCAAAATCTTTCTCACGCAGGACTCGAACCCTTTCAGATTATTATCGCTCAGGAAACTTTGGTCTGACTGAGGCGGGAAGCAGTTTATGTTATTTTTTTTTCATTATTTAAAGTTGCTTTGTACGTGTGTGTTTTTTTATTTCGATTTTCTTTTCCGAACAAAATTTATTGGAATATAATATCCTGTAACAAATAAATTTGCTTGTTTGTTTTTGCAGGCCTTTATACAGTTTTAAAAAAAAAATCGGTTTTAAATGGCGCGTTCCAGTTCCGAAATTGCGCACATATTTAGAACGAATTAGGAGCGTCCCGCTCTTAATTCAAAAGTCGAAGCTAATTAATTGATTACTTGTCGTCGTCCGGTTTTTTGTGCAATGTCTCATTGGAAAGCTCATAACTAAAGTGTAATACTAGAAAATGATCAATTCAATTTGAAAATCTATTTTTCAAGGTGCTACACCCAAAAAGCACGTATACACCAACTTCAAGGTATATTTAAACCAATTATATAGAATTAAGGATTTTCGAAATCCTCAGGCTGTAGACATACAGATAAGTAAATAACACATAGTGAAGAATCGCTCAGATATTTCATTGAAAACTGCATAATAAGACAGGGACTTAAACCAATCATCATGTTGATCTAGTGGCATTAGAACATTTTGAGACATCAGACGAAACTAATTAATTTAAAGCTCTGAATGACAAAAATGCGTTACGACGATTGGAAAAATAGATCGGGTTCAGACATCGTGGAACCTTCCAACCAATAGGAATTGAAGCCTTTTCTGCGATTTCTTTGTTGAATTATCCCCCAATAGCTCCGTGATAAAATGCACACGAGCCGTCGACGTGCTGGCTGAGCGACCGTAGATCGCGCGTGCCTGGGTGGAATTCTCAAGGACATTCCAAACAGCTGACGAAAGTCATTTGAGGTCACCATGTCGGGCGGTGCCGCACCTAGCTCCCCCAGTAGCGTCCAGGGTCCGGGGTCACACGGGGTCACAGGGAGGGTGCGAAACGGGTCAAACGTCTTACCCAACCGATGGATGAGTGACAAGCTAAATTCTTGCAGCGCGAGTCATTTTGGAGCCGATGTAGGTTTGAACCTGCCGCTCATGCAAAATATTCTTTTTAGCACTGTATAAAATTATTGCATTTTGCTTAAAAGTTGATCAGTAAATTACTCTATAAGGATCGAGAGAGGGGCGGAAATAATGTACAACAGAGAACCGGAGTTTGGTTTGCCGTCACCTTTTTCAATAAATAAATAAATGATCTGGATAAATTGCAGTGCAATATGTGACCACGGCCAGACCATACAGGCTATGCGTACATTTTGATTGGGGTGCAGGCGGCGATACCAACTCCCCCCCCCCCGACCTCCACCCCCAAAAAGCAAGGAGTAAACAGGCACGGTTCTTCTATAAACATTTCGGAAGGGCGAAGCTTATCACATTAGGTTCATCGAGGATTTTTAAAAAGCTCCTTGAAGACGGTTATAACATTGGGTTTTGCCCTTCGTCGATAAAATGTATGGGCCTATACTATCCGAGATCTCGCAAGCTTGCTATATAGGGCGGTTTCAGGGGTTGGGGCCCTTATTTTGGGGGGGATTCTAGATGCTTTGTGGTGCAATTTGAGGCAATTTCTGACCACTTTAACTAAATCTTTTTGAGGAAAAGATGGTGGTGTACGCAGTGCCTGCCTTTATTGCGACGTCACTTAAAAAAACAACTTGGTTCTTTTTTTTGGGGGGGGGGCATGGCCCCCCGCTCCCTCCCTCCCCCCCCCCCCCCCCCCCCCCCGATCCACCCTTGATCTTGCTCGGGTGTTTTTGGATATGTTCGGTTTCTTCTTTTTTGGGTTGAAATCCTCAGTTCCTGATGATATTCCTCTAGGACTGGGGTGGGGATATAGGGTGGGGTTGTGCAGTTTCGACCCATGCATGGACCCCCCGAAGCAGGTGCTTTTCCTACCGTGATTGATTGATCGTTTCCCTGAACCTCCAGCGGGATGTGGCGATCTAGGTCAGCGGTCTCTCCTGGGTCTTTCGTCAGACAGGAAGCCCAGGATGGAGGCAACCAGGTTATGGGGTGATCAGGACGTCAGCTGGGCAGAAGTAGACAACCTTCGTTGCCGGACCTTCCTCACTAGTTTGTACTCGACTTTTATGCTTCTGAAATATAAAAGAACAAGGATGTCAGTTGTGCTGTGGACACCTGTTGATTTGGGATTAAAACTTTACGAGCTTCCAATTTCTGTTTTAACAAACTTTGCTTTTAAAGAGCTTCTAAACTTAACCCCAAAAGAGAGATTTATTCTTCAAGGATTTTTTTCATTGGGGATGATTTCTTTATTGCATGGCTAAACGAGAATCCCAGAATTTTAGCCCAACTGTTGATAATGATCAGTGGCGTATAAACTAAACAAGGGTATAACATAATGTGCCCCCCTTCCCCTTTGTCCCTCCCCTCAGAATTTGAGGAAGACAAACATAAAGCTTTTTGTCGTTAAAAATACTTTGAGTTTCCCCCTTCACAAAACGACCCCCCTTGCCCACTGCAAACTGGACCCTAGTTTTTCCATCCCAAAAATGTGGACAATAATACAGACGTAGTGTCGAGTCGCAGCATCTCACACACTTCTCTGCCCCTGAGTCTCCGCCCATCCTAATCTTCATTACAAATTGCAATGCATGTCCAAAAAAATAATTCGGCTAAAGGTAAAACAAAGTCCTTGGAGAAACCAAAACTTATTCGCTCACTTAAAGGGAATGTACAACATTTGCTTTTGCTGCAATTTTCATGTAGATGCTGGAAAAACCAAGAAAACCAATCACGTTCTAGTAGTCTGGTTTCCTGACCCCACTTAAGATAAACCGGAGCAATGTATAGATTTGCGGAATTGTAAGGTCAGGGAATCAGTCTAGCAGGCTTGTACCACTTCACAGGTGTGTAATCGATTGCAAAGAAAATGCAGAATAACTAAATATGCAAATTTAGGAGTAGTTTTTGAAGAAAAAAAAACATTTTTCTCCCACGCTGGTCGGCCGACCAGCGTTGGAAAAATACAACGTTTCTTGAAAATGTCAGCACACCAGGAGCCACGATTTTACAGGATGATTTAGACTGTCATTCCCTAACAATCCAGTAAGGTATTTCGTGATAATTTGATAATTTCGGGTTTTTTTATGTTTGCAAATGTTGTATTTTCCCTTTAAAAAAATACTACCACTTCAATATAGGACATATCAATCATAAGGTTAAGTGTTCATGACATTTCCAGGGTAGATTTAAACAGAAAAAATGGGACGCGTAAATTGCAGAATTTTCTCCGCGAAACCTTCGAACGCCTTGCCGGTGGGTCGGTGTAATCAGGTGAATGTCCTATTTACGAGTCCCTGTACACGCGTCTTGAGAAAACTTCGCAACCCCAGATACAGTCTTGACCAATCGGAGGCCGGGGGTATGGCTGGCCCCGCCCACTCTATGACGTCAGAGGATCGTACGATGCCGATGTTTAGTATTTTCTAACGAAGTGAATGGTCCCTTTGGGGTTTTTCCTTAGAAGGACGTATTCAGTGATTTAACAAAGCACCGTTATATCATTCTTCTCAATTTGTTTAACAAGCTCTGGGATTTCGCAATTTGCGGCCCCTCCACCAAACTACCAAACTGCATGTATGCCATGCATCCTTAACGAAAAAAAGTCTCACAATTTACTAATTATGCAATTATTTTAAGGGATCGAAACACCATTAAAAGCAATCAAATTAGACTTGAAATGTAGTTTGTATGCATCATACTAATAGAGCTTGCTCTATGTAGACATGTACTTCTCACTAGTGTAGAGCAAAAGGAAATGATGCAGGGTGTCTCAAAACAAATGCACCAGTCAATCCATAATTTCATAAATATTAAAAAAAATACAAGCAAGAGCTCTCTTTTTTGCAAAAAGTATATACAGAGTCTGACGGTGTAGTAAAACATCTACACAATGGTCTTTATCCCATCTCATTTGGACATCCCAGTCCAGAGATACAGCTAATTAAATGAAACGACTTAAATTCCAAGTTGGACCACTTGTATCCAATGAAAGGCATTCACATACCAAGAAGGAGAAAGTGGCCAAACAAATTTTGACTGTCTTTACAAGCTTGCCGTAACTTTTTAACAAATGTTCCAAATCACACCGAACAAAACTCCTGTCAAGGGTAAAGAAACACGCTATCATCTCATAGTAATTTTTTGGTAATTTAAACCGTTGTTTAACTGCTACATTTTTTTTTAGCGACACCCTGTCTAAACACTTTCTTATGGGGAGTAAAGTTAACTTGTTATTACTCAAACACTCTTAAAAAAATTGCTCCGAAAAATGAGCACAAATCAGCTGTGGGAAGGTGCGTGACAGAATTTTTGTCTAGAACTTGCGCGAAGTACACGTACGCAAAGGAATGCGAACTAGGGTGAAGGACCATGCGATCGCGCCAGGCAGAGACCGCTTTGAAATCCGGGCAAGGAATTGCGCAACCACGGCTGGCCCGGGGGAACTCCTCTCATTATTCATCTTACAAAAGGAGGCAGGTCCCTGGATACTAAGACACGCACTGGTGACGTCACAAGACAGGAATCACCTGAGGTCTGGTGATCAGCTGTCGAGGGGAACCCCGTGCGTGGAGTGTCCCCATCGCTGAGGCTATAAAAGACGGTCGGGATTCCCTGCTGCGGTCGATTCATCACCGAGACCGCAAGACATCCCCCTCGCCAAAGCCACAGCGATCTGCAACCTCATCTGCTCCGCCGACTTTGCCAATTTTTGCATCCCAACTTCTTCTTTGTGGGGAAAAATCGGCCGAGTATTACCACAAATACTGCAATCTTCCTACGAAGAAGTTTGTACTGTCTTGAAAGTTAGGAGATCTGTCCCGACTGCAAGTTCTTCTGCAACTTCTGCAGGTGTCAGGTAAGGTTTCTTTGCCAAACCTCTGGGTTTTTTTTTACTTCAACTTCAACTTTTGCTGAATTTCTGACAAGTACTGGTTTTTTTTAAATGTTGGCTTGGTTGCATTGCATCGTTTACATTATTCGATTGCTCCATGCCTTTACTTTCAACAAATAATTTTAATCAGACTTAATACTAGACAACCCTTTCGCGCATGACTTGGGACGTCTCTGAAATCGAAAGCACATTGTCAAAGACAACTTTCAATTCGTGTCGACAAGGACGACTATGACAGTATCTCTATTGATGAAAATAACAGTTTAGGAACGAACCTGTGTTCACAGGAACGCAGTGCCCGTCTCTCGTTCGAAGCGATTGGGCCAGACTCGATCGAGTCCATGAAATGCTGATCGCCAAACCTCCTCCACAGTTTGTTAATACCTTCCCAGCATTGATTAATGCCGGTACCCAAGGGTTGTTGGCACGTGTGGTCTATAGCGGTAGGGCACAGGCCTCATGATCGTGAGATTGTGGGTTCGAGCCCCGCCGTGGCCATGCGTGTTGTGCCCTTGAGTAAGGCGCTTTACCTCAATTACTCCTCTCAACAAGGTATTAAGAACTGGAACTAAAATGGCACTGTTTTCCGCCGACATGAAATGCAGATCCTAACTTTTGCACGTCTTGATGCCCTTTACTTTGTCAACCAAAAAATGAATGAATTGAAGCATAATTCGTAGTTACGAGGAGCACATTGTGAACGTGCGTCTACTTCAGATCGACCACTGACGGTATTTTCTTCGGTTTCATTTTAGCAGACGAAATCATCCGATTCGCATCCAAACCGTTACCAAGGCAACCGTATCAACCATGAGCGGCATCGTGATCACCCTTAGTCTCCTCGCGTGCGTGCTGGCCATCTCCGAGGCCTGCAACCAGGCGTCCCAGGGCGGCTTGACGGGAGGCAACACCCTACCGCCCTCTGCCGACGGCGACAACTCGTACGGCCCCGGCTCCGGCCCTGTCCCGCCACACCCATTCAGGTACGATTAATTATGCAAAATCCGCAATCAAAGGAAGAATGTTGCAAACCAAAACCTGTTGAATTTTCAGCTCAGATGATATTACACTTTCCAAGACATTAAAAAACCATGCACAACCTTAATTTGATCAAGACACAATCTACATTTCTTGATTTCTTTCAAATGAATATCACCTTTTGATTTCCTCAAAAAGTTACTTTTGAGATAAATGCAAATGATCCTAAGTATATGCCTTCAATGTGCACAAAAAATAAGCCTACGTTTTAATGACATAAAAGCAGCAAATTTCGTTCGGGGGAAAAACACAACTCCTAATTTGCTGTCATTATTTAAAAACAAATTGAAAGAAATGAAGACCTACGATTATTGGGCGGTAATCATTCATTCACTGTCACGTGATTGACTCTTTTAGGCGGAGGAGGGACGACGACAGCGACAACAGCGCCCTCACGCTGCAGTCCCAGGCCATGTCCAAGATGATGAGGAGACTTTTTGACGAGTTGGACGCAGACGACGACCAGAGCGTCACCGCGGAGGAGTGGGTCAGACGGAGGGGTAACGCCGAGGACTACAGACAAGTCCTGGCCGAATTCGACAAAAATGGTAGGCATTCTTTTTCTTTACAAGTTAGGCCAAAAAAAATCCGGAAAAAAATTAAAGATGAAAACATGATTGGTCAAAATAACTGGGATACATTTTACCTGAAATGGATTCTGCTACAATTGAAACGCCATGCGCCCTCTTTAACTCTGTTTTTTTACAAAAACTTTCGGGTTTTTTTTTACTTCGTTTCGTTTCCATTAAAAAGAAAATTCTGTCTAAAAGGATTCTTACATTTCATTGAAAGACAATTACGTTTTCAGCTGGCATATTTTCAAGGGTCAATATTATATGACGGGCTTGTTATTCGTATTTCGTCGAAAGCATACTATAAGTGAAAACAAAAATGTGGAATGAGAACTTCAGACGACCACCACAAAAAGACTTTAAAGGAAAGGATGGTGTGAAATTATCAAGAAGAACTTTTCATCATTATATGAATTTTTGATTTTCAGATGATGACGTGCTGTCATTTGACGAGTTTTTGGCGGCTTCGAAGTCGTGAGACCCCCATAATTTGAAAAAAAAGGTTAGTGACAAAAACATGCCGTTAACGTTTCATAGCTCTGTCTTGTCAGTTTGAATGTTTGATGAACAATTTTGCCTTTTAAACACAGCCACGTTTTCGTTTTCTCTGTATGCATGGCAATAACTGAAGTGTTTTATCTGTCTCGTTTGCTATTTTTAGGTCTCGATTTGGATTTTCGTAACCCTACGACTGTTCCTTGCGAGCAAGCATCGGACGGACCCGACTTCTGTTTCCTGCGTGTTCGCGATGTACATTGCATGCGGCAAGTCTAAGATTTAAAAGAATTATTCCATTCTTTTTAATGCTCACAATGGGTTGTATGAAGTCGATTTTTGGGGGGTAAGAGACGTCCGTTAAACTTCAAACTTTACATGGATACAATTTTGTTTTAAATTATTTATTTGTGTTCATGAACAGTCGGGTTAATCGGGCCGAGTTTGTGGGGTTTTTTTTACAATAGATCAAAACACATTACGCCAGATCAATTAGTATTTACAAAGTCACTTAAAATTACTAAAGAAAGGAAAATGTTCTGAAAAATGGGTTTGTGAAATCACAGCAATGATGTAACTAAAACCTCAGATTAATTTGGCTCATTTTGAGTTTCTTTGAAAATGCTTTCCTATGAAATAATGTAAACTTTATTTTATTTTCAAATTAGTTCTATGCTAATTAAACTTGAAGATTATTTTTTATATAATTATAGCTTAATGACTGAATTTTTGTTATTGACACCACTATAGTTACAGGCTCTTATATTTTGATGAAGAACCGAGTTAAAGGGGTTTTAAACAAACAACAAAAAATAAAAAGATTTTTTTTAAATAGATTATTCTACAAAAAGGGGCCATAAAAGTATTGTGTATTTGAATTGCTCCACGTGTAAAGCACAGGGCAAGAAGACGGATATTTATATTTCAGAACATTAATGTTTTGTGTGTAACATGGTAAAATTGTGGTATACACTTAATGTTACCACCAGATGGCGCCCTTTATAAATTAAGTGCAAATATTATTTGTCTTGGCTTCTGAAAATATACGATTTCATTCAAATGATATGCATACGTAATTTCCACAAGCCAATCAGCAACCGGTTTGTATAAGGTTGTATAGGTCAATTATTGGTACAGTTGGAAATTGATTTGAATAAATTCATATTTTTTTCATATTGAAATGAGAGATATATTGTAAAATACTTTGTCTTAAATCTTTTAGGATGGCAAGTGGTTTATGTTTGGTTTACTTGAAAAGCGCAGAGGTCACGGAATTTCAGAGATGGTGCATGATGCAATCCAAGCAAATAATGTCAAGTGTGCATGTGTTCCAAGGTTACGTTGCAACAAACGCAAACAAAGTGTCGCAGACCTCAGTAATAAATAACCTCACTTCTCAAGATCAGGACAAGTACTCGCAACTCTCCAAGGTGTCAGAGACACCCATCAAATTAAAGATTATTTCATCATCTTTCAATTTCCGGGGGGGGGGGTAATCCGATGACTTCTGGGAGAAAATTCCATCCGAAGATGATCACCCCTAAAAATAGTCATGAAGCCCATCACCATTTTGAAAAATTATGCCTACGCTCCATTGCAAAATAGAGCAAAGTTCAGGGCCTAATTATATTCAAATTTCACAGAAATGCAATGTTGCAGTCCTAATCACGGGCCCCACCCTTCTTGTTGTGATTTGGCCCGCGTCAGTTTGGGCCTGTCTACTGGCCTGCACAAAGTTGGTGCACCTGTCCGGATAATTGCTGCAGCAAGAGGGCAGCAATCAGGTTGTCAGGTTGGCGTAGTGGTACTCTCCTGGTCTTGGGGTGCACTGAGCTAATGAGTTGTAGTGAGAATTTCTGCGCGAGCTCATTAGCATGAAAAGTGCCCCCCCCCCACACAATTTTTTTGAAAAAGGAGACCGTTTGGCTTGAAAAAGGGTGGGATTGTGTAAATATAGCTGAGGAACAACTCCCTGGTTTTGGGGCTTCCATCTGAGGGCAGACTTGATAAAATTAATGGGTCCTATTTGCCTGAGACAGTGGAGGGATGCCATTTGTAAAATGACCGCATGCGGGCTTGGGAAGTATCACTTTTCGGGAGGCGAGTTTGTTTTGGTGTGAATATTTTAAAATGTAAAAGTCTAACCCAACAACAATTTAAAAGAAACGGAAAGATGAAGGACTAGAAAATGATTTAATTTTTGTTTGTGAAACCCCACTGATGTCGGCTTGCATGTTATGTGGCCATGAACTTTGTTTATTTTACACTGTTTTCAATGGGGTTGGGTGCAACCCTCGCCTTCTACCGCTGTGACCCGGGTTCGATTCCCGCCTGGGCCAATATGTGGATTGGGTTTTCAGTCCCTGCCTGATTCCGTGGGTTTTCCCCAAAAAAAACTTCTGGGGTTTTCCTCCCACATCTAATACTGTACTTTCTCTTCATTGTCTTATCCCTACAAATTTCTTCAGACTTGCGAGCTACAGTGCCTGGGGCACTTTTGAGGAATCCTTGGTTTCATGACCAGAAATAATGTTAAAGTTGATTTTGGAAACGCGCCAATCATCACTGATAATGCACTATCGTCTAAAAGTGCATGTTTAATTAGCTGTATTAAAATAAACTACATTTAAACCGACAGAGTGCATGAAGTGTTTTGAATAGACAAAATTGTCTTAAAGTGGTTAATGTAAAGATATCAATTTTGGCTAAGATATCAATTTAAGGATATTTACACGGATCTGTGAGTGTATGCCTTGAAATTAACTTTGGCTAAGATATCAATTTGAGGATATTTACACGGATCTGTGGGTGTATTCTTTCCCGGGGTGGCAACGAGCCAAAAGGAACGAATAAATAAACACCACACTTCCTCAAAACAAAGAACTCGTGAACATTACACAATGAACCGCAAGATTTGTGGGGGAATTTTTAAGGCTGTCTTTTTCCTTACGTTTTTCACTGACTCAAACTGGCGACATGACAGTATTTTCAGCGAAATTGTCCACATGGTTGTCGATCCCGGACACTGGGAGGGGTATAAAACCAACGGGTTGGGGCTAGTCGAAGCTGTACCGTTTTCTACGCTGAGCCGAAGACATTATATTTCAAACTCCGCGGACTTGTCGCTCTTGCATCAGTCTGTTTGGAATTTCAATTCAAACAGAAATCGCAGTGAAACTTGCGTTAACGTCCGCCGACAACTTCTCGCATTTATACAAACAATTATTCGTTCATCTTGAACGACTTCTGGATAGGACAAACCGAGTTTACACATTACAGACTAGTTCAAGTTGGTTTAGTGACGTCACAACATGGGATCCAGGTGGCTACTCCTCCTGTGTCTCGTCACCATGGTGATCGCTAGCCACGCCTGCCGATCCAGCGTGGGGACACCGCCCTCTGGACCCGTACCACCACGCCCTTTCAGGTAACCACACCCAACAAACATGCATTATTTCGTGTAATTATTTCTATATTTGAAAAGTTTTCGAATATTTCAGTCGGTTTTTGTATTTGAAATTGTGCGCAAAATTTACACACAAACCATAAAAACGCCCGAATTATTTTGCAAAAAAAAACCGGGAAGAACTGAGGTTGTATTAGGACTAGAAGGAATTCGAAAGTCGATCGGAAGTGCGAAATGATGGGGTGGGTTTTTTTTTTAATGATATCCCCAATCGGCGTCCGTTACGGAAGACGGATAGTGCCACTCAATAAGTCTGAATATATTTTTTTGTACGTGTGAAAATATTTTTTGTACAGCGGCCACCACTTATTATGTGGCGGCCGCCACATAATAAGTGGCGATCGCTGTACAAAAAAAATATATAATTTATTTCCCTCGCAATAAACAGCCGCCCGTTGCAAATTTTCTACCGAGGATGCCGTCAAACTGTTTTATTTCGACGACTGTTTTGAGTCTCATCCTAACCATATCTCTTTTCCGCTTTCAAATCAAATGAAGATTAGATCGGCACCGAAACGATCTTTAAGCGACGCCCGCGATAAATAACCAATGTCATTTTGAAAGTGACATTGCCAACTTAAACTTTTACAAATTTCTTTCCTTTTTTTGGTGGCAGGAAACGTAGGTCGGAATTCGGGACCATTGTCAACACAACGTCACCGAGTGAGATCGACATCCGGCCTCTAGCTGAGCCGCACGGGGCCCTGGGCAGACTGACGACCAACCAGAAGAAACCCAGTAAGACGGACGGACAGATTTGAACCATGGACATTTATTATATGTCTACAATTTGAACTTATGCCAATAAAGGGCGCCCTCTGTTGCCAGGCGTGGCCACTCGCCTTCAATGCCCAAGAAATAGGCGTGGTTCTAGACTACAAATTGTGTGTGGGTGTGTGTGTGTGGGGGGGGGGGGGGGGGGGGGATGGTTTGCGCCTGATAAAAATCCTTTAATTTTTGATGACCTACAAATGTGGAAACTTTAGACAATTGTGTGGAATTTCGGGGGGGGGGGAGTGAGAATGAACTTTTCGAACTAAAAATGTGTTTTTTTATTGGGGGGATACAATTGGGAAAATGTTCAAAACATCTAAAATTGGAAATGTGGATTTGGATGATTGAAGGAGGCAGCATTGTGGGAATTTGAGCAACCTAGGACCCACATTGAGACGTTAAACCCAAAAGAATTTTCCATATGTAATGATCGAGTTTGCCTGTTATATCTTAGCTTATGACGGCACAGATACGTTACAGATCAGTACAGTTTAATTTAAATGTTGCATACACGACAAAACTCGCTTAAGAAAATGATTTTCTAAATATGATAATTTGCAATTAAACTTCTTACTGAGTCTGCTGTTGCAATACCAAAATAATCATACAGCTCGATGCCAATTTCCCTAAATACAAGTTATACTTAATTCATTAGGCCTACCTGTTAGAATGCGTAGTTGCTTTTTGTCAAAATGTGGACATGTCTCCCGAAGACACCTTCAAGTTAAAAAAACACCAACAATATTTACATTTGTATCTCAGTGATTAACCTTCATAAACAAACTACTTATTTTTAGGCTGCAGTTCAAAGAATATTAATAATTAATTTGGAAAGATTGATTTAGATGAAAAGATGTTTGATAAAATCTGTACACTACAGGGTTTCTGAGTCAAAAGGTAGGGCTGAGTCAGTTCGAATAATTGACTATTCAAATATTCAACCTTGAATTTGACCGAATATTCAAATATTCAGCACAGCCCTTTCAGAAGGTCAGTTGGAACATGGTTAAAAAGATGTAGCCTTAAGGAAAGACTTCACAAAAACAGGTCGTTTGTAATAAACAAGTATAATTTTTTTTTTATTTAAATTTATTGTGTGACCTTTTTCCATCCACTGACGACAGGCGAGTTGTTCGTCCGAGGTTCGATTTCAACCTTGGTCATCTTTTTTTCTTGGGCACTGGTTTGAAGAAAGTGTCCAGTGCTGACTGCTTTTTACTGTCTCCTGTGCCGCTGGAATCAAATTTGATTTTCTTCTGAGTTACCTGAAAAAAACAGAAGGAATTTAAACCAGTATCCATGAAAATAGAGTTTTCGCTTTTTATCAGAAATCGCAATTTCCATTGGGGGGGGGGGGGGGTGAGGCTGGGCACAATCTGACTATTGGAGGTGTCGTTCAAAGCAGACGATATTGGACACCATTGGACAATAGGTGGCGGTCTTTATTGCAGCAAGTTAACAAAGCCGTGAAACCCCAACTTTTGGTTTTAACTCTTCCAATTTAGTGAGGGCCAGGGGGAGATCCCCCCCCCTTCCACGTTTACTCAGTGCTAGCAGCAATATACACGTTGCCAGCACAAATGCAAAACTATAATCAGGGATGAGATTGTCAATTGAAAAAAAAGTCTGAAAATTAACGAAATGTCTGAAATATTAATATCTTTCTGAACTAATGTCCTTGTCTTTCTCTCAGATTCAACCAGTCTAATTTCACACAAAAATCTCATGCCTGCATAATTCACTCGTATTACCTTCGGAGGATTGATCCATTTCTGATAAGCACCAAAGCATTTTTTCATCGCCGTGGAAACAGCCGCCGTCGCGAATTCTTCGGCCGTAAGCCACCTGTACCGTTGACTGCTGTCCGTAGTCTGTTCTAAGACGTCATTTTCAATTACGCTGAATGTCTCAACACAGTAGGTCTGCTCGATGTGTGAGAAAATGTGAACCACCTAGGGTATACGAACCAAAACACAAAGTGCCGATTAAAAACTTAATCTTGACAACAAAATGAACCATTCAGTTGTAAAAGTCATAAAATAGTTGGGAGTGGGACGCACTATATGTGCTCTGTGCACAAGTACCCCAACCTTATCCCCAGGGTGTCGAGCAGTACGCACCCACCACTACCTGCTCTCTCACCCTGGTATTGGATCATTTGCATTTGCAAGATTTTTGAACACGTACTAGCAAATTGCGGTATCGAATCAGGATACAGGAAGAAAGTTTCCTATCCAGGGCTTATTATTGGAAACGAGGTTGGAAATAAAGTAAGCACTGGGGACGAGGTGACAAGTACCCCCTCAATGGTAAGGAAGGGAGAGTTGGGGGAGACCACTAGGAGAGACATTCGAATGCATTTCCGAAGACGCCTATGCTCACGCGAAGACAATATGGCTTTGTGTACATTCAGTGAAGTCGTGCGTACTTCCAACTAAACGTGCGCGAACCAGTATGCGTATGCGGCATGTCCCATTCACTGGGTGTCCAAGTGGTAGAAAAGCGCCCCCTCTTGTTTGCGCACAGAACCCATAGAACAAAACTAGGGGAGATTACACAAGGGGCAAAAATGATGAATTTTTCCCTGAACTTCATATATTTATTCTGTTACCTCTCCTATTGCGTGTCTGTCGTGTTTCTCGGCTAGCCTCATTCCGAGTCCGTCTGAAAGATAGTCATCGATGGCTTTCACCCTCTGGACGGCCAACCAATGATCGTCCGTCTTCACGCTGGGGAATTCCCACAATCCAGCCAGCAAGCCTGAAAGAGGAAGAATTTTTGTAATGTTTTGTTGGTGCTTTTTAGGGGAAAGCACAGATCTTCGCACCACAAATGCCACACTCTTTCAAGGTGAAAAAAGCACTTCCTCGCTGTAAATTACTTTGTCATTGATATGTTGCACTTCTAAAGATGCCTTTTTGCTTTGAGGACTCTCAGAAATTTCAGTGAGAGTTATATAAAAGGGTAGGAGGCTAGCCGCAATCCATTATTCTTGCGTAGATATTAAAAAAAGGAAACTTTTGTATACCTTTTTCAGGCCTCTGGACGAGAAGAAACTCTGACGTTACTCCATCTTTGCACTTTTTCTGAACGATGCAGACAGCGGTCTACAAGCATAAGAAAACAAAATATTTATTGTCAGTCCAGTATAAAAGAAGCTTTGTAATTATGAGTAAGGTAATAAGTAAAGTCTATCGAGAGCGAATATGGCTTATCAAGGCAGTATTTATCTCTGGTTTCCTTGGCATAAAACAACTGAGAATATTTCTATTCCCCTGCATTTAAATTTTATGCCAGTCCATCGCAGGTTACCCTACAGCTAATGCCAGAACCTGTTTTTACTCCTGGGTGGAGAGAGGCAAATGGGCATAAAGTGGCTTGCCCAAGGACACAACCTATGACCAGCAGCAGGATTTGAACCCCTGACCCTCTGATCATGGGTCACAAACCCTAACCACCAGGCCGCACTGATAGGTCTCTGTGGGAGAATTGCAACTGCGTATTTTATGCAGTCAAGCACGCATTGCGCAGTGTTGAAAATGTTCCAAACACGTGCTTGTTGCTTGAAATGTGTACAAAATAAGACGCAGCCGATGCGCCTTATGCAAGTTAACGCTCAAAATGCCGTAGCTGGTCTGTAGGAAATGACGTCATTTGAGAGAGACCTACATATCTGTAATTTGAGGGGAAAAGTGCCTCTTATTAACTTGCACATTAAAGGCTTTTCAATTATTCTGAAACAAAAAGTCAAAATATGGATAAAATCTTAGGGTTTAGAAATCTCTTTGTGAGGTCTAACCTTCTCTTGTCTTGGGGTTTCTTTTTGGGTTTACGGGGGAAGTTCATGACCCCTTGTTCGATGTCCCACTCGCTGTCCGCTGGTATGCAAAGTTGACAGTTGTCGGCAGCTGTTAAGAGAGCATTTCAACATTATCATAGTGGAATCTGTGTTCCTATTTTGGTCTCCATGCGTTACTACGCAGTCCTCGATAAAATTCCTACCATTATCAGAACTTCACCGTTGTGCCCTCATGATCAGATCCACTCGTCCAACGCACAGACACTCAAATTTGGAAAAACTCAATTGAAAACTTACATAAAATTTGTAGGTTTTTTTGTCAGAAACAAAGTAGCCAGAGACAAGCTTTTTGTGTTACAAAAGCCTGCCACTTTGTGGTTCAAAATGAACCAAAAGTTTTGAAATTGGCACTAGCAGTGACAATTAATGAGATAGTAAAATCAACAAACCAAACTTCACTCACCGCACTCAATGTCTGGCAGTGTATATGATTTGGCTGTGCCTTTCCCGGCAATATTTTTCTCAAGCCCCTCTTTTTTGGCTCTCTTCAATTTTTCTTCCTGCAAAAGATGGAAATATCGTGAATGACTATTCAACTCGAGTCAGGCATATTATACGAAAAACTTCTATTGAGTGACAAACATTTTATTCCTGTAAAAGATACTGCGGCCGCCTGTAATTATTGTCATTGACAGCTATCATTAGTTATGTTCTCCATCAATGAAATTTGCAATAATTTGGTTTTAAGAGAACTCAATTTCTAAAACTCATAGTGGACCCGAGTAAAAACTACACATCGCAAAAAAAAACCAACTTTGCAGGTAATGGAATTCTGTGAACATGCAAACTAACTTCTTCGGAAGAAGGAAAATGGAAAACTCACATGCTGAAAAGCCCTGCAGCGATTCCTGATTGGGCACTTGTCACAAGAGGGCGCTTTCGGTGTACACACTGTCGCGCCGAGTTCCATCAATGCTTGGTTGAAATCACCCGGGCGCTCCGCGTCGACCAAGGCATTGGCCAGGGACCTCCAAGAAAAAAATAAAAGTATCTACATTAGAGGAACAGGGTTGGTTGGGGAGGGGGAAGCGGAAGGGGTGGGTTGGGTTGGGTTGGAGGAAGGTCCTCAGTTTACTGTCCTTCTGACGTCAATTCTCAGCCAAGCTTCTTACCAAATAGCAGTCTGGACCGTTTGGCTCGTGGAGTCGGCCCCGATGGCCCTAGCTCTGCAAAACACTCGGATGACATTGCCGTCAACAACTCCAGTGGGCTGAATTAATAAAAAGGTCAAAATTTGGAAACGAAAGTCATAAAACGTGAACTAGCAATTTTGTGTACATTACAGCTCTTCTATTTTATGAACTATTTCTTGATATAGTTTTTCTTCTTTTTAGACAGATGGACCAAGGAAAGAATGAAAGCTGGTTAACTTATGGAGCCCTGGGTTCAAGAAAAATTGGAAAGTATTGTAGGGAAGTAGCTGGTAAAATTTGCAAAATTGATTGCAATATAACAGAATTGTGTGAAAAATTGAATTATTTTGTTTTGGCAAAAAAAAAAGTCTCCGGTTTCTGGTCTGCACGCGCATCGCTGTAGCCATGCGCGTTAGCAATTACATTTTTTTTGCAATGTAAGATGATGTCTAAAAACTGCCAAACTCAATGGTTTGACTGGAATCCTGCTGCTGCACAATTTTAACGTGTTTTAGATGGGGTTACGATCGAGTATAAGCTTTATGTGGCCTCTCTGGGCTCCTATATATTTTGCACTAAATTTAGTTGGGCACCATTTGCAGACGGTGTTGTAATTTTGTAATTGTGCGTCTGGAAGCCAGACTGAGGGAGCGATGATCGTGTATCTGGAACCTGCAAACACTTTTTAATTAACGCAACATGTAAGGGAGCAGACTAATGACCAGCCTGGCAGCACATGAACGATGTCGATGCCGCTGTATGGTCTGACATTACCGTTTTCTCTGATTTTTCTCTTGACTATCCAGAATTCTCAAGCCTTATGGCATTACTGAGGTCACTCAAGCTCCAACCTGAAGGATATTTTTGAGAGTTTTATGGGGATCGAAGCATAATCTGCAAAATCAGCCAACATTTGAAGGGAAAAAAAGTGGGGAAAAAACAACAACAAAAAAACGCGTTGCCGCACCACTTTTAGGGCAAGCTCCATACCAGAAACCAGAGACCTTTTTGGGGGGCCATATTAAACTGACTGATATTTTTTAAATGTGTTCTGAATTCCCATTTTCCATTTCCCAACTTGACCATTGGTTCCAACTTTACTTTAGACTGTTTCAACTGAAACACAGAAGTTGGGGCACTCCAAGCTTAAGTTGGGACCTTGGTCTAGTTATAAAACTCCATACCTCTTTGAATGCAATGGAGGCTATTGCCCCCGCCGTGTACCGTCCCACCCCCGGCAGTTGTTTCATGAGTGATTCCGCATTTCTTGGCATCTTGCCAGACAGCTCCTCCATGACCTTCTTGGCTCCCTCGTACAATCTCCTCCCCCTAGAATAGTAACCTAGCCCCGCCCACATCTCGTTCACTTCCTGCAGTGAAACGAAGACCATGACATATTGAAAAGAACAACGTAATGGGCCAGTTTCATATTTACTCTAGTTACTACATTAAAAGATTGCATTAAACAGTGCTCAAAAAAGCAGATTTATTTTTGATGTTTCCCCCTACAGTATAAAGTAATTTTACCTCTGGTGTTGCAGAACGTGCAATGTCTTCTAGAGTGGGCCATTTCTGCAATAAGTTAAGACATAAAAATATGAATTCACAAATGACAATGAGTCGCAATTATAAACAGCAAAGATAAATTCCATGATAAAATACAAAAGGTCAAAATGACCATAATGCAAGGTTTACATGGTGAAGTATGAAGCAATAACTTGCAGCTGCACCACGATATAAAGGTCAAAGTCAAAAAGGACTAAACATTATTTACAATTGAAAATGTGATGGTGTCTACAGGCGTGTCAATGGGGGGTGGGTTGGGCAAATGTCCCCCGCCCGCCCTCGAGAAAATGATAAATTGAGAATATGCTAGAGAAAGTACAAGGATATTGGGGGAAATGTGCTTCCCCCCCCCCCCCCAAGAAAAAATCCTGACAACGTTCATGACGATCATCCTGTTTTTCCGTACCGCCATCCATCTGTTGTAGTAGTCTATGACTGTGGCTACTTGGGTCTGTTGCAACATGATCTCTGAAACCCAGACTCCGTAGGCTCGCTGGTCGGGATCCGGATGATTTGCCTGTAGTAAGGAAGTTTTTCAAAATGACTTAAAATACTATTGTTATATTAATAATACCAAAGAGACAGCAATAGATCTTATGAATGGCAAATACCAAAGAGGTATTTAAACTGTAACAACAAATGTCAAACAAGTATAACATTACTCATTCCTGTCCCAGTGGAATTAAAGCACCATATATTATTATGCCTAGTAAAAAGAGAGCACTGTGTAAGTGTGATCGTGTTGGTGTCATAGATCATGTAGATGTGGTTGTTGTTTTTACCCATTTTCTCCACGGAAGGTCTCGCTTGTTTGCATCATACCACTGCAACAGATCCTGTCGGAACTGCCTCACGTCTTTCTCTTCAGTGAAGAAATGAAATGGGTTGGGATGGTCAACTTTGTCTGAAATAAAACAAACAACATTTACTTATTTTAGCACATAAAAAAAATAAGCAGAGGCCTTGATCAAATTAAAAAATAAACCATCTGGAAAGAAATGTGTGAAGTTCATTCAGGCTAGCAGGCCAGTGAAGTGATTATTGATCTGACTTAAACTTAAATTTAGACTAGTTTGTCAGTACCGTACTTGAATACTTTATTGCATTTAGAGAAATACATGAAATGTCACCTTCAGTGCTTGTATCTCCATGATCTCGCATCTTTCTTTTCTTTTGGGTGTGAGATTTGTCTACGGTACCGAAATCGGCACCACATTGGCTGTTCTTTTCGTCCTCGCCTTCGGTTGAATTCGACGATTCTTCCACGCCACAAACTTCACCGGAGGACCGAGCTGATTTTCGTTTCCTCTTCATCGTCTGACAGATACAGCATTCACGAAATCGACGATCAAAGCGCGATATTGCAGCACAAAAGCGTCTGATGATCATCTGATCACAAAACTGCAGAACATTTCAATTACCATCTCCAACTCCAGTTGACACATGTTATGCAACCCACGTGTGCGCATTTCCCGCGCAATGAAAAACGTAAACAGCATGCGCGAGGACGTCCGCTGGTAATCCATTCTATCACCACAAATGAACTTCTAGTGATCGTACACCACTGAGAAATTTGTTTCTGCGCATTTCCAGCAATAACCTTTGACCCAAGATGGCGCGCTCCATGAGTTGTGACAAATCTACGTTTCCCTCTACAAACTTCTAATTTTCGAAGCAATTATCGCACTAATAAAAAAAATACAAAACTTAAGACAGGGGAAAAAAGGAGTCGCTATAAATCGCTGTTGAAAAGCTTTGAAAATGGCATTCTTTTCAAGCGTTCCTGTTGTGGATGTGCACAGAGAAAACTTCAAGTCGCTTTGGCCGAGTCTGATCTTGGCGATCAAGTCGTGCAGTTTCGTTGCTATGGACGCTGAGCTGAGTGGTTTGGGGAACCGGAAAAATTTGTTGACCAGGTATACACTTATTAGTCTTTAAAAGACTTGGTGGAATTGTTTTTAATTAAATAACTACCTAAGGGCAAAGGTTCCCTGCTGGAAAGTGGAATAAGGCCTTAAATTTGTCATACTTACAAAACGATGTTCAAAGTTGACAAAAGTTAGTGTTTTGACAACAAAATTCTCGCAAACATCCATGGAATCAATGATTTGCAAAACACTTATATATATGTTCAATTGGATCCTGATTATGTCAAAAGCCAAATTTGAGGTTTCTGTTTCATCTTGTAGTAGGCCTACTAGGCCTAGTAGGTTTTTTAGTAGTACTTAGCCTGGGCCCCAAAGTAAGTACAGATGAAAACTGAAAAAAAAATAAAACAAAGTAAACATTTGGCTAAACTGATTATTTAAATTTCCACATGAAAAAAAGATATGTATAAACTATAGATAATATTATTTCATTATTTTGTTGCATATACAACATTTCACTATGTAAACCATTAAATCATTTTAATAACTTTTCAATAATAATTATAATCATCACAATATTTCTTGCACAACTTTCTATTTATAGATCCATGGAGGATCGTTACCAATCCTTAGCAGGTGTGGCAAAGACAAGATCAGTCTTGTCCCTGGGCATCTCGTGCTTCAAAGTGAGGTCGCAGCCGGCAGGGGACCAGTCTGCGCTGGAGACCAAGGATGCAGGGCTGCCCTTCCTCGCGCAGACCTTCAACATCACGACCCTGTGCTCAGAAGATTACACCGTGGAGCCAGGATCTCTCAAGTTCCTGGTTGATCATGGCTTCGATTTCAACAAGCAGTATGCGTCTGGGGTGCCTTACCATAGAGGCCAGGATAAGGTGATTGTGGACAATGAAGTTTGTCACTAGTTTGCAAAATCCAAATCCAAAAAGTTGAGTCAACATATGATGTTGGTAATTGCCTTGCGTGTCAGTACAGGGATTGACAACTCCACCAAGTATTTACAAAGCAAATAGATATATCATCTCATCCATACTAATTCTTTATTTAAATATTAGCTTTCTAATATTTGAATAAAGACTTCCAGCTTCTGGAATTGTTTGAAATTTTGCTTGGCTTGGGATGCACTCATCTAAACAAATCTGTGAATTTGGAACAAGAATCTTGGAGAAAGGACACACTTTGATGCAAGTTGGTTGTTTGTTGCTTACCAAGATATATGTCACTTCAAAGATTAGTTACCTGAGAAAAACATTGGTTCTTAAAACAAATTAGAGAAAAAGCAGTGCTATACAGGGAGGTCCAAAAGAAATGGAACGGCATACTTCCACTACCTTGAGACTCAAACCACCTGTACCAATGGATGGAGAATCCTTTTAGAAGAATTACGATACCAAAATATCCTGATTCGGTCCAGTAGTTTTTGCTGCAGAGACTATTTTGTGAAGCACACTTCTTTCATGTTGGTATTATTACATAACAATCCCACTATCAATTACAATGCAAGTCAAATTCCCGGGCACGGTTTAGTAATTCGTCGGGACAAAAATTATCGATCTTGGTTTCATTTTTCTTCTAAAAAGATTATCCATGCATTGGTATATATGGTTCGAGTCTAAGGGAAGTTGAAGTATGCCATTCCAGGTTTTTTTTACCACCATGTATAAACCAGGATTAAAAATTGATAAAACTGTTGCAGACTGCTAACTGCAATAGATTGACCTGAAATTAAGAAATCAACAAAACGAGAGGGCCTAACATTTCAGGGTTGATACAATTGTAATTTGTGTTGAATATTCATGCATAATTTTATCAAATCATAAAGTTGTCCTTCTTCATCCCCCCCCCCCCCCCCCCCTGACCCTCAAAAAAGGAAGAGACCGAATCGGAGGACACGCAAACCCTGAGGACGCTCTTTAGTGAGCTGATCAGGAGTTCCAAGCCCGTGGTCTTCCACAACGGCCTTGTGGATCTGGTGTTCCTGTACCAGAACTTCTACGCCGAGCTCCCGGCCTCATTCTCCCAGTTCATCTCGGATCTGTGTGAGATCTTCCCAGGGGGCATCTTCGACTCCAAGTACCTTGCGGAGTTTGAGGCCCGCATGCAGGCGTCTTATTTGGAGTATGCCTTCAGAAGAAGGTGAGATGCATTCTTGAATTTCCTCAGAGCCTCTGCACACAACAGATTGATCACATGGATCAACTAGACATTAAAGGATGAATGGGAGGTTTGCGCTAACACCGTGTAAATTAGTCCGAAAATTTGGGACTCAAAATACTGTGTATGAGAGTCCCAAAACTTAAGGTACTGAAAACATGCAATACAAGAAAATAGATTGACATCTGAAACAACCAGTCTAACAACTCTTCAGTACTGCATCAATCAACTGTCAGCTGACTGTGCCAAAAGAAATATCTAGGATGTCGGGTACTAGGTCACTATTTCTACACATTTCTCCATAGTCAGGCACCATACTAATGACATGGAATGAAGAAGTCGGTCTTGTCCAACAGTTGGACCATGGATGGACATGTAGAAGTCCAGTCTTTAGCCTCATTTTTAAATCACTTGATGACTTCCCTCTCATGTGCAAGCCACTGCCAAATATTGAAGAAAAGTCTCCTTAAAAATTGAATTGAGTCTTTGAACTTGGTTGGTGAAATACTGAGGACCTTTCTTTGTCCAATGAAAGTTTTGGAGAAATTTGCTGGCTAAAGAGTGAGTTACATTGGCCTGATCTCCTTTTCCATCGTTTTGAGCCCTTAAGGTCCTAGTCTGCATGTGAATATCTCTTTGTGAGTTGTGCAGTTCTGAGAAGTTGGTTTAACTCCATTGATTATGTCCACCATGCAAATCATTAAGAATTTCTAATTTCTTTTCTGGCCAGCCAAAGGACTAATGCCCGCTTAGCCAGCAGAGGGCAGCAGCATGTTGCTGTAGAGTTCTGCAAGTATCAGGAGGATGCATCCTTTGTGGGTTTTCATCATTGCGGTTTGCCGTCATCGTTTACCGACCAAGGAGGAGCAGCTAGGGAAGGGGCAAAGCAGACGGCCGAGCTGTGTGGAATCTATGCTGTGAGTTCCACAAAAGAAATGTGTTGCAGGATTTCGGAGGGTAGAGCCAAGCTACATTTATTACTAGCAGGCCTTGACACTTGGTCACACTTCTTGCAAGTTCTTTTGGTCCTTTGTTATTCCTTTGATGAGAGTAGTCGACCTTTGTGAAGTACAGGTTTTGCCAAGAATGGACAGAAAAATTAGGCTGATATCATTTTAATCAAGTGTACCTTCATGTTCTTTCTTTCAGGCACATGGACACTGCAAGAATGGGATCAGGTGCCCCAAGTCACATGACCCGGACGCCATCCAGGATGCCGACGAGAGACGCGAGCAGAGACAGAGGAGGAAACGGAAACGGAGACGAAAGCGGCATGATGACTCCAACGATGAAGGGTTCCCGAATGCAAAAAAGGAAAAAGAGGATGATGATGATGACGATGATGGAGATGAAGATGGTAGTTGCCATGGTGATACAGAGAGGGATGAAAATGCAGATGCTGCAGAGGACTTAAAGGAAGAAGAATCAAGTGTCCAAGCAGAAGACACTACATCCAAGCCTGTGAACGGAGAAAGTAGCGAAAATAAGTCCTCCTTGACGCGACAGGAGGAAGCAAGCCCCCAGAAACTGCCAAAGCAGACTGGTGGCCACAGGGCCGGCTACGATGCCTTCATGACGGGTTTCATCATGGCCACTCTTGCCTCGACCACCATGGGCCAACACAGCGGACCCTCCCAGCCAGCCAAGACGGAGGGAGGCCAGGAGTTTGTGGAGGCCTTCCGCCTGACAGAGTTCCGTAACCGACTGTTTCTGAGCGCCAAGGCAGTGCCGCTGTTGATCGCCAAGAGCAAATTTGCCAAGACCTCGCAGAACCACCGACAGAAGATGAAAAGACTTGGGATGACAGCTTCTTAGTTCCATCATTATGAAACTCGGAAATTAACAGTGAACATGTTCAACTCTAACACACCCAGGTCCTTCAAAAGCCATCATTTTGGAAGATATTTTAGGGTTGAGAAAGCTACTTACAGCCAAGGCACGGTAACTTCTCATGGGGTTTGATGCTCCTGGAAAGTAAGGTATAAAGGAAGAATCCTTGCGGAGAAACAAAGTTAGGATAAAAGTTTGTCAGAATTCAAGAGTTCCTCTTCGTTGCCATTTCCCCAGAGAAAACAATTCAAGGGCCACTCTGGGAAAGTTTTTTGTCAAATTAGAAATAAATTATTTTCTAATAATATAAACATTTGTAATACACATCTGTTTTATATTATTAAAATTGCCCTAGGGCTGTCCATTTTCGAATAATTTAGTATTCGATTACTCAAAACTGTGTTTGCCCGAATATTCGGATATTCAAAACTACCAGCTGTAAATGTGTGCCATGCCGGTCAAAAGTTGCATGCAGAGCGAGCCAGTAAAATTTGCGCGCGGCTATCGATATGGAGTGTTTTGCAGTATTTTAGAACTGTCAAGGGCTCTATTGCTAAAAGGATAGAAACAATGAACAGCCGTCAACTAAAAAGTTAGCGTTGACAAAAAAAGTGGCACCCGACAATAAAACACCGCAACATTGATAAAGTAAAATCAGTCAGGTGTGTATGTGCGTAGATTTTGTTTTGAATATTCAAAGCCGCTAAAAGCTATTCCAATATTCAGGTTGATGATTGAATATTCAGTATGTTCGGGACAGCTAGGGCTCTAAATTGGCCTCCTACACTTTCAAGCGAGCATCAAGTTAATTAATTGATTTTTCTGAAAATTGGACGCGATGTTTTTGCGTTTGCACCATCTTTGCAAATTTATACAAAGTTTTCACATTCAAAGGACCCCGTTTAGTCTGAAAGATCTCAAGCCTGCCATAAACAAGGTTCGAAATTGGCGGTAGCCCGCTAGCCAAATGAGTCGAAACAGCGGCGGGCTAGTCAAACTATTCCTCAAGTAGCCCGCTTGGCGAGTAAAAAAAATTATTTGGATACGGCAAAGATGAAAGGACAGGAAGAATAAAACATTAAATTCAGAAAGCAATGATCAATTTGTGTCTAATTTATCAACTGTTTTGTTAAATTATTAGATCTGTTTATTAAAAACACTGACAAATTACCTCAGAATATTGAGCCTGAAAGTACGCCATTTTGTATTTGAGCTAAAAAAAAAAACGTGGGCTAGTGAAAAAGCCTGCGGGCTACTTAAGAGTCTGTTTCAGTAGCCCGGCTGGCTAGTGAACAAAAAAGTTAAGGTCCAACCCTGCCATAAATAAGTCAGTTTCTACCTGAGGTGAAAGGCACAAAACAGGAACGACATGACACAATCTTACTATTATAATTATGCTAACTTTATTACTGTTTTCACAACCAAAGGCCAACAATCGGATGTCAATTTTTACAAAATGTGTTGAAAACCAGTTTTTGTCGCATCTTAAGCTCTAGAATACATAAATCTGAGTATATATGCAAAACACAAAACTTACATGAGAACAAGGAAGGCCCAAGTCAACAATAAACTGAGTCTTGTAACTTTCGCGGGACAAAACTCTTCATTACAAAGTGAACACTTTTTCCAAAAATTTTCCTAACACGCAAAATCGATACCGTCATAACGATCATCTTAAACAAATGCAACCACCCATTTTAATAACGTTTTATTTTTTTAAGTTTAACAAAAAAACATACTATAGAGCACGATTTTAAAGTGTTGTAAACACAAACATATTTCTCAAAAACAAAAACACATTTAGGGTGTAACTTATACACAATCTTGTTTATATATTTTTATCTGTTTAGGCTGATTTGGACAATTTCTAGGTATTTGTGGAATGTTACGCCTGTATATCTATACCCTACAAAAAAATGTCCGTGTTTTGTCTGGCAAAACTTCTGGGAAAACAAAAAAATCTAGGCAGTTGAGGGGTTTTCAAAAGAAACAATTTCAACAAACTAGCGTCGTAAGAGATTTTCAAAATAAAAGATGTTTATGTAAAAGACAAAGAACCCTAGTGTCACTTTTAATTTGGTCAAGGTATCAAAATTTGCATTTTTAAAACATTTGAATACCTGAGTTGGGAGTTACACCTATATAAATAAAAACAAAAACACCGAACAAGAACCAATAAATTTGTAGAAAATTTGCCGACTTATTTCTTTTAAATTTCTTTTTTTCTGTGTGGGTATCTAGAAAAGAGGGTCAGGGGTGTAAGTCATTACTGTACAAAAACTTCCGAATCCAAAAAAACCTGTTTGAGACTGTTGCATTGTGGGAATTTACGTTTCCATGGCAGCAGTCTCCGCGGAACCATTGGCCTTCTGCTCCACTTGTTTGACTTTGATTTCCTGTTTGAAAAAATATTGAGGAATGAATAAAAAAAAAAGGTGGTCATTGGAAATGTTGCAATAGGACTTGAGCCAAACCATTGCTGTAACGGCACTTGCAGTGCATGATATCTTGGTTCAGAGTTGAACACTTCACAGGCAATAAGGCCGCACAAAAAAAGTCTCCCTTTTCTGGTACGGAGCTTGCCCCAAAAGTGGTACGGCAACGTGGGTTTTTTTTCCCCCTACTCTTTTTCATCAAATGTTGGCTGATGTTGCAGATGACGCTTCGATCCCCTTAAAACTCTCAAAAATATCCTTCAGGGTGGAGCTTGACGTGACCTCAGTAACGCCACAAGGCTTGAGAATTCTGCACCCACTTATGATCACGACCGACACGAATGTTCTTCGGGAAATTTCCATAGTCAAGAGAAAAAATCAGAGAAAACGGTAACGTCCGACCATACAGCGACATCGACATCGTGCATGAGCTGCCAGGCTGGTCATTAGTCTGCTCCCTTACATATTGCGCTAATTAAAAAGCATTTGTAGGTTCCAGATACACAACCCCGCTACCTAAGTCTGGCTTCCAGACGCACAATTACAAAATTACACCGTCTGCAAAAGGTGTCTGACTGAATTAAGTGCAAAATATATGAGAGCCCAGAGAGGCCACATAAGCTAGAAACACATTAAAATTGTGCAGCAGCAGGATTCCAGTCAAACCAGTGAGTTTGACTAGAATATTTTAATATTTTTTTTCTAATTCGTTCACTTTCTTTCTGACTCACCCTGTATATATATCAATTGCTCGGATAAAAACTGGTTTCCAGCCCAAATGGCATGTAACGACTATTTGCTCGTGACTGGTTACCAGCTGATCTTGCTCTCAGCAAGACAAACATGCTAAGCAATATTCTCTTGCTAAGCAGGCTCCGTGACACTAGGCCCCGGGTTGGTGCCCACTATTTTCTGAATGAACCCCCGTCTGCCCAAACCTACCGGTTTCTCTGGCGACTGTTTGGCGTCGCCGTTCATGGTCGTTTGCTCCACGCCATTCGTCCCGTTGACGCCGTTCGCGGTGGCCGCATCCCCGCCCCCTTCCTCCTGACGAGACTTCTTCCCGGCCGTCTCCTGCTCCGCGTCCTCCTCTGGCTTCCTCTGCTGACAGCAAAAAAGGTGGGGTCAGTCGGGGTCATGACCCCAAAGGTCAAAGGTTAAAAATCAATTAATACCGTCTTCGGAACAATCACAAAAACGTGACGAAAAAAAAAATTAAATTTCAACAAATTAATCAAATACAGTCTGGGTAACGAGAAACAAAAATTGATGATATTTTTTTTCCAAAGAAATTCAACTTTAAAAGTAATTTTTCACTCAATGTTTTGTAAAGTCATGCGCCACTTTCACAGCGAGCAATTTTAAGGGTCGATGCCCAAATTGAGTTTGGTACAAATCTTAACCCTATAAAATGTAATTTAATTAAATGGAGGAATTTTTTTCCCGGGGTGGGGGGGAAATCATTGTTTGTAAGGAGAGGGCTACATTAGCCAGTTCGCGCCGGGTGACGTGTATACACGCAAAGGTTTTGCGGTATTCGGAACGGATGACAGATAAACACGCAGTGACCGAGGCTGGAAATATCTGTCAGTGACCCGCTCGCAGCGAGCGAAGCTGGAAATACGAGTGTGCTGGCCCGAGGGTGATGGCTTCAACCCGCCTTGCTTGAGGTCGAGTGAAAATTAATCCTGCGCCTCGTTCCATTCTTGTCGGTGCGAACTGGTTAAATTATTTGGGGAAGGCTACGGAAGCCTTCTTGTCGGAAATTGGTCAGTTGTACTCGGAAGAAACTGAGGGAGTTTTCTAAAGACATCTTCAATACCAACGTACCTTTCTGTGCACAAGATGTGAGATGTCGTCTGGCTTTGGATCGGTGGGCTTCCTCACGGCAATCTGCGGGTGAGGAATTTCAGAAGTTAGAAAGTAAAGCTTAAGAAATTCAAACTTTCCTGATTTGTCCAGAACGATATATTTTCAAGAAGAGACTCACAGTTTGGGCTGGGGCGGAGGCGCTGCTCGAGGCGAAGCCACCGGACGAGCTCGAGGCAAAGCCACCGGACGATGACGAACCAAGACCCTGAAAGCAAGGATTTTCAGTGACGTAAAAAAAAAAGTGGGAAAATAATTAACTATTAGAACTCGGTCTTCCAAAACATACTGAACAAATAAATAAAACTATCAATAAGCAGATACAATACTTGGCAGATTCACGTGCTGAAGTGGCTGAAACAACTCGGAAAGAATTCACAAGTCGTGCAATTTTTTGGCTGATATCCATTTTTTACCTCCTAAAACAACACAACTGAAAGGTAACGAACACCATTTCAAAAATGAAACTGTCAAGATATGAAATATCCTACTTCAAATTGTAAGTAAATAAAAGGATCAAGCATCCTAGGAAATCTTTGCGCCTAGTATGCTGTCCTTTTCGAGAAAAGAGCAATTACCATAATTTTCTCACGATCGTTTGGACCAAGCCATCATACTTTCAACAGAAACCCATTTTTACAATTTTTGTCTACTGAGCTGAACTTTCGACAGGTTCGTTTTTCAATAACCTGCTTCAGAAACATTGTATTGTTTTTCCACTAATTGGCCAAAAAAACCACTTCTTTTCACGAGGTGTCCATTACATTTAACAGCCCCATGTAATTTTTTCATATGACGAGCAGCACTGTTACTTGTAAATTAACTCAGGGTTCGAACTTAACTTTATTTTTCACTAGCCAGCCGGGCTACTGAAACAGACTCTGAACTAGCCTGCGGGCATTTTCACTAGCCCGCATGTTTTCCTTTTATAGAGCATCTCATCAACAACAATGTGCATACATCTAAAACGTGTATTATGTGAGGCAATCTTGTCAGTGTTTTTGATAAACAGATCTAATAATTTAACCCTAAACAGTTCATAAAATTAAACACAAATTGATACAGGTTTGCTTTCTGAATTTAATGATTTATTTCTTCCTGTCCTTTTATCTTTGCCGTAGCCCAATAATTTTTGACTCGCCAGCCGGGCTACTTAAGGAATAGTTTGACTAGCCCACTGCTGTTTTGACTAGCATTTGGCTAGCGGGCTACCGCTAAACGTGACCTGCTCGATGACTTTTTTCCAAAGACTTACAAATTCGGCCGCGGCTGAGCGCATGGCTTGTCCGACCGCATTCTCCGCTGTGGTCTTCTCCGCTTTGGCATCTGCGATCTGTTGTTTACAAAAAAGAAAAGGAATTCGCAATTTTTTTAAATAAATGAGGGTGCTATGATGCCACTTTTGGACATAAACATACCTGAATTAAAATCGATTGACATGAGATTGCATGTGATAATTTAAAAAAAATACATTTTGACAATCTTGTATGTTTAGGTTGAAGTAAAGTTGTTAACCCATTCGCGTCGGAGGACGTGATAACACGCACTGGCTGTTTTTATAATACACAGGCATGGCTGACGGGTTAAGACATCAAGATTGCCTTGACTCGCCTCCGGGTGACGTCTAAACATGCTAATCCCTCGTGCCTTTTGTACACACACACAAAGTCTGTGAAGTATGTCGAGGCGGACCATGTGCTGATCTTGAATTGGCCGTTGTGCGCGGCCTATTGTACAATTTACTCTCCAGTGCACACCCCGGAGTATTGAAACATATGAGGTTTCGGCAAGAGATATCGTTCAAATACTGTTGAAATGACTCTTGCGAATCAGCATTTGTGGCATTTGGCTGTGTATCACAAGTTGGCTGGAAAATGTTGCCTTTTGTGAAAATCAAAATTTTCGGCAAAAATAATCCCGGCGCAAAGTGGTTCAATAAACATGATAGATCTACTGTGTGTAATCGGAAAATGTCAGCCACTCACTAAGGAACGCTTGGTTCAGTGCACAGAGTTTGAACGGTTGCTATACACAAAAAGCTTCAGAAATTCTAAGACCTTTTGTTTACAGTGAATTTTTAAATTTGTTAATATTTTTTTTTTTAAAAGAGTGCTATCACCATGGAAACAATTAAATCTACCTTTGCTTTGATTTCAGGGATGAGAGCCTTTAGCTCCTTGATTTCTTTCTGGTCTTGCAGCACGTCCTCCTCAGATGCAGGTTTTTCTGTCCAAAAAAAAAGAGGAAAAATTGAATAAAATAAAAGTAATTCACAACACAGTGCACAGTCGAGAGGTGACGTAAGAAAAGTTTTAAAAAGTGAAACTTATTTTTCACATTCCTTTACGGAAAAAAAATTAATTGAAGCAACAAATGGTATGCCTTTTGCAATAATAGTTTGAAGTTTATTGAAGGTTGCAATTTAAGTTGGAGTTTGTTTTGTGGTTTGACAAAAATTGGGTCAGTTGTCCCGTTCTTATCAGTTTTACCTGTCTCTGTCTTTTTGCTGAGGGTTGCTATTCTGTTGTCAATCACGACTGTAGATTGCCCAAAGTTCTGGAGGTAAAAATACAGAATGTCAATAATAAATATCATTCATCTTTTCAAACCATTGTGAGAAAGTTTCCGGTTTCTGGTCTGCTGTACGGTCTGACGCTACCGTTTTTTCCGACATGTTTGATTTTTCTCCTGACTATCCAAATTTCCCGAAGAAGTTCGTGTTGGCTGAGATCGTAACTGGGTGCAGAATCTCAAGCTTTATGGCCTTACTGAGGTCACCTCAAACTCCACCCTGAAGGATATTTTTGAGAGTTTTAAGGGGATTGATTGGTCATCTCCAACATCAGCTGACATTTGAAGAAAAAAAAAGTAGGGGTAAAAAAACCTGCGTCGCCTCACCACTTTTGGGGCAAGCTCCACACCAGAAACTCGATACATTTTGTTGGCCTTAGAACAGCGAAAATAGTCAGAGTTAATTAAAAGTTCATTAAAATAATTGATCTGTACTTCTGCATTCAACAGTAAATGCTTTTACATGCAACACATAAACCAAAGACTTCATTATTTTTTTTATGAATTTTAAACCCAACTCCCGTTGAGAGTACAGTAAAACTGGTGGCACATTTTCTACACCGACAAATTGGATGAAGAGCCCTGTGCATCAAAATGCTTCCATCAAAATCCAGCCAAAGCAACTGATAGATTTTGATAGATTTTCAAGGGTACAAGTCAACACTGAACTAAGAAAATGACAAAACGGTTTGTAGATCTTACCTCAATAGCTTTGTCAAACTTCTGGTCAAAAGAATACGCCAAGGCCAAGTTGTAGTAACTGGTTTAGATGGACAATTAGTTATGGAAATCATCTCCAAAAACTACATCAGAAATATGTATTTTAATGCAAGTTTTTCCCTCCACTAGACATCAATTTCATGCATTCTTACAGCGTTAACCAAGAGCAAACTTTAAAAAAAATATCTCGGGTGGGACTCGAACTCACAACCTCCTGCTTTCTAGTGCAGACGTCTTAACCACTCGACCACCGAGCTTGCGAGATCGCTTGGCTGGTTCAAATCTGATGTACGTAACAGCGGGTACCGCTTTAACCTATTCATAAGATGGAATTTGCGTCGGGGTGATGTAAATCAATATTACGTTTTGCCCTTCACCGACGTATAAACACTGTATACTCAGTGTGCTACCTCCCGAGTGAAAGTTGGAAAAAATCACTCGGGTGGGACTCCAACCCACGACCTCCTGCTTTCCAGTGCAGACGTCATACCACTCGACCACCGAGCTAACAGGATCAGTTGGCTGGTTCGAAATGGATATCTGATTGGACACTCAAATTCAGTGTTTATACGTTGGTGAAGGGCAAAACCTTATATTAATTTACATCACCCCCGCTCCAATTTCATTCCATCTCTTAAGATGGAATGAAATTGGAGCGGGGGTGATTTAAATTAATATAAGGTTTTGCCCTTTATAAATCAAATTAATAAAGCGTTGATTTTTTGGAACGCAAGGATACGTTTCGGCCAGTAATCGGCTGTCGTTGCTGAGCAAATCCTTCTGTCTTGTCAAGCATTGGGTGAAGTCCTCCACGCTCTGTGGGTAGTTCCCAGTCTCCAGGCCCAACTCCCCAAGCTTCAGGTAGACTTGTGATACTTTCAGCTTGAACTCTTCGCCTTCTTGTCTGATGAAATAAAAAAAAAAATTAAGACTAAGGCCAAAAAAAAAAAGTCTACGGTTTCTGGTTTGCGCGCGCGTCGCCGTAGCCATCTACGTCGGCAAAATGAAAAAGTTTTTTTTCACTGCAAGATGATGTCTCAAAAATGCCAAACCCACTGGTTTGACTGGAATCCTGCTGCTGCACAATTTTAACATGTTTTTAGATGGGGTTAGGATCGAGTATAAGCTTTATGTAGCCTCTCTGGACTCCCATATATTTGCACTAAATTTAGTCGGGCACCATTTGCAGTCATCAGCCGACATTTGAAGTAAGAAAAAACGGTGAAAAAAAGACAAAAGCCGCAACATGCCGTTGGGGTTTGAAGGGTTGAGTTCTGTTAGGGTTAAGCTATAGATTAAGAACATCAGAGGTCAATAAATGTACTGGGTAAACATTTTCAGAAACGCCAGGATCGGGGGGGGGGGGGGGGCTGTACCTTGAAAAGATGATTCTGGCAAGTTCTAGCATCTCCCAGCTCAGCTGGAAATTGGACACGTCTTCATCCTGGAGTGGGAGAGAAATCATGGTCAACAAGAAACTTCTCCGAAACAGACTTTTCTGGGGCCTCAAATCTCCTTAACCCTAACCTCTCAACTCCATCAAAATCCATCCCCAATTTTGGTGGATTTTGGGGAACTTGGTCCTGCAGGCCTGGTTTGACTTCATACTGATGGAGTATGATGGACTTGGGTCTGGAGGCCTAAAGCAAAGCATGCATTGGTGATTGATGGATTTTGGCGGGCTTGGTCCAGTACTTAGTAAAAGACAGTAGGGAGTTGGGCTTAAAGGTTCCATGACATTGAATATGTTTTGTGCCACTTTCTACTCCTCTTATTGGATGAAAACTATTTGACTTCCCTTTTTTTGTTAATTTTATTGAAAAGTGCACTTCTTTAAAGGTTTCAATTGTTTCATTCTCTTCCTGACAACTGAGGGCGCTGTTGAAGCAATGTCATTTAAGGAACACTCTCTTCTTCAGTTTAGGGCTTTTCTGTTCAAATTGTGAACCCCAAAAATCTGCTCATTCAAAAGATGTTTGAGAAAAGTTTGATTCGTTGACTTGCTGTCACCTATTGAAACAACGAATCGCCCAAAACTGAAACTTGACGACAGCACAATATCCAAAATTCTGGCAAACTTTTGGTGCTGAAATAGCTGTAACACTGAGGTTTCTGCCAAAAATAACATCAAATTTTTGCTCATGAATATGGAAATTTGCATTACCAACAACCATAAATGCACTAAAATACCCTTGAAAATGGCAAAATGATTGAAAATAAAGTTCACTGGGACACCAAGGTATATTTTCAAGGATTGCATTAAAAAATGATATTACATGGGCTCTTTGAGCCAAAGTGGGAAACGAAACCCAGATTTCAAAAACACATGGTAATTTTCTACTCTTGGTATCTTAGCTTCATTTTGATTGGCTCACTTTTGTTTCCTCCCCGGCGGCCTTGGCCCCGCCTTCCTCCTCATCCTCGTCTTCCTCTGCCGCATCCTCCTCCGCTGCATCCTCCTCTGCCCCTTCGGCATCCTTACTAGGCTCCGCCCCTTCGGCATCACCACTAGGCTCCTCCCCTTCGTCTGTCAGAGAAACAGAATAAACAATAACAGGGGATGAATCACCCTCCACGTACCAGGTCTGGACTGTTAATTTAAGCACAATTCCACTTTAATTTCTGCCGGCAGTCTTCTGGAATGTGCCTCAATCCTGCAGCAAGACCATAGCGCCTATGTGCTTCCCTGGGAGTTATAGGTAATATACAACATTTGCTTTTTGCTGTAATTTTCAGAAATGGATGGATTTGGGGGTTAGTATTTTATAGCACATGACACTGTTACACTGACCTTGTTGAAGTTTTGTGTTCACAGATGCTAGAAAACCAAGAAAAAAAGTTCCCGTAGTCTGGTTCCCTGACCCTACTTAAAAGGAACGGAGTAATTTATAGACGTTGGAACTTGTCAGGTCAAGAAACCAGACTAGCTGGCTTGCCCCAGTTTACGGATGTGTCACAGATTGCAAACAAAATGTCGACTAACTAAATTTGGTAAATTGGGGGGAGTATTTGAAAAAAAGTCCTTTTTTTTTTCAAACTATGGTCGGCTGACCATCGTTGGAAGTTGATACAAAAATTACTTTTTTTTTCTTGAGAATTACAGCACACCTGGTGCCATGATTTCACAGGACGCTTGAGACTAATACAGTCAAAAGTATTTTATAATTGTTTGGTAGTTGTTTTTTTTTATGTTTGCAAATGTTGTATATTATCTTTATGTGCAAAATGATCACGGTATTGAGGGTAACAATATCTTGTAAAGTGCCTTCACTTTTGAGCTTCACAAAAAAAATGGCTGTGTTATATAAACTATTAAGAACTTAAATATTAGCTATTAGTAGAAATCATAACTTGACTGTGAACAATGATCAAGTGAATGTTAATACTAAGCTTAATATCATGTACAATCAACACAAAAACATGTAAAAGAAAATAAAAACAAACATAACAAAATGAAATCAACAGAGAAAGGAAAAAGAAATTGCAGAAAGTAAAATGTGAATGGTAAACAAAAAGAATACATTTTCTAAAAATAAAGGTATTCAAAACAAAAAAGTGCAACTTTTATACACTGAAATTAACATAAATAGATCTTAGTTGAAAATGCTTTTATGTAACGGAATGTCACTCAATCGAATTCAAATAATAATACGCACGTCCTGTACATAGCTTATACTCTGCAGAATGTGTCCCCGCTAACAAAATAAAGAAAAAGTGTGCGTGTTGAAAATAAAAATTTGTGAAACTGAGAATGCGGGCATGCAATCGTCGGTGAGGCTACCTTTCCCTTCTTTCTTGGCTTTGTCATCTTCATCGTTGTCTTTCTTAGAATCCGTCTTCCCTGCATCGTCGACCTCCATCGCCTTCTTCTCAGCCTTGTCTCCATCTTTAGCTCCCTCCTTCTCTTTATTTCCCTTATCTTCAATTCCCTCCTCTTTTTTCTTCTCATCGTCGGGGGAGGGCTTATCCCCAGCCTTTTCTCCCTCGCTAGCTGCTTCGGGCTCCTCCTTCTCGGATTCCGTTTTAGCGTCATCCTTCTCGGACGCGTTGTCCTTGTCCGTTTCGCTCTCTTCACCTTTTGGCTCGTCCTTCTTGTCCTCCAGGGCTTCCTGTACCTCGTGGAAGATTTTCTCCCTTTCTTCCTCTGGGGAGAATTTTTTAATTTGGAGCATTTCTTTTCCCCACAACTCTTAAAATAACACTAATTTTTCCTTCTAGCAAAACTCATGGATTTATGGTCTGTGAAAAAACTACAGCTTTTCAAATCTTGCAAAAAAGAAAGATGTTCAGAAAATGTCTAACTACTGTGATAAAAAAAAGCTGGTAAGGCAAGAAGCACAAGATGCAGACATGACAGACAGACCAACAAACAGACACCTGGCAGACAGACACAAATAGCTAATATTATTTGGAAGACCATTCTGAGATAACCCTTCCCAATTCAAGGCAAAGTAGTCATTCTTTAGCCCTAACAAATCAAAGCAAAGTGTTTCCCAGCCACCTCTGTAGGAGACCAGCAACTGCATATTTTACGCTATCAAGCACGCATTGCGCAGTGTTGAAAATGTTCCAAACACGCGCGCTTGTTGCTCAAAATGTGTTCGAAATACGACGCAGCTGCTGCGCGTTATGCAAGTCGACGTTCAAAGTGCCAATGCACGTGGATGGTCTGTAGGAAATGACGTCACTTGGACGAGACCTAAACAGTCTATTTCCTCGCTCTGCCCCACAGCCACACAATGAGATCAACCAACCAACAGACAATCCACTTACCTTCTACTTTGTCCCCCTCCGCCTCTCCATCGGTGTCCTCCTCCTCTGGCACTCCTTGCAAGGCGTTGCCTAGGACGCCCGTCTCCATGCGCGCCATCTCCAGCAGGGCCCAGCCATAGTAGTAATAGCTCTCCCCGCACTCGTTGGCCAGCTCGCCATACTTGGCGCCACTGCAACGACAGGATTGTTGGGAGAAATCAGAGATTTTCAAAATGTTTTTGAGTTACACCAGAGGCATGAAAAACGTAACCAAACCCCGACATCGGACCTGGGGCAGTGGGAAGGGGCGAGGGGGGAGGGGACATTTCATCAGCGCATGAAACACTTACAGTAGCTCGCAAGCCTCCTGAAGACTCTGTACGGCACTGGGTGGATCTCCGACGAGCAGATTCCGTCGGCCTTGAGACAACAGAGTGGCTGCCTCCACATCAATGTCCGAACTACAGAAAGACAACCACAATTAAAAGGTTGTTAATTTGAGGCAGTTGATATTTGGCGGCACCGGATTTCTTTCAGTAATGTCTGGCCTGAATGTTAGTTTGCCGGAGGTTGGTTCTGATTCCTCTGACAAACTAGCATTTGCTTAACCAGGTTGCACTGGGATTATTTTGACAAGAGCGGAATGAGGCGTGGGATTACTTTCCATTCGACCTCATGTCAGGCGGGTTGAAGCCATCACCCTCGCAGCAGCACACTCATATTTCCGGGTTCGCTCGCTGAGAGTGGTCCGTTTCAAGTCGATCATTAGGCTTCGTAAATGACTGCTGAATGTATGAGGTATGTAAATGAACTCTGGGGTGGGATATTAGAAGTGAAAATTAACTATTTTTGAGAGGCCATTTTTTTAGGGTCTCTTGCTACCACATTCTAACGAACAGGTTATGCCTCCAGCGTTACATGTGAATGAATATGGAGCATGTCAGCTGGAGTTACTCAAGCTACGTCGTACTCATGTTGAATTTTTTTGTCAATCTCCCCAAAAAGTAATAGGCCTGGGCCTAGACCATTGTTGATTTGTTGTCTTCTTTTAAACTAGTATGTTAAATCGAATCCTACATTTAATTGCAGAATATTCATCTTTTTTTCCTGATTCCTGGAAAATAAAGGGAAAAAAGTACGAAATTGTATTCATCTAGTTATACTTATAATAAATTAGGTCTATAAATTCCCTTCTTGCCCATCTGTTAGCGGTTTTAAAACACAAAGTTAGTCACAACAACAATGTTAGCACGAAACCAATATGACCAGACGGACAGTCCGACAGTCATCGAGGTACATGTAAAAAGTCCATAAAACAGTCACTGCACATGTTCGGTGCCGTGCCGTTACAACACAGAGAACAATCCGTGGACCTGTTCACGGTCAAATATACACTGCCTTCATGGCCTTTCATTTTTCTAAAATTCCTAACAATTCTTTAAAAAATGGTCAGAATTACCAATCTAAATACACATTTTACCAGTTTACTATAAAAGATGTGATGCTGGGGAAGCAATAAAATGAAATAGCCATGATTTTTTAAAAGCGCATTCGTGTTAAATAGTACAAAGAAACTAGAAAGACTGAGCACGTGCGAACAATGAAAATCATGCCGTACCACAAATACATGCAATGCTGCAGATTGCTGAACCAGGTTAACGTGGACGCCACAATGGCCGTGTAATTTATAAACAACTGACAAATTGCCAAAAACAGCCCTTCTACTTCACCAATCATTTTGACTTGTTATACACCAACGTGTGGATAAACTCGAGAAGCATTCACCTGGCTTCGGACTGAGAAGTGCTTGCACCGGGTTCAGACATTTCGAGGGTTTTCTTGCGTAGCACAATTCGCTGTCGATGTCGAACACAATCACTCCACACTGTGTGCTGTCACAGAACCAGATATGCAATGATTTCGCGGGAAATCGCTTTGAAGGCAGATGGCTATTCTATTAAGATGACCTACTCCCTCAAATATCCCCATTGTTCGACAGACATCTTTAGTAAAATGTTACTATTCGGCCACAATTTAAACTCAATGAATAAACAAATGTTCTTTCAAATTATCGCTTCATATTTTTAAATTAAAAAGTATTAATTTGATAAGAATATGAGGTGTATGATTGTGTTTTTATTGCCAGTGTTTTCAGACAAAAGAATTTATATCCGACGACTGTTGCATGCGTGTGAATTTTTTAATCGTGACGTCACATCTCTGGCCGCCATATTTGCGCATGTACGTTTCGAGCCGTGGACCCTCGTGGACGAACTTCGATCAGAAAGAAAAAAGAATTTCGTTCTCAGCAGTAAGTTGGATCATTTTCAGAGTAAGGTTTTAGTATTTATAAAATCCGCTTTTCACGTGGTACAAACGAGTGTATATCTTTGTGTCTGGTGTTTCCAGTTGTCATGTTTATTTTATTAAACTTCGTAGTCGTAGGATGTGTGTGTGTGGGCAAAAATGTTCGGTGAATGCGCATGCAATGTAGGTTTCCAATGCAAAAGAACACGTGTATCAGTATGCATACCAAGCCAAGCGCGATCGTGTAGTTACGGGCCCCTATTTAGTTTCGATTAAATTAGGTTCAATATAGTGTTTCCTATCATATCCAAAATGACTTTTTGAACCTAAAGCACAGGCATGCAACTGGGAAATCACAAAAAAAGAGGAAATTCAAATTTTCCCCAGACTTTGTCAGTTGTTTGTACAGTGTTTTTCTATTTTCAATGGCACACATGGGAAGTAATAAAAAGATAGTGGATATTTTGCCGAAGGTAATGATGGCAAACTAACGTTTACTAAAGGTTTGCCGGCGGCAATCTATATCAACAGAGGGCCCTGTACTCTTTAAGATAGGGCTGAATTATAAGATGTATTAAATTCCCATCAAAAGTTGTGTAGCACGTTTGGTGTAGTGGTTAAGCAAATGCTCTAGTAAGCGGGATGACACGCGTTTGATTCCGACCGCACCACATTTTAAAGTTTTTTTTTTTCATCCCCAAATAAATAAGAATATTCTTCTTTTATTATTTTAACATGTCTCAAACATTTTATTGCAGAGTATTACATTTTCTTTTTCAGATTTGTGGCTCTGGAGGATTTTTTTTAAAAGGGAAATAAAGTCCGTAATTATAAAATGGTCTGAATCCCATCTTGTGAATACGAGGTTACAGCGATAATATTGGCATGGAGCCAGACTAAAATTTGTCACCGGAAAATGTTTATGTACTAAAAAACAGTAACTGCGCATGTTCAGTGCATATCCGGCAAACTAACGTTTACTAAAGGTTTGCCGTCTCCGGCAAAATATCCACTGCCTAAAAAAAAAAAATCAGCTGATCCGAGGAAAAGTTCCATGCCTGAAAGCAGGCTTGTCTCAATTCGAAAACACATTTTTAATAATTTTGAACAGTTTCTATTTTTTAGGGTTGTTCACTTGTCATGCTTGTTGCCATGTGATTCAGTGTGCCTTGCGCATTGATGGTACATCGTGGTGATGGCTGTCTTTATTTTTGTGTTGCATTTTGTCATCATGGTCATTGTCATCATCACTTTTTTTTGTTTTACCTCAAAATTTCCCTAAGAAACCTTACCCTTAAACTAGTCCGAGTAGGACTCTACAGATCGCTTGTTTTAACATTTGGACATGGTCGGGCAATGGTAGAGTCCGAGATAGATGGCCCTATATTGCGGCTACTAATTTTTTTTACCCTTTTCACTCATACCCCAAATCAAAATCTTCAGATTTTACCCCCAAAACGGTCTTCAAACTACCTTATGCGCCCCTGTAGGTTTCAGTGGGAAGTGAAAATACAAATGGTGGTGGTTAGGTTCACATACCGTGGGGAAGAAAAGAGAAATTTCACCTTCAATTCGGAAACCGAGCCTCGTCGAGCTGTCACCGCTGTCTTGAATGTTGTTGTGCGATTCAAATTCATGAGGTCAAACTGATGACGTACGAGGCGCCAGCCAAGCGCACGCCCGCATTCACAGTTGGGCATATCGTGTGTTTTCTCTCTCCGGAAAATCAATCACTTTTTATCTCAGGCTGTGCTCCGTGGTCATATATGGGTCGATGTGGCCGGCAGCCATAGGCGCCTTTACGTGCCAGAGGCCTGACCAAGTTGTAGCCGCGTCCTTCGCAATTCAGCATCCCAGCTGCCAGTAGGGATGATTAGCCTCCCAAATGGTTATTATTTCCGGTCTTGCTCGCTGTGAGCGGATCGCTGACAGATATTTCTGGCCTCACTCGTTGCGTGTTTATCCGTCATCCGTTCCGAATATCGCAAAACCTTTGCGTGTATACTGGTTAAAACAGCATGGGTACTGCAACCAATGTTTTTTCATCATAAATGATATGGAATTTGCTTTCATTCTTCCAGGTCTAAAGTGTGCTACAGAAACAACCCATCATGAACACAGCCGAGAAGTTGAAGAAGCAAGTGGACCAAGTGCGGATAGGCGGTAAGGGGACGGCAAGGAGAAAAAAGAAGGTGGTCCACAGAACCTCGGCCTCGGACGAGAGGAAGGTGCAGACCCAGCTCAAGAAGCTGGGCGTCAACACAATCCAAGGCATCGAGGAGGTTTGTTTGACTAACTCTCATTCAAATTTACGATTAAAAAAATGACCGGTGCAGAGAAATTTTACTAAATTCAGAACAAATTTCCATTTGTGGCAAAGTTTAAACCCTAAACTTACCACACACAACGGATTGCATCAGGTAAAAAAAGTCTGTGGGACCTTGCTGCATTGAGACACCAACACCAGTGCTTAAACGGCCAATTCTGAGACAATGAGAGCTAGTCCTATTGAACAATGCCACAGTTGTATCCTGCTGCATCCGGCGACCACAGACTCTGAGGCAGGTTGGCCTGTTGATGTCTCTTCCAAATTTCAAGTTCTTTCTTTTTTTTGAATGGTTTAGGTGAACATGATTAGAGCCGACAACATGGTCATCCACTTCAACAACCCCAAGGTGCAGGCGTCTCTAGCAGCAAACACGTTTGCCGTCAGTGGGCTCTGCGAGACCAAATCACTCACAGAAATGCTGCCCGGAATCCTCAATCAGTTGGTGAGTTTGGATGTTGTTAAAGAGACGATGTTGTTAACCCCTTAAGGACGGGAAGCGGTCATGGCCGCGGCCGCTAATCCTCATTGGAATGCAGTTGCCAGCTGTGGTATGCCGTGGCACACGGCTAGTGGGTAGTTCCACAGCTGCTGCTTTTGTGCAGTCCCGCTACCACACAAAGGCTGTGCAGTCATGCGGGCCACTTGCTCTATGTGTGGAGGAATGTCCCCATTACACCCCGTCCTTAAGGGGTTAAAGAGACGATATGTAAGAGCGTTCGTTTTGTGGTTTTGTAGTTATTTCAAAAACTGCCAGACGGATACTTTTTGGGGGACATATTGTAGTGCAAGTAATTTGACCACTATATCATTTCCTCATTATAAGCCAAACAGTTTTCATAAATAGTAAAGGGCCTCGATGAAGACATTTCTTGCTGTCTGCATCTACCTTAAACCCTTACTCCCTCGGCCTTTTTGCTAGGATGTAGCCTCAATTCTGTAAAATCCTCCAATTGGCCTCATGGGAAAATAGTGTATAGCCTCAAGCCTGCAAATTCCTCCATTATTTCTTGAGTATGGTCCGTGGAGGGGTGATCACTGCCCGAATCCTGCAAAATCCTGCAGCAGTGACCGTCAATATGTTGAGGCTTGGCCAGTGACATCCTGGAGCGGTACAGAGGATTTCAAGCATAATCCAGACCTATATTTATGCTTGGCTGAGCAAAAACACAAGGTCCGGCCCAAGACCTTGACAAAGTGCATCCTACAAAATCATTAACCCTTACTCTCTGAGGGTAGTTTACTGCATGTCAGTTGGTTATGCCAATGCCCTCCAGCTGCAGTTTATTGGCAGATAGTTTGTCTTAACAGTGAAGGCTCCAATTGGCAGGAGTTGGAGGCCCTGGAGGGTGCCTGATACTGACCAGCTGGGGGCACTCACTTTGTTATCAGAGGACTCTCATTGTTCTCTGTGGCATGTATTGGAGTGCCTGTCCAGTTACCCTTGAAATGACATGGCAGATATTGGAGGGCCATGCAAAAAACATAGGAGATTTTCTTGAGGCACATATTGGCATGCGTTGGAGGGTTTAGTAGGGTAAGGGTTAATGCACTCTTGCCATGTAACCTCAATCCTCCACATTACTCCACTTTGGCAAAGAGGATTTTGAAGGATTCAGGGCAGTTAGGGTTAATAAGTCAATAAAACTTACAAGTTGCGTACTGATAATTGTACTTTCATATCTGAACAAGAATTGTCTTATGGAAATCCTAAAAATCCAACGATAGCAATTCTGTTCGATCTAGTAGAGTCACTGTTACGAGAAATTGCTGGTTCAGAACAGCTTGACAGAAGCGCATTGAAAATGTGCGTCTCAATTTCTGCACCCTACTGATTCAGGGCCATTCATCACTTTCAACGCAGGATAACCAGGACAGTCTCCGTCAATTTACGGCAAAGATGCCCAGCATGCAGGACGCCATGAAGGCAGGTACCAAGCCGGACACCATCGATGAGGACGATGAGCACGTGCCAGGTAAGAGGTCGGGTCAGGTCAGGCAGTGGTCTTGAATTTCGAGAAAATCCTGCTTGACTACTAGTGCCGAGCCAGTAGGGGTGTGCATTTACGGGTGGTACAGGAACGGGTGCTATAAATACGGAAACCCGTTAAAGAAACCCAAACCAAAAATTCAAATCTTGGAAGTTCCTGTTCAGATTGTTCGTAAAGGTCCGCATGATAATACTACCACATCGGTGCGGCAATACGGCTATTAGGCACAAGGAAACTAATTCAACCACAATAACCATCTCTGCCCTCACAGGTACCCATTTACTCCTGTGTGGAGAGAAGCAATGAGTAGCAAAATGCCTTGCCCCAGGGCACACGCACCATGACCTTAGGCTGGACTCGAACCCACAACCTGCAGCTTTACCCGCAGACCACGAATCCAATGCCCTTATTAAACCACGAGGCCACAGCACTTGCAAGCACTCATTCCATAGACTACTTGACTACAAGCTATGAGCTCGAAGACTTCCAGGAACAGTTTCGAAAACCTGGATCTTTTTAATATTCCTTTTTGTTTCTTGCTTTGCCTCTCACAGATTTAGTAGAGGATTTTGATGCACCCTCCAAGGAAGAATCCTAGGTTCCCATCTACCACTTCACACCGTTGGAATTCAAGAATCCAGGATCCACAAAACCCATTGGCTTGAGAAAAAAAAAACAGCCGTCATGAGGATGACATAGCTTGACTGCACTCGTGTAACGGCAATAGAAAGTTCACATTATTGGTCTGCCGTGCAGACTTTGGGGGAAAATCAAATAACCCTTTGCAGAGGCGAGCTTTATTTACCTGTTCAACTTTTGGGTTGCATTACGTTGCGTAGCGGGTACATTACTTCAGGGTGACCTTTTTCTGCACGACAGTTCTTTGAAATTGACCTTTCTTGTAAACTGGAGCCGCCTAAAGCGAATGTGTTATTTTTATTTACAATTTTTTTTTATATAAATAGCTCATTTTTTTTGTAGGTTTGTTTAATACCCACATCCAATGTGGATTCGGACATAAAAAAATGTATGTTTCTGTCTGAAGCCATGTTGTTTCAAGATTTTTCTTTGTTTATTATAACCTACCTAATGAATTTGTTTTGTCTTTATTAAAGTAATTTGTTCTTCCAAATTCTGTATGGTAATGTTAGCTAAACCTGTAACTCCGTACGGACTCCGTGCAAAAACAGTAGAGGGCTCTTTGTGAGCTCTCGCAGAAAAAGACACACTGCGTATGTGCACTGGTTCGCGCGCATAGCCTTTATTCTCGAGTCAGCCATATTCAATTGAAAGCGAGGTAAAATTTTCATTTTTGCAACTTGCGAATAGAAATAAAAGTAATGAAATAAAGTTAATTACAACTTAACACCAGTCTGCTCTGATGAATAATTTAAAATTGGTGATTAATTATACGCTAATGTTTTAAGCCACATTTAAAAAAAAAATTGAAAGCATAAATAGTCTGGCACCATTCCATACAACAGTTCACAAGGCCCGCAAATCAGGACGGCCCTATCTGTAACCATGCACGGAGGCCATCGGGTAATTTTAAGACATCTTTGTTCGGAAATCTTTTCCTCGAACGATCAAAGATTTTTTTCCTCCAGCAAGATCGAGGCCAGTTGATGTGGACAGAGTTGGCATTTTCCGTTATCAAAAAAAAAAAAAATTGTTTTCTCTCTAAAAAAAGCTTTAAGATAATATAAGTACTTTGATTGTAAAGTGTTCATACAGATATATTCAAACGGTTACACGTGAATTGATATGTGCTTATGTGTTGTAGTTCAATATCACAACCTGGACACTTCAACATTTTTGTATGAAAAAAAAAATGAAAAGACGGGGGTGGTTTTAACATTTTACACTGAGATGTAAACAATCTTTGCTGAAATGCCTGCTTTCTAGGCTTGAGATGAGGGCATGCTAGTCCTAATCTTCCGTAGGGCATTAACAAATTGTAAGTTCACAGGTTATCGGTGCAGTGAAAAATGGTTCCCACATTGAAATTCGCTTTATGGAAAGTCCAATAAGCCTCTGTACTGATGACGTCACACTTTGTTTACATGTGCACTTTCCTATGGAGCCAGTGGGGGCCCACGGTCCACTGAGCCCCATAGGAAAGCACACACGCAAACAAAGTGTGACGTCATCAGTAAAGAGGCTTATTCTCTGTTGGAGCTGAACCATTTGCCAGCAGCAAGTACAGAATTTCACTTGTGAGTTCTTGTCTCATCGGAAGAGCGGTGTTTTGCTGGCCAGATTTACTTGTAGTGTTACGGTAGAGATGCCGCAATTTCAGTTACTCGCCAACAACTTCCAGCATGTGATTGCGGCCAGTTGAATTGTAAAACTGACCTGTTTTGTTGTATACATTGTATAAACTATTTTGTAACGTCCCAAATAGAACATCGGTCCCAACTTAAGTTTGGACGGTCCCAACCAGAGTGTTCCACCTGGAACATGCAAGTTGGGATAGTACCAGCTGAAGTTGGGACCGCGGTCTTGTTGGGGCGTAACATCATCATTCACACTGGATATTCATGTCGTTCAGTTTCCCCTGATTCTGTTTACTAACAAAAGTTGGGTCTTTACATAAGACATGTTGGACGGCACGATTTGGAACGTGAAATAAATGTCACTGGGACAGCTTCTTCAAATATTACAAGTTGCCAGTTTTCTGAAGTCAACTTTCTTTTCCTCCATGCAGGAATGATATGTTTGCATCATAGAGCTATATTAAATTATTAGAGCACTAACTCCTCATTCTTGCGCACAGAGACGTTTTGAAGCCGTTCTGGGCGCAGACATTTTGAATTCATGTGCGTGTGTAAAACACGATGAAATTAGATGAAGTGAATTTTGAAAGTGTACTCTAAATGAAACGCGCAAGTACAACATACGCAAACAACTTAAGCGTGTCATGACGGTTAAAAAAACGTCGCAGCAAAAAATCATCTGCATATACGCATTTGCATTGTTTGCGCAGAGCAAAATGAATCGCTCATTTACTGATTATGTGTTTCGGTTTAGGGTGTATCTGCTTCGATAACGCACTGGTATAGAATACAAACACAGATATGCAAATAGCCGTACAAAAGCCGTACAAAATTTCGAGTTTTTCCATAGGTTTGTGCACAAACATGGATGCGCCCAGCAGGCATCACTTTGTACATGGAGTCAGCAACTCTCATAACTTAATATAGCTCTATGGTTTGCATTCCGTGGCAAACGTCATTTTAATCTCGCTAAGCAATAATTGAGCCAATATGAGAAAGCGCCAGAATTAAAAACAAACACAATTTACTTGGACTATTTCCAGATTTACAAATTAATTCTGGGCTCCATGTTCATGGCAGGTTAGACTGCCTGTGCACCACCCCCCCCCCCCCCAACTTGTGCCCCATCAGATTTTGGAGAAAAACATCTTACTTTTGTTAGAAAATATGCCCAACCTACTAATAACCTCTTCCTAAAATGATGGGGTCCCAGAGTTGCCTCGTCCCTTGCAAATATGACCCTAGTTAACCACTGATTGAAGATCATTTTGTCTAAACAACTGCATTCCATAAAATTGAAGAACATTGAGGTTATGTAGAATGTCTGAAGTCCATATTCCCACTGGGATGATCATAGAACAGGATTGGTACACAATCTGCTACTGAGATTTTTAACCACTTAACGCCGGGATTATTTTGACAAGAGCGGAACGAGGTGCGGGATTACTTTTCACTCGACCTCAAGCCAGGCGGGTTGAAGCCATCACCCTGGGGTAGCACACTCATGTTTCCAGCCTCGCTCGCTGCGAACGGGTCGCTGATATTTCTGGCCTCGCTCCCTGCGTGTTTATCCGTCATCCGTTTCGAATACCGCAAAACCTTTGCGGGCATACACGTCATCTAGCGTAAATTGGTTAATACACCAGCTGGTTTCTGTATTGGGGCAAAACAACTTGGTCCCAAAATTTCCACGTAGAGATCACTGGCAGCACATCCGACATTCATTAAAAGGCACATAAAGCCATCGAGAAGCACCCAAATTGTCATGAATATTTCCAGTATTCTATCGGTTGCCGGAAATAGTGCCTGCTGCCCTCCACTGACCATAGTTCTCCAGCTGATGCACTCCCTCCCTTTGTGGTCTGAGACCACAAAGGGAGGGAGTGCATCAGCTGGAGAACTATGGTCAGTGGAGGGCAGCAGGGCGGCGATCCAATCCGAGAACAGATGTCTTGGAAGGATCGTGTGGCCATAGTCATGTCAGAAAGTCCTCGGCTTCGTATCGGATGTCCTGCAGCAGTTCGGCAATTTGTGAGATGGTCGCGTTTCGTCTGGGAGAAAAGAACACATCAGGTGACAAGTCACAGCAAATAAACAATGACAAAAGAATGCTTTTATCACAATAACTGCTGTTCATTTTCTTACAACTTGTCAGTTGTCACCATAAGATTGGATAAATTTTGATGGACTTGTGAGGACTAGAACACATCTTTAACAAAGTGCATTGTTAGAAGTGGACGCATAATAAGGGGACCAGGGTTGTGCTTTTGTCCAATGGTTACCGCTTTTGACTTGTGTGCCGTGGTACATGGGTTCGAATCCTGACCGTGGGAACATGGTGCTTGTGCTCTTGAGCAAGGCACTTTACTACAATTGCCTCTCTCCACCCAGGAGTATAAAATGGGTACCTGAAGGTAGAGACCCTATTGAGCTGATCTCGAGCTGCTGCAGGGTCTCATTCCTGATGAACTGGGATAATAATTGTGATGCGCATTTGATCATATTCTTATGGAATTGCGTAATATAAATTACTATGATTATTAACATGAACATTCAGTAAGTCAGGGTTTGAGAACAGGTTTTTTTTTTAATTTCCATAAATTTGAATTGTGTTTAATAGATAATTAAACAAACAAATATAGAAGATCCCCCCCCCCAATTTGTTTTTCTTGATTTCAACTAAGGTGTCCAAAGTTCCAATTGTAAATGAATATTTACTTGTGTTTGAGTTGAGTGACTTCATCTTGGATCATGTCTCCAGGATCATCTTGGAGTCTCTGCTTGGCTATCTGAAGCAGCCCCGTCTGTAATGAAAAGACAATGATGATGAGCGATATCCATGTGCATGACCACGCCCTATGACCACACCCTTATCACAGCCACGCCCTCGTCTGTAATCAAAGGACACTGGTGATGAAAAATAGCAAGACACATGACCACACCCTATGACCACACCCTAATTACAGCCACGCCCACGTCTGTAATCAAAGGACACTGGTGATGAGAAATAGCAAGACACATGACCACGCCCTATGACCACACCCTTATCACATCCACGCCCTCGTCTGTAATCAAAGGACACTGGTGATGAGAAATAGCAAGAGACATGACCGCACCCTATGACCACACCCTAATCACAGCCACGCCCTCATCTGTAAACAAAGGACACTGGTGATGAGAAATAACAAGACACGTGACCACACCCTATGACCACACCCTTATCACAGCCACACCCTCTTCTTTACAGTTGCCAAGTTTCTCTGTCCAACTACCAAACACTTGCCCAGCCCTTGATACCACTTCCATGAGTAGACACCAGTACTTTAATTATTACCCCTAACTCCCTAGGCATTTTTTGCTAGAATGCAACCTCAATCCTGCAAAATTCTCCAACTGCCTCCATGTAAAAATTGCATACAGCCTCAATCCTCCAAAATCATCCATTATTTCTTGAATGTGTTCCTTGGAGGGGTGACCACTGCCCGAATCCTGCAAAATCCTCCAGCAATCACTGTCAATATGTTGAGGCAGAGTCAGTGACATCCTGGAGCAGTGCGGAGTATTTCAAATATAATAGGCCTGAATTAATATGCACCGCTGAGCATTAAAACAACACAAGGTCCGGCCTAAGACCTTGACACAGTGCATCTACCAAAATCAGCCACACATTTTTGCCTCAATCATTTGTCAATTCTTCGAAATCCTCCACTTATTCAAGGAGGATTTGGGAAGGTTAGGGTTAATGAATGAAGTTAAAAAGCATAACAACTCCAGCTCCTTTGGTCACAAAAGCATCAGCGAGAAGACGGAAGAATCCATTGACATCAGCCATCTTGGAAATTCCGTAATCTTGGGGAGAAAAAACGGCCGCCTCCTCCTGTTAAAAAAAAAACGGATGATAAAATTTTTTCCTTTTAACTCTCTTCTAATACCGGTTTTTTCCTTACCAATTCTAGTTTGCTCTGTTCATTCTCTTGCACGTCTCGGATCAATCTGGCAATCTCGGTTTTGTGCAACGCCTCCCGGAACTGCTCCTCAATCCCGATGACTCGCTTGGAAACTCTGGAGAACTCCTCCGTGCAGTCGTGGACAACTTGGCGGAAGACTGGGAAGTCATAGTCTGGAGATGTGTCAAGGTACACAATGTGAGCCCTGGAAAATGGAGGGAAAAAAACAATGATGAAACAAGACATTTTGAGTTGCAACTAGCCCCCCCCCCCCCCCCCCCCCAAGTATGCCTAGCAAGTTCTACTTAAAGTTTAAGCATGTCTAACACAGTAGCAGAAGGAAGGCAGTGAGTGATTGAGGCTAATTTAATTAATTTTGACTTACTGGTCCAACTGTTTGTAAATTTTGATTCTTTCCTCCTGGAGAGAGAAGAGCTCTTTTATCAGCTGTGCTGGTCCAGCTTCAACCTGTGTACGTGTGTGGCACAAATGAAATATCTTATTTCCGCACTATTTTATGTATATAAATTCTAGTTTAATGGACATGACATGAGTCAAAAGAGCACGCAGCAGACACACCTGAATGAATGGTTACACATGGAAGACAACTTTCAGAAACCTAAATTGTGGGGGGAAGAAAAATTAAAAGAGACTCGAGATCCATACAGATAAATACATCTCTAGTCTGATTACATGCTAACTACCATTGTTATGTTATTAAACGGACTCCCAGGCGTAGCTCTATGGCAAAGAACAACAAAACCGATTGTCTCATTTCAACTCATTAGTCATCGCATGCTCTTTTTATTACTTCGACGATAATCGTCGTCATACGGCTGTTCCATGAACCTTGAAAAAAGTACAAATTTAATGGGACCTATCATTTTTCCAAAAGGTAGGTTTGCGCTGGAACATGATTTACCTGTTTTACCAAAATGATTTTAGTTAAATTTTGCCAATACAAATTGACTCGAAATAAATTTTAAAAATTTAATAATATCTGCGTATTGTTTGGCAAACATTTGCTTGATAATAATTTTATTTGTATCATCCTTCTTTCTTTCAGGTTGATTTATGGGCCCCTCTTCAGCAAATGAAATGTGCGTTATAGAAGTCGTGGCGTCGTTGAGGGCGCTATTTATCTGTCATGGCTGCGCCCTGTCGATGTCCAAAGTAAGAAAACAAAAACACATCCAGTGTCGAGTCAGCGACAACAACGTGCTCATGCTATCTACAGCGAGTGGCAGGCAGCTAGAAGAAGGAATCATTGGTTTATATTTTAACGGTACGTTGTTCACAACCGCTGAAGTGGCATCTGGGTACTACATTCTTTCTGTAATAGGGGGCCGGGTGTAACTTTCATGATTTTAGGGAAAGAATGTCGGTGACGCCACTTCACTCAGCAGTTGTGTACAAAGTCAATGGAGATTTTCTAAGTTATTTCCTAACAAAATTGGAAATGTTTCTTAGTCCCAGATCCATGTCTTTTCAACATTTTTGCAATGACCGACCTTTTATTAATGAGATGATATAGGCCCTATGAAGAGAAAAAAGGGCATCAAGATGCAACATTCTTTCCTAACTATAATAAATTTAGTTACACTACAGAGTAATTTAATTTTAATTTTTTATCATTTTAATAAAATAATACAAATTAAAATTGAGGTCGGTAACTCTTGGGCTATTTCTTTAAGAAAAGTTTATGACTAATAAATTAAAATGACGGTCCACTCCCAGTTTATCCTGTGGGCAAAGTTTCACTTAAGTAGTGTTCTTAATCTTATCATCCTAATGAACAAATTTCCAAATTTGAAAAAAAAAAACCTCTTTTAGGCCAAAAACAAAATAAGTCGGTCTCTGGTCAGCGCGCGCGTCGATTTTAATCATGCGCGTCGATCTTTTTTTTTTCCAAAATGTTCCGCGGTAGCTCCAACAGCGCCCTCTATTTCCGCACCTCAATTTTTTTTACCAAAGAGCACCAAGGAATGGGAAATTGCACCAAGGTAAATGATCGAAAGCACCAAGGCAAATTATGGAGGACACCAATGTACATGAGGACACCAAAAAAGCAAAATAGTACCCCACCTTGTCTGTACAATCCAAGCTTGAAGAAGAAAAAAAAAAAAAAAAAGCCGCGTGTCCACGTCAATTCCGGAACTTTGGTCTGACCCAGAGACCGAATATTTTTTTTTTGGCCTTAGTTTGCTTTCATGGTTTACCTGATGTTATGTAGAATATTCATTCACAGACACAAGGTAGAGAAGTGACAGACGACGTAGTCATGGCCTCTCAACGTGCCAAGGAGGCCTTTTACACCAATCTGACGGGGACCACGCCGTTTGAGATCTCCCTTGCCGTTGCCATTGGACCAGCCTCCGAGTTGCTGCGATGGACCCTCATCCCAATTCTGGTCATGTTGTTTGGGGGCGTGGTCAAAAACAAGTGGTATGTTTAATCGTTGGAAAAAATGTTGGTGATAGATCAGGTGCAAGGGGCATTCCTCCTATCATGCCTACCTTCTCCCCAGTTTGTTTAGATCAGTTTGAAAAAATGGTTAAGTCTGTCACGAGCCAATGTGGCCCATCAGGCCGGAGTTTATCTCATGTTTCAATAGCATGAAACGACTGAGAATATTTCTACTCCCCCTGGACCGGATGCTAGTCCATCGCAGGTTTCCCCAGCTAATGCCAGTACCCATTTACACTCCTGGGTGGAGAGAGGCAAGTGGGGTGAAGTGGCTTGCCCAAGGACACAACATATGACCAGCAGTTGGATTCGAACCTCTGATCATGAGTCGCGAACCATAACCAGTAGGCCACACTCGGGGCCAAATTTCATAGCGCTGCTAAGCACACGATTTTCTGCTAACAGAACCTCTATTTCCGTAAGCAGTAAAGCATGCATACCTCAGAGGCAAAAGTTGCTAAAATGTAGTTGATGTAACAATGGAAATCTCCATGCGCATATAACCGTTAGCATTTCCATGCCATGAAATGGTGCTTAAAGTAAGCGTAATATTCTGCAACAGTAAGCACAACTTTTCTGCTTACTGTTAAGAAGCCCTATGAAACTTGGCCATGGTTTGCAAATGATGGAGAAGAAATCTACACATAATGTTGAATCAAGTCTTTAAGATGTTTGAGTTTGTGGAATCGTTTGCTTTCTGTGTTTAGGTTGGGCTTCGTTCTGGACTTCATCACCCTAGTTATCCCACTTCTCCTTGCCTTCACTGTCTGGAGCGATTTCCTTCAGCGTTTCTTAGTCGTCCTCCTGGTCACCTCGGCAACACTCCTCTTAGCGGCCTACCTCCTCCAGCCGATGAAAGCCCAGAGGGTGAAACGCCCTTCCAAGGCCAAGACAGTGGCCGCGTCCAGGCCGCTCTGGGAACTCCCCATGGAATCGGAACAGCCGCTCTTCATGACCATGTTTCGTGTGCACGGAATGGTGGCCTCGGCCATTGCGATCCTGGCCGTTGATTTCCCAGTCTTCCCGCGTCGTTTCGGCAAGACGGAAACGTATGGGACTGGAATGATGGATGTAGCTGTGGGGGCCTTCATGTTCATGAATGCAATCGTGTCCAAAGAAGCCCGCGGAAAACACCAAAATATTTTCAGGTACCTACTTAGTCTGTGAAATATTGTTTATTAGTCTCTCGGCTATAGGGAATATACATCATTGGCTTTTGCTGTAATTTTCAGAAATAAACTATTTGAGGGGTTACTATAATAGATCAAACATTGTTTCACTGACATGTTTGAAGTTTTGTGTTCGAAAATGCTGGAAAAACCAAGAAACACAGAAATGGTGGAGTAGTCTGGTTCCCTGACTCCACTAAAGATAAAATGGATCAATTTATGCCGGAAAATTGTAAGGTAAGGGAACCAGTCTAGCTGGCCTGCACCCATAACCAACAGCAAACAAAATTTGGAGTGAAAAATGGTGAATTTGGAGCAGTAGTTGAAAAATAGTTAGGTTTTCCAATGGTGGTAGGCCGACCACCGTTGGAAATTTATACAAAAATACCAGTTTCTTGAAAATGACTTCACATCAGGTGCCATAATTTTACAGGATGCTTTAGACTGTCATTTACCAACATCCTTGTGAGGTATGTTGTTAAAACTTGGTAGTTGTATTTTTCGATGTTTGCAAATGTTGTATATTCCCTTAAACATGCAATCTATTAGCCAAGGAGGGGTGTGGGTGGGTAATTCTGACCCTTCCTGGTTTCTTTTCTCAATAGCTGTGGGATATCAGGAGCTGTAAAGTCCCTCACAAAGACGGTGGTGTCTGCCCTCCCCCTGTTTCTACTTGGTACAGTCCGCCTCATCAGTGTCAAGACTTCGGGCTACCACGAGCATGTGTCCGAGTACGGTGTGCACTGGAACTTCTTCTTCACATTGGCCGTTGTTATTGTAAGGTTCCTATCATTTTTTTTGGGGGGGGGATGGATTTCGAGTGACGTATCATTTATCTCCATCCTATTTTGTTTTTAATTCTCCTGCTATCTGAACAGTCTCATACAGTCAAAAAATCAATCCACTTCCCCTGCCATGCCTTTTACACAGGCTAGTCACCAACAGTCAGATCATATTTCAAGCAAGCACGGTGACTAGTCAAATTCAGTCAACGGACAAAGGCAGACAAGTGGTAGGCACAGCAGGCTTATCAGTCATCTACGGTCAAAGCATATCTGTGTCAAGTAACATGAACAGTCACAGCCACTCAATCCTGCTTTATGTTGGCTGGGAGCTCTTAACTGTTGAAAACGGTCACACGATTGATTTTGACTGAAAGGAGTCAAAGGACAACTTGGCACAGAATGTATATGTTTGCATAGGAGGGTTAAATCATATTTTGGGGTTTATTTCATGATACGAAAACTTGGTAAGCAAATACAAACACTTCATTGATAATATTCATGGATACTGAAATTTGTATCCTTGTGGAGACATTTCTTTGTTCTCGTGTAGTAAAGTTTTCGTGTTTGAAATTGTAGTATCAAAATGCTCTCATTTTAACCAGAATTAATTTCCTTGGCTGAAATTCGGACTTAATACCCCTTTTCTAAAACACTTCCATTTGCGACAGATCAACCCACTTTGGAAATTCCTAGTTTCTGAGTAAAATCCATATATCTATTTCGTGAAAACCTTGTGGAAACGTATTCCTCTATAGAAATTGCCCTGTGGAGACGTATACAATCTTTTGTTCCCTATTGTGTGCATGTCTCCAGAGGGCACGGTGTTTCAGATCATCACATTTGATGCACTACTGTTGAAAATAAAATTTCATGATCAATATTGTCTTGAATTTGAAAAAGGGGAGATGGTAGCCAGATATCTTTCAGCTCCAAAATCAGAAAATCACCTTTGTTTGTAATATCCCGGAAAATGAAATAAATAAATAAATAAAAAAATAAAAGAAATCGTCCTTCGTCTTCAATTCTGCCCAGGTAGGTTCGTCAGCCTGTCTGCTCTTCATCCCGACCAGTCTGAGCGTCCCGCTCTCATTGGCCCTCGCCGTGGGCTACCAGCACCTCCTGACCAATCACGGCCTGGGACAGTTTGTCCTAACGGGCAGTGATGGCCGAGGGAGCCGGGAGGGTCTGCTGGACGCCAACCGAGAGGGACTGGTATCCTGCCTGGGGTACGTGGCCATCTACTTTGCCGGGGTGTGTGCAGGAAAATTCCTCCTCATAAGAAGGTAAGGGAACGGTCCAACTCCAAAGTCTTAAAGACTTCGAAAGGATTTCAATACAAATAACTGCAACTCCTTTTGCACAAAAAAAAAAGAAATTTGCAGCCATCCCTACAAAAAATGAACTATTGTTTTTCCCCTTACATCTAGGACCCTGTTCTTTGATTGGTGGCTCGCCTTCCTACTACTGAACGTGGTCAACGTTCTGTTGTGGATTCTTCTCGAAGCGACGTCCGTTTACATTGAGCCGGTCTGTAGGCGCACGGCCAATCTCCCCTACATCATTTGGACGGTGAGTCTAACTCTCGTAACTGTTCCCACTAAACTGAAAGAACTTAAAGGGAATATACATCATTTGCTTTTGCTGTAATTTTCAGAAATGGATGGAATTGGGGGGTTGGAAATATATAGCAAATATAGTTACACTGACTTTTTTGAGGTTTTGGGTTCGAAAATGCTATAAAAACCAAGAAAAACAATCATTTTCCTGTAGTCTGGTTCCCTGACTCCATATAAGAAGAAACAGAGCAGTTTACATACATTGGGGAATTGTAAGGTCAGGGAACCAGTCTAGCTGGCTTGTACCCGTTCATAGGTGTGTAATCGATTGCAAACAAGTGCGAAGGTCAATTGGGGCCAGTATTTGAAAAAAAGCCGATTTTTTTTCCAACGCTTGTCGGCCGACCAGCGTTGGAAATTGATACAAAAATACCACTTTTCTTGAAAATGACAGTATACCAGGTGCCATGATTTTACAGGATGCTTTACACTGTCATTCACTAACAGTCCAGCAAGGTATTTCAAAATGATTTGGTAGTTTTATTTTTTGATGTTTGCAAATGTTGTATTTTCCCTTTAAGTCACAAGACGAAAATTCCCCTTTTGCAGATATTCAACCAAACGTACAGGTTTTGTTATAACTTTGACAGTTTAAAATCAAAGGGATCAAAAACAATGTTATGAAGAAAACCTGTCATCAAAAAAAGTTTAGTGCCAGCAAACAGACAATCACAAATGTAGTAAATATCGAATTGAATATTCATTGTATATATAATTTTCTTCATTTTCCAGTTGTCCTTTTGCATTCAGCTGCTAGTGTCCTACATGTTGGTCGATATTGTGTTGGCGTTAGGAAAAGAGTTCATCTGGAAATCTCCTTACAAGTTATCAGCAAACAAGGGTGAGTTCGTTCGTTTTTCATCACTTGAGAACCTCCAGCCGTGAAAAAAATGCTTAAAAGAAAGTGGGAATTGCCACACTTGTTTTTGAAAGTTCATTGTCAAACATATCCAACCGATGTCCCTTATCCAACTTTAGATCGCGCCTGGAGTTAGTTTCGTGGGCATTTTTTGACAGTCTTGGCGAAGCAAATATCACTTCATATACCATACTTCATCGAATTTCTCAAGCACCGTCAATGGCCAAAGTGCAGAAAACTTATGAACATCAAAGCATTTTATGACTTATTTATTGACAAATCTTACTTCTTTTTTTTTTATTGAGCAACTTAATCTCTCTTAATTAGTACTTATAGAAGGCCATTCAGAGCGTTTGTTTTGTAAAGTCTGTTAATTTAAAATGCTCATTATTATAATTTTGTTGAATGGAAATACATTAAATCAAAATCAAATCATTCAACTTTTCCTCGAATCAGCTGATTTCCTTGGTTGTTGTTTTTTTCACTTAGCACCTTTGCCATTAAACATTGAAAAACTCCCTGTGTAAAGTTTGGCATTTTCTCTTTTTTTGTTACTTCTCAGTTGTATGCTTGTTAGGCCAACAAAAAAAAATATTCGGTCTCTGGTCAGACCAAAGTTCCGGAATTGACGCGGCGACGCGGCTTTTTTTTTTTTTTTTTTTGCTTTTTTTTTTCTTCTTCAAGCTTGGATTGTACAGACAAGGTGGGGTACTATTTTGCTTTTTTGGTGTCCTCATGTACATTGGTGTCCTCCATAATTTGCCTTGGTGCTTTCGATCATTTTCCTTGGTGCAATTTCCCTTTCCTTGGTGCTCTTTGGTAAAACAAATTGAGGAGGTGCGGAAATAGAGGGCGCTGTTGGAGCTACCGCGGAACATTTTGGAAAAAAAAAAGATCGACGCGCATGATTAAAATCGACGCGCGCGCTGACCAGAGACCGACTTTTTTTTTTTTTTGGCCTTATAACTGAATTGTCAAAAGATTTTTTTTTTTTTAGTTTTCCATCCATTTTTAGAGTTGAATCTTTGAAAATTCCTTCATATTTACAGTCGCCAAGCATCCCTTGCTCCCGGACTCCATTCTCGTCTCGGCGCTCCGGCCGAATCTTCTCCTCATCTTTCTCCTCTGCAATCTCCTGACGGGCGTGGTCAATATGTCCATGGATACCGTCAGCCAGCCGACGCCCGTCAGCATGTCGGTGCTGGTCCTGTACATGCTGGGCTTGTGTTTGATAGCCATTGGGCTGCATGTCAAAGGAATGAAGCTCAAGTTTTGGTGACGAAACCAGAAAAACTCCATCAAGACTGGAATGTGATGAAGATGAACTGATCTGAATGAATGGATCAAGCATTTGTGGATTGATACATGCCCCCCACCCCACCCCCACGGCTACTTTGCCGTGTTTTCCTTGCGCCACCTACACACTGAACATATGCATCTTTTTAAAGAAAGAATGTTGCAACCTGACGCCACTTCGGTTGTGTACAAAGTGTATGGAGAGTCTAGAAAATTTCCTCACAAAATTGGAAATGTTTCTCAGTCCCAGATTCATGTCTTATCATTTTTGCAATGACTGACCCTCATTGAGATGATAAATGAAGAAGAAAGCAGTGTCAGGTTGCAACATTCTTTCCCTTTTAAATTTTAAACAATTGTAATTTATGTTACAACCAATTCTGAAATGATTTGTGCTAGGAAGGTAGACTTAGTGCTTAAATACTGTTGTAGGTTACAAAAAAAATTGTTTTTTTTTTATATTAGTGGATTAATTGTGCAAGAATATTGCATTGAGAAGTTTGTAACTTTGAATTAATGAAAGTTCTTGAATGTGCATTTCGTGTCAAATAAATTAAAACGATTATTGTTCTGCTTCAGTCTGTTTGCCCTGTTTTTAATGACTTTGTTAATTGACTGAAATTAGGTATGCCAATCTGTAAAGTTTTATAATTTGCTGAAAGACAATCATCATCGGTGCGAGTTAAAACATAAACACGTTTTTCGAAGTTTTTCGGTTATGGTATTTTCTCGGGTCTGTTAAATTGTTTTCTTTAGTTAGGGAAAAAAGCCCTAGCGAACACGTGGTATTTATTTATTACCGTCATCAGTCAGTTTTGAATTGCAAGATTTCAAATGCTGTATATTTTTTTACCCAAACCATCAAGAAAATGCGTTATTATTATTAATCATTTCTGGTAATGAAACCAAGGATTCCTCAATAGTGCCCTATATATGGGCACTGTAGCTCGAAAGCCTGGAGAAACCTGCATAGAGGAGACAATGAGAAGAAATTACAGTTAAAGAGGTGGGAGGAAAACCCCAGAATGATATTCTAGGAATACAGCAAGGAAAAACCCAATCCACACTGACCCAGGCAGGAATTGAACCCGGTCACAGCGGTGGAAGGCGAGGAAAGTACCGCTACGACAACCTGACTCCCTCCGCCTGTTTGTTTGCAATCGTATAAGAAAGTTCAGCACTGCCTGATTATTTGGGTACAAAAATGAACTGTTTTTTATGGGGGAATAGTATAGTTTCTACGCGAGAAAGTTTACGAACAACCTTTGTTAGGCACAATGCAAAGGCTCATAAAATGCACGGCATGCGCGCAGTTAATGATAAACACTTCAAAGGCGCGCGAATAATGACCCATCTGGCCGCCGTACTGAAAAAATCGATCAATCAATCATATCGGTCATAAAAGTCGATTAATTAATCACAGATCAACCACAAGTTAATCGATTTAGTTATGTTGTATTAACCGTGCAATCATTGCACCGTAGAGCAAGACTTGCTCTATGGTTTAGGTATGCTGAGTATATAGAGTTGGGGTTATCACCTGAGACATCTCTCGGCTAAAAAAAAGGGGGGACTGTTGCGCACGCAGAAACTTGCCGCTACCTTCATCACGTAACCGCATACTTTATCCGAACGATGATTCACGCATGCAGCGAGTACATGTGTATACGTACATGCATGTGGACGCGCTCGGCATGCACATTAAAATTCGGCCAGGATCCAACGGCTGTTGTGTGCATCATAAACATCACCCGACCCGGAGTTTCCGGTATCCGGCGACATTTTGTATGATTCGTTCCGGTCGAAAGTTTCCAATTAACGCGGATTTTCCAAAGGGTGGTTCCGAAGGCCAACTCACAAAGGCCAAGCCTTAAAAGGCCTTGAATTCAATTACCGAGATAATAATTACGTATCAATAACTTGATCAGAAAAAGGATTTTAACTTAAATTATGTTTATTCTTCGCTGTTAATATTCATAACAAGTTAAAGATAGAGAGTGAATCATCGGTTCTGTGGACACATTTTGGGCCGATGAAAGCATTACAAACATTGGTACTTCGGTAGACAAAACACGCCACACATGCATTTATACAGCCGTAGATAGTGTGTAGCCAACGTCTTTGTACATTTTGTTATACATTTTGTTATACACCATTCTGCGGTTTGTTTGACTACATTTCTCATTCATAAACACGACTACACTTCTAATTGCTCTAGTGGCGTATTTCCGGACCATCCGGTTCGTTAGTATGACGTCATCTCAACTTAACTATGCTTACTTCACATCGGTGTAGCATATAGCACGAATGGAACCGGAAGTTAACGCAGCTCGAGCGTTTATCCAATGGGCGCTAGTTATGGTGCGCTTGCGTGACTATGACGTTTTTACTAAACGAACCGGAATAGTTAAGTTGTCATTTAGTTGTTGGGCTCTTCCTTTATTTCCCCTTAGATTTTGGATATCATCAGATTTTAGGAAAAAAATCCATTCTGGGCCATGAGCTCCTGCACAAAGTCTATGGGCCATGACAGAAAATTTTATCAGAGAATGTTTGCACTCCTTAAATCGTGTTTCTTCATCAGATTTACAACTTTTGGTACTTTTCAGGTCATGTTATAGGAATATGAGTGGCGGCCCAGTATTGCCCCCGGCCCCCAACAAATAAAAATTAGAGTCTGGCGCCGCCACTGCAGAACTGCTTATGTCCGCCATTTTCTTAGTCTATAGAATATCCCCTTGCACAGCAAGGGTCTATGATATTATGCGAACAGATTCGGCGATTAATTATGCAAAACAAGACTGCGCCTTGACCTCGAGATTCTGACCATTCAGCAGGCGCCTTCTATCGGGTCTTCGGTAACCCGTTGTTTTATAGAAAAAAAAACATGGCATCCAAATTGACCAATGACAGCTTTAAGATAGTCCACATTTTTTTTTTATCGAAATGACATTATAGGTTCCAAAGTTGACTCCGATAGGCTGGCGACTCCTATAGTATTGAATAACGTTCCTAGATCCTTTGAACACTGGCGTACTCCATGCAGCATTGCCAAGATTTCGGGTCAAACGCTGTGAAAACGCACATCTGGATTAATCAATATTTTGCAACGTCATCCATCTGCGCCGAGAACATTACTGATTCACTGTGGCGAACTATTGTATTGACAATTAAAAAAACCTTGCGGTTGTTGGTCAGAAATGTTACTCACAATGGCATGCCTGTGCTGTACCTTACGTAATATACGCACGAATTTAGTTATCTGCAAATAGTTCCATCGCGCCATGCAACAGCCGTAGTATTGTCAACGTATTGAATGAAGGCGCATGCGCTGTAAACTGCATTCGCATGTTGTGGCCACACCACTGTGTAGTTGGAGAGACGCGTTATTTGCGCTTATAAAACGAACGAATTACCGCGAATTTCTTGTCGGAAAACACATCGAAATCGTTCCAGACGGACACAAATGGGTACTAGGACCAACCAGGAAGTGATATTGGAGACAATAGACTCGCTGCGGCGCCGCAAAGCCCGGCCCGATCTCGAGCGAATATGCCACATGGTCGAGCGCAAATATGGCGTGAGTGCAGCCGAAGTTGAATGCGAGTTGGAGCGCTTAGTAGACGACGAAGTCGTGTTCAAAGTGGAGTACAAAGGTAGCACGAGCTATCGCAACGCCAGCAAATGGAAGCAAAGTCACCTCAGTGGTAACAGGCTCAACTCGGCCGATTCCAGTCGCTTACTCTTGGCAGCCGTGGAAGAACTCAGCAGAGTCAGCAAAGATGCAAGATCAACTACTACTGACACAGTCCGTCCACCAGACGGTGGTGGGGGGAGCCGGCGGGGGGAAGCGGTTCAAATCGAAGACATTGAACGCTACTTGATGACCCTTGACCCCGATACCAAACTGACCGCTAAGATGCGACTGCAGATTGCCCTGGACCGGGAGGTGTACAGCGGGCGACTGGCCAAAGTCAGCAAAGGGGTGTACGCGCTTCCCCCGCCCGCGGAGGAACAAGCGAATCCGGCAAGGGCGTTTAAGAAAGTGGATCGCGTCAAGAAACGAAAGGTAATTAATTGTAAAACCAAAGTTTGTATATTTATCATCACAACCCGAAGACAACGCATAAAACTTGCTATGTAATTATGTGATAGAGATTAACATGTATGGGATGAACGCGTGAGCCGTTGAAGAATGTAAAACAAGTACTTTTTTTTTATATTTATAGGCCTGTCATTGAAACGCTTGTCATCTCCTTGAACGCGAAACGATACGTAGTAGGTCTACCATGCATGGTCTATGGAGGAATTCCTCCATGTAATGTAGGGTCTACCATGATTCGATCGGATACCTATTGATATATAATATGCGCGTGCGCGACGTACGCGGCCGGCCTGTCACATCACACAGCTTGTCTACGGAGTACAGTATGCACGGCGAAATTTCGAGTCGGCAGATAAAATCAATACTCAGTGCTGATAATAAGCCGCGAATATCACGGAAGTCTATAAACATGACTTGTGCACAGTGCTACAGTGCTGCAAACAATATTGACCGCAGCAGTCATGCCGCTACGGTTCATTCGGTTCTCAGTCACTTTTGTATGTCACGTGACTTGTTCTGCATTTCAAAGTCTCCCCCATATTGGTGTGTCACGCGCGATATGCTTTGAAACACCTCGGATCCTACACACAAAGATGAACGATTCGGCCCAACTCCTGGTTAGACGCGCCACGGCCTGTACTGGTGGCAAATACCATGAATACTTTTCAACAAAGACCACTGCGCGCGGTGGCTTTCAGATTTGCAAGGCTCTTCCCCGATCTGGCCTCGAAGTCTGTCAAGCCAGCGAATTATATTTTTGAATATTCATGAGTCTACGTTTTTGGTCTTTATTATGGAATTCTGATATAAAGTGATAACTACATAACCATGGTAATGCCCAGCACAATATCTTTAGGTTTAAGATGAACAATGAAATGTCGGTTTTTTTTCATCGGTTCGGCATCCTATCTCTCTAAAACTTTTTAATAAAAGCCTAATTAAAAACGAAATTTGGGCAAACTGTGTTCTCCTCGAAATTTGACGTTCATTTCCCGGGTAACTACTTCACTTATGACGACAAAAACTGCACATCATCTGTTATATCCTGAAGTATTTATTTTTTAAATAATTTGGAACAATTATATCTTAAATGAGAAGTAGTTACAGTTTTATGAATATTTCCGTTTTAGATGTCGTGCAAAAACCCAACACAATGGCACATCTGGAAAATTCGCGATTACGCCGCGCCAACGGGTGTTAATGCCCGTTATCACGCGTCTAACCAATTAAGGCAAGTCCGCTCAGTGCATTTTGTACTAGAGCTCAGAACAGTCGTTTATCCTGGTGTCTAGGATCCGTGGAAACACCAAGCATGGTGCTTTCGTACGCTTTTTGTACGTGCAGGCTATTCGCAACCGCAGCATTAGGCCAAAAAAAGTCTCCGGTTTCTGGTATGCGCGCGCGTCGCCGTACCAATGCGCGTCGGCAAAATGAAAAAGGTTTTTTTTTTCAATGAAAGATGGTGTCTCAAAACCGCCAAACTCACTGGTTTGACTGGAATCCTGCTGCTGCACAATTTTAACGTGTTTTTAGATTGGGTTATGGTCGAGAATAAGCTTTATGTGGCCTCTCTGGACTCCCATATATTTGCACTAAGTTTAGTCGGGCACCATTTGCAGTCATCAGCCGACATATGAAGCAAAAAAAACAGGTAAAAAAAAAAAAGCCGCGTCGCCGCACCACTTTTTGGGCAAGCTCCATAAACAGAAACCGGAGACTTTTTTTTTGGCCTTAGCATTCACATCCACATAGTGCTAAATCCCCATTGTGCACAAGGCACTAGTATTACATGTAGAATGCAGAATGAACCAACTGTAAACGACGTATACATGTACCTCATTCGCCCATTTTTTCTTGAGTAAAACTTTAAGCGAAACGTTTGCTTAAGAAAGCTATGATCACTTTTGCAAACACATTCTGAGTACACGCGCGTTTACATAAAGAAGTGCGCGTGCACGTGCACGTGCGGCCTATGCTGCTGAAAATGAACCATCTTTTTACTCTAATACGAATCAAGCGATAAACAATTATGACCACAAAACATACCTTCTGTTGTTGTTTTTACCATTTTTAAGCTCTGGCAGGAACTTCTACATGTCACTTGGTGGTTGGTCGGTCTGTCCCCGGAAAATTGACCAAAATGAGCCCCCTAAGCAAAGTTTCCTACAAAATATAACCATTAAATATTAATTTTCAAAAAAAACCAAACAGAATAAATTAAATACTTAGAAAAAATAGTTTGTATCATTTCAGAAAGATGTTTATGAAAAGTTTGTAAATGGTGGCAAAATATGTGCAGTGGATGTTATAGTCACGCGGTATTTGTCACAAATCGCTATAAGTATGGTGTTAATGTTTTCATGTGCACTCGCACTTGTCGGAGAGTTAAAAGTCCTATGCGATGTGTTATTTGTCTAATGAAGTCCTTGAAAATGCACCTTTGTGTCCCATTTAGCTTTATTTTCAACTTTTGTTTTGCCATTTTCAAGAGTGTTTTGGTGCTTATGCCTGCTAAGGCCCCCCCAAAATAGTTCTGCTTCCGGTTTCCCTACCTACCCTATTCTGACAGCCCCTATTGTGGAAAAAAAATAAGGGAAAAAACACCAAAAACTATCAATTTCTACCTTTTACCCTTGATTAGACGCAGACGCCTCCACATATGATCGTACACAAAAAATGGCCAAAAAATACTAATCCCTACCTACCTATTTCAAATGTCATGTAATCGGAAGCAAAACTATTAAGTTTTTTTGGCCTAATGCGAATTTCCATATTCATGAGCAAAAAATCCGATGTCATGTCAGGCCGGCAGAAACCTTTGTGTTACAGTTTTTTCAGCACCAAAAGGTTTGCGAGAATTTAGGATATTTTGCTGTCGTAAATTTTCTTTTCGGTGGTGATTCGTCGTGTCAGTACATGGCAGTAAGCCAATGAGCAAACTTTTCTCACAGATGTTTTCAATGAGCAAATTTTTGCGTTCACAATTTTACCCAAAAAAACCCTAAACTGAAGTGTCTTCCGGAAACGACATCACAGCAACAGCGCCCTCAGTTATCTGGAAAAGCATGGAATTTTTTTTATAATGTTTAAAGAATGGCACTGTTCAATAAAAAAAATAAATCAAAAAAGGATGTCCAATAGTTTTTATTTAAGGGAAGCAGAAAATTGTACAGAAAAATGTTCCTAAGAAAAATCCACTTCAGGAACACTTTAAGTGAATAGGCCTATATGACTATACAGGGTGAGTAAAAAAAAAGGAAACCCAAATGTCATCTATTAATCAAGTTCTGCATGTAGCCCTTTTAAAATCTAGGATAGGAAAGCCCAATTCAACAATAATCATTCAAATCACTCATGTACTTTTCAAGTTACGGAATTTTGAACACAAACACCGTTTTAATGTTCTGTCCACGGATCACCAAAAAGGTGAGTGTTCTTTCAGCAAAACAAAAACAATTCACATAGGGATAGGGATTTTTTGAATCACCCTTTTGAGATGTAAATCGTCCTTTGATTTTTGATTCATTTTTCTATAATGAAAAAAAAAGTATTCACCAATACTTTTGTGTGTGACATTTCTTTTGTGATCCGCGTGAGATGAATTCGAAACAAAATAGAAATACCGTTTAGAGTTAAAACGCGCCATTTTGGTAATATCTTCACAATGAAGTGCCGTGTTTGTTTGATATAATTTGTTGATTTGATTAACATGATTTTCGAATGATTAATTTGGAAAACAAAAATCGACGTTTGGTTCTTAAAATGGAACGTCATAAACAAACAATGTGTCGGCATGCACATGATTCTTGCTCATTTTCATTAATCAGCTAAGCAAAAGAAAAATATTTACTTAACTAACTTCAAAACTAGAATAAAAACACTCAGAGAGCGCAAACCTCCGCCAAGGCTAAACAATAATTCCCCGCCATATTGTCAGTACAACCAAAAGAAATACTCGCATGAATGGTGAAGATCATAAAAGAAGCCTGGATCCAGACCCAGATCCGGATCACTTTCAAAATCTAATCGATTTGTACTTGTACCAAGGACCACCCCTAAAAAATTCATGCAAATCCGTCCATAAATTATTGAGTTATCTTGTTAACAGACTAACCGACCAACAAACACACGCCGATGAAAACAGTAATTACAAATAACACGAGCATTAAGCTTATAATCTTTTCTGTCCTCAACAAAAAAGCTTAAGAAGTTTTTATATTCGCACAGGCATGAGTAGTGCATTTTCAAACTCGACATGAAAATGTAATCAGTATGCGATGTTGAAACTAGCAACACGGGACCGGATGGAATTCCTAGAATTTGGGTCAGCAACGAAGGAGAATAATCCACGTGATGAATTCGACGGCCCGGTAAAATAAATTTGAGATCAATTGGTCCAGCAGTTCTATATTTATAAGACTTTTGATGATCATGGTCGATACCGCTTTCGGCTGTAAAATACAGCGCGAGTTGATAATTTTGAGCGCTTGTCGGGATCTAGGCCTTTCAATGTTTTAATTAGTTCGATTGCCATGTGAACAGCGATAAATGGTTAGTCTGAGGATCACACATTCGCGTGTGCAGAGCAACGGTCAAGGGCGGATCCAGGGGGGGCCAAAGGGGGCCATGGCCCCCCCCCCCCAAAAAAAAAACGAGACCAATTTTTTTTTTTTATGTAACATCGCAATAAAGGCAGGCAATGAGTACACCACCATCTTTTCCTCAAAAAAACATTGGTTAAAGTGGTCAGAAATTGCCTCAGATCGCACCACAGAGCATCTAGAATCCAAAAAAAATGTCGGGGCCCTTAAGCGGGCCCCGAACCCTACGCCGTAATTTTTTTGACCCACTTTTGGGGGGTCCAAAAAATTTTTTGGCCCCCCCAAAAAATTGTGTTCTGGATCCGCCCTTGGCAACGGTCGAGCGATTATATCACAACATGCAAATTTTATGCGGTCCCGTGCGCCAGCCAATCGGAATCGACTTTAGAAACTGTGACGTCATTTCGATTAGCAATGCGGACTTAGCTGTTGATTGGTCAATTTGGATTATGAAGTTTTTTAATTCATGTACAACAACGGGTTACCGAAGACCCGATATATAGAAGGCGCCCGCTGAATGGTCAGAATGTCGAGGTCAAGACACAGTTTTGCATAATTAATCGCCGAATCTGCTTGCATATCATAGACCCTTGCTGTGCAAGGGGGGATATTCCATACACTAATTAATGGTAGGCTGCAAGATCGTCACAGCTCATGCATATTCAATTATGATTCTTACTGACTTTGGTATCACTTTTTGAAAACAAGAATTGGAATATTCATGATGCTTGACGATTTCGGGGTGGTATTCTCTAACAGCTTTCGATTGTTATAGGAACACTGGTGTTCAGTGAAAGGTACAAAAAGTAAAATAAAGTTTGAGCATATAAAAGAGACGCATTTGGAATTTGCTTTGAAATACACAAATGTACTATGCAGCTGAAATTCAAAGCGCGCACACGCTTTTGGTGTCGTTTTTGTATAAGTACGCCATAGTGAACACAAAGTGCTAATCGGTAAGCAATATACCATAACAGTGAACCAAGATGTACAGGGTGAGTAAAAAAAAAAAAAGCGGAACCCAAACCGCAAATATTCCATTTCATATTTTTAAAAAATGTGTAGCACCAAAAATAATAATGACTGGAAAGCCAATTTCATAAGGTACTTTTAGATGAAAAAAAACTGAAATTGGTGAATCCGTTCAGAAAATAGCACCATTTCAATACAATGACCCTAAAACCTGTCTCGTCCAAAAAAAGTGCGAATTTAAGATTCGTCGTCGCAATTGTCTTCAAACATCACCTGAGCGATAAAACCTCAGTTTAAACGTTACAAATATTCAACAGAATCCCTTTGAAGGTCCGACCTTTAAAAAAAAAATAGGTTTTATAAATCATGTTGTTTGCCTAACCAGGGTTGTTAATAAAGATATTGTAGTTGGTGGCCGGCAGTTGTTGAAACAAGTATTCAGTGTCATTTCCTTTGTTGTTCCAAACAGTCAAAACCCACAATGAATTGCTTTTCTGGACGAGACAGGTTTTAGAGTCATTGTGTTTAAATGGTGATATTCTTTGAACGGATTGAGCAATTTCAGTATTTCTTTCATCTAAAAGTAGCTTACGAAATTGGCTTTCTAGTCATTATTATTTTTGGTGGTACATATTTTTAAAATATGAAATATATGTTATGGGGTTTGGGTTCCGCTTTTTTGGCTCACCCTGTATATGGGGACTTGATCGACAATTCACGACTGTATGTTCTTTCGAGGCCACCATAGACAGATTACGGATGTTCAGTGATCAAAATTCAGAAAATGTTTACCCTTGTCAACGGTAATAGTTTGTTGAAAAAGTAATAAGTATAGGGTTTTTTGTACGTGGTTCAACAAAGCCGACGTGTGTTTGACATTATTAATTTGTGGTCATTGTTTAGTGTTTGACAGCAACATGATTGTCAACTAGATTGCGATTTCGAGACGTGAGATTTTTTAGAATTTTTGAAAAGAGAAACTCAACAGTGACCTAATAACCGAACAGGATGTCAGTACGATGACTGTTTCCTGATTATTTCCAACTGCTTGCTGATTTGCCGAAATGTTGAAGTGTCAATTGTTTCTTCCACCGCAGGTTTTTGTTATGTGAAAACCAACACAATGACGATTTACAGATATTTATTTCCAGGAATACCAAAGTTATTAATAAATTATTCAACAATTTGTTTGTAGCTGTGATACTCAGATATTTTGAAATCGACACTGCTGTCGTGATAATGATGAACATTTTAACTCTGAATGTGATTTCTTTTGTCAAAAGTAGATTTATAAACTTGTGATTTATTTTATGATTAATTCAATTCATAAATGTTTTATTTATAGTTCTACTGCCGGGCATTGTTATTAATTCAAAATGTAGGCCTGGGCTTTATGTACATGCATCAACCCTTCTGCACAATATACTACATACAACAGCCGTAGGTACTTGAGCTCACGGAGTGCGCATGCGCATCATCTAGATTCGCGGGCTGCCGTTTCAACACAACGGCACAATAATTTTGCGCGTCCAAACCGGCGAACATTTTCGAGAATTTCTCGGTAGAAAACCCGCCGAAGTCCCTCCGCACACACGCAAATGGGTACCAGGACCAACCAGGAAGTGATATTGGAGACAATAGACTCGCTGCGGCGCCGCAAAGCCCGGCCCGATCTCGAGCGAATATGCCACATGGTCGAGCGCAAATATGGCGTGAGTGCAGCCGAAGTTGAATGCGAGTTGGAGCGCTTAGTAGACGACGAAGTCGTGTTCAAAGTGGAGTACAAAGGTAGCACGAGCTATCGCAACGCCAGCAAATGGAAGCAAAGTCACCTCAGTGGTAACAGGCTCAACTCGGCCGATTCCAGTCGCTTACTCTTGGCAGCCGTGGAAGAACTCAGCAGAGTCAGCAAAGATGCAAGATCGACTACTACTGACACAGTCCGTCCACCAGACGGTGGTGGGGGGAGCCGGCGGGGGGAAGCGGTTCAAATCGAAGACATTGAACGCTACTTGATGACCCTTGACCCCGATACCAAACTGACCGCTAAGATGCGACTGCAGATTGCCCTAGACCGGGAGGTGTACAGCGGGCGACTGGCCAAAGTCAGCAAAGGGGTGTACGCGCTTCCCCCGTCCGCGGAGGAACAAGCGAATCCGGCAAGGGCGTTTAAGAAAGTGGATCGCGTCAAGAAACGAAAGGTAAAAAACGATGCCTTCCAATGATTTAATAAAAAAAAAACACCCACAAAAACCGCTTTTCGTCTCGAAGTTTCACATTTATTTCTCCTAATAGTGGTGTTTGCAGTGCTTTCCTTGTTTTTCCTTAAGTTGTTCATGGTATTTTAGGCCCACGCATTATGCTTTAGCCCGCTTTGGGATTTTGTGATGGGATGTTTTTGAAGTTAATGGATGCGGCTCACAGCACCACAAACGTTATTGGCAGTGTGCCTGTTGCAGCAACAAAGCGCTACGTGTCGTTTGTATACACAATTCCGATGCCCGCCTCGTGTATTGTTTGCCACACCTGGTGTCACAGCGTACCTCTTGAATATTCATAGGGGTCATTTCCTCAATCCGGCCAGCCAGCTTCATGTACGCAACCGTTTGTGTATGTACATGTACGTCGCGTACTTTTATCAGCGTGCAGTGGACCATGGAAAAGCCAAAATAACGAATTAGACTTTGATCGCATGGATACTGTGATGTAGGCCTACGTGCGCAAATTGTTCGACACAACATTGCTGATAAATAAAAGTGGTCATCCTTATTATTTAACCCTCTGTATACGTTTTCTTTTTTGATTAGGTTTTTCTTTCGGACACAGGACGGACTAAAAGGCGCAAATGTTACTATTTGGAATTACCTCATTCAACATTCAACATTCAACATTTAGTCTGCAAAAAGATTGAAAAGTTTGAAATTGTGCCTATTGCAAAAAGGTTCAAAGAGTAACCGTTAACAAAAGCTTTTGCTTGGAGAAATATGTCATTGTACTCTTTATAAAAATGGTCGTCGAGTTCACTGAATCAGAAAAATAGAGACAAAAATATGAATTCTAGAATAAAATTGATATAATGACTTTTTTTATTTTCGCGCCGAAAATTGCGCTTGAACGCGTGACTGAAAACACGCAGGTGGAAATAAGTTATAATATTAATTGCTGAGTTAATTGACTTTAATCAACCCATTCCTTATGCCATTCCTATCTTATCAATGTCACTGATCCCATTTGCACTAAGGCTTACACCCCGACCAAAATCCCCACTTCACCTCTTTAATATATGACCTCAGGTGCATATGCGCTTGCGCATTCTCAATGAGTCGGAGTTTCACCATGGCTTCGGTGTTTCCGCAACACCGATATGCCCTATTATTGTGGCCATACCTTTCGTGAAAATCCCAGCGTATAAGACCTTGACCCCGCGCCCTCGCACGCGCATTTCGGGTGAGCAGTATAACATTGTCCACATCCAAACGAATTCCCGTCACATTTTTAATCAGAAAGAACTTATTTCCAATGGTTCCAAAATAATATTGGTTCAAGAGGGACTCAAACCTTCAAGAATTACTCAAACAACAGAAGAGTCACGTTTTTCGAAGATATTTTATGTCTGCCCACACAATAATGCCATACTTTTCTGAAACAAAACCCTTTGAATTTGGCGTACATACGAATGTCCCATGCTTGCAAGGAGCATTTTGTTATTCGAACCACACTTTTTATGAAGAAGAATTATTCGTGTTTTTATTCCTTGCATTTTCTGACAAAGAAGAACGTGTTTAGTCGTGCGGCAATGCCTGCACACATCAGCTCGAGAAAAAAAAATGATGGGTCACTGCGCGCAGATTAAGTGAAAGAAAGGGCAAAAGCTATTATATACCGACGCCATTTTTAATGATCGCAGAGATCTGTCGCACCGGGCCGCGCCTGCATGCGAATGACACGCGGTTAAAATCTAGTACAGGATACCCGATCTATCGGGTCCGCGCTCAGTCTATGTATACGTGGGTGTATTAACGATGATTGTTATTAGGTATCCCTCCGCACTTATGGCCAAACTCTTAATAAAACGGAGGATGGTAATAGTGCGCGTGAAATATGCCGCGTGGTTGCGCGACTTGAAAGTGCCAGTCGTTTTCCATAAAGTAGTTCCACATCATGACGCTCTATCGTGAATAATTTTGCTTGACGTGTCACACACGAACAGTACGTGCGTGAGTGCGATTTCAAAGCTGTTTTAAAGAGTAGTCGGTTCATTTCCCCCTGTTTTTCTGCCTGGGCGCTACGGAGAACAGTGTTTAACCATTCAACGCACACTTAAACGCCAGTACATGCAATGTAGAAACACGCGATTTCTTCGTGTGTGTTTTTTTTTCACGCGGTCAGCCATACTTTCTGTATTTACAAAGATCAGTCAAGTCTTTGCAGTTTATCAGCGCACAGCGTCACTGCATGTTTTCAATTCAGTTTTCACTTTGTCGCTAGTGTTGCGATGCGCTTTACCCCATCGATGCAGTTTTACCCTTTGTAAGTCCCAAAAAGTATCGCCCGTAGAAATAGAATGTTGCTATCGTCCACAATAAATTGTTGACGGCAGCCTTTTTTCTATCAACACATAAAACGAAACCCACACAACTTTGTGTTGCGTTGTTTCGCACGTCACGAGGTAGAAAAAAAAAACCTTACGACCTCCGCACACACACACATCACCCGCGCCGTTGGTTGCAAGCGGCTGGTTGGCCTTCGGCGCACACGGTGCATGCAGCGGCCCACAGACGTGACAGAGCGCAATATGCTAATGAGTAGTTCTCTGCTTGGATATGACACAGATTATAGGCGCGTTTATATTATACGGGCAATCACAAGAAGAATACGTGCACAGTGCTTATGGACTGCACCTATACTGTCGCGAAACTCTTTTCTGTCAATCGCTGAAGGATATCCAAAGTGCATGTGTGTAATGCGTGGTTTACTAAACACATGTAACTCTTCCAACATTAACAACAAATAGAGGTTTTCCAAGTGTTTCTTTTTACAGTAATATACGCGCGCAATTTCTGCGTACAAACTGTCCACAGTTTTTCAAAGAGATCGGGCCCCATTGCACTCGATATATTACACACTGAATTTCATACGAATGAATTATGCAACATTTCAAGGCCTTCCGCATTGAACTGAAAATGATTCAAAAACAACGGACATGATAGTTTGTGTATATATTATACGATTGATAGTACTGCGCCTTTCGTTGTGGCCGTTTGCAGTTGAGTGATACATGACTTGTAGTATATTTTGATGCATACGCTTGCCTGGTTGATCCCTTTACATGTTCTGCATACTGAATGTTTGTGGGGAAAGAAGAGAAATATTCAATTAATTGTGTTTATCGGCAAATTTTGCACCGTTTTCATTGACTTTTATCCCCATTCAAGTTAGCGTATATACCGCCGCAAAACAAAACCATCAGACGAGATATTCATTTTTATTTTGTGAAAAATCACAGGGAAACTGATATTCTATGTAATAGAATACATGTATGATATGGCAGCAGATTCGGCGATTAATTAATAATTATGCAAAAACAAGACTGCGGCTTGACCTCGAGATCCGTACCGTTCAGTGGGCCCCTTCTATCGGGTCTTCGGTAACGTATAACCCGGTGTTATTTTACAAAAACATGGAGCCAACCTGACCAATCAACAGCTTAGTCCCATGTCTGATCGAAATGACGTCATAATTTTTAAAGTCGACTCCGATTGGCTGGCGTGTCCGAGTCGCATTATTTTGCTTGCTCACATAATGTATCAGAAGTTATAGTTATGGAGAAGGCTCCGTTAAATTTCCTTGCTGAGCGCACATCACATGTGAACCAGTTATCATGTGAAGTGCGTTACATTTTGAATGGTAACCTGTTTTCGCTTAGCAAATATTTACAGTTTACCAAATTTCTTTACTCAAAACAAATTCAGTGTTCGTCCATCACTAAAATTTCATAGCATTTGGTATAGATCATGGATATTGATCGCGCGCCACACACACGCGCGCGGTTTCGCCCAAGCCGCTCACACGGACTCACTAGAGAGATTTTTTTCTGCACACGACTGCTGTGACTGTACTGAAACATAATTATACGAACCTGGCATAATTATATAAGAACTTGGCCAAGAAAAGGTTTCTTGGCAACAAAATGATCGAAAAATGATGACACTCGACAAAATTAATAGCCTGCTTGGTATAATTACGCCAGCCCCGGCGTTCTTTCTCGTCTCCTGCGTGTACTAATCGTTGTTACGTATTAGAAGGAGTGTATGGGCTATAGGTAATTGCATGAAATTAAAATCAAGGAATACGTAAAACGTATCAATTTATTAAAACGGAAGCTGTAAGGAATGGGAGCAGTAATCAGAAGCAAATTAATGAACAACAGAATGTATTACAAGGCATAAATTGGGCGCTGGATTTTAAAAAAAAAAATGTGTACCTCAAGGCGAGTTTTTCTATACATTTCGTTGGCCATTGTTATTTCTCATTATAATAACAACATGGCGTTGTTGGCCTATCTGAGTTAGGATGCCATAGAAATCGCGTTTTTGTTTGAAAATCGAAGGGGAAAATTGAATCTTAGAAAGGCGCCTATAAGCGCGTGTGTTTCATTATCTCCGCCAAGTAGGCTATGTTGTCATCGGTGTTAGTTTGTTTGTTGGTTTGTTGGTTGGTTGGTTGGTTGGTTGGTTGGTTGGTTGGTTTGTCTGTGGACAGGATAACTCAAAAAGTTATGAACGGATTTTCATTAAACACATTTTAGGGGTGGTCCTTGGTACCAGTACAAATCGATTAGATGTTGGAAGTGATCCGGATCTGGGTCTGGATCCAGGATTTTTTTTAAAGGATTCTTCACCATTTATGCGAGTATTTCTTATTGATGTATACTGACACTATGCGTGGGGTTGTTTAGCCTTGGCGGAGGTTTGCGCTCACTGAGTGCGTTCAAGTTAAGTTTGTCTTCAAAGCATGAACTAAATCTGTAAATCATTATGTAGATGCAGATGAGGATTTTTAAATTATGGGCTCGGGTATAAACGACAACTGATGGCACATCTCATGTTTTTTTTTAAATATAGCTTACAGTCGACAAGTTTTGCATAGGGCCTACATTGCTCTGACGTATGGTTAAGTCGCCTGGATAATCATTCTGCAATGTACGAGCATTCTACCTCCATGGTACGAGGAAGCTTGCAGAGCGTTACACGCTCAGGTAACGGCAAGTCGACATGACGCGTCAACGTCCGATAGTGACAAAGCTATCGTATAGTCTGTCATTGCACTTCGATATCCGCGCCGTGGGACTGCCGATCAGTTCATATCAACCTGTGGTCTTGTAATTTATTAACTGGCTGCAATCGTTATTAGCACGATGTCCATATTATACGATTATAATGATGTACGTGCACGGAGTAGCCTTCATAATGCACCGATTTTCATACCAAACGCAACTCGATGTGAATGCGAAACGAGTATAATGACGTCTGATGATAATGGCTCAAGTTATTCCTTTGTACGATTAAGTTGAAAGAAGGTCGTATTGGTAAGTTTCGGCCAATTGATTACACCGTAGTTTATACCCAGAAACGCGGAAATCTTTGTATTGATTTTGTTTTGCAACATTGTGTGCAAATCGAATTCATTAATTTCGCCAAAATTTAAATGCAAGGCGAAAAGTTCTGCAACTTCAGTGCACTTCAGTGCCATTGCTGTGGGAGACCTGCTTGATTTATAATACAGGATTTCTCTGAGTTGGGATCGAGGCTGTCATCAAGTTTCAGACGCATGCGCACATGTCCATCAGATTTCTATATATTAACCTGGAACCACTCTATTTTCCATTGTTGGATGTTTCCTTTTAATATAGGTTTTCCCGACTATTTTAAAACGTTTACCATTCGAATTCACCGTTTCTAATATTCAAATTCGTCCATCAACTTCGATTTAGCGCACTGCTAATTTCGTCTTCTGTCAGACAATTTAATTTTAAATTCATTTCAAGCAAATTCAAACAATGAGCACACGTTTCGTCCCGGGGTATTCAATTTCGTCTCGTCTACCCAAACCTTGTTATTCAGAAATTCGTCTAATTGATTTATATATGACGAATTTGGCAACAGCTTAGACGAATTTGATCTACAATGACGAATATTCTAGACCCGGTGACTAAAGAGGGCGACCAAACTTTAAAATTGAATGGGAAATGACTAAATTGGTTTAGGTTAAAAAAAAAGGTAAAGGTAAAGGGGACGAACCTGTGTTCACAGGAACGGAGTGCCCATCTCTCTTTCATTAGCGATTGGGCCAAACTCATATGCTGCTGTGGGGGGGGGGGGGATCGCCACACCTCCTCCACGGCGAGTTGTTACCTTCCGAGCATTGAATAATGCCGGTACCCATTTAACACCTGGGTTGAGAGGGGTAATTGAGGCAAAGCGCCTTACTCAAGGGCACAACACGCATGGCCACGGCGGGGCTCGAACCCACAATCTCACGATTACGAATCCTGTGCTCTACCGTTAGACCGCACGTGCCCTTGAACCTGGTAAAAGCCTGTGAATTTTTTTCTCGGGCGAAATTGAATGTTTAAGTTGGTGAACTTGAATGAAAAATCTTTTAAAATAGCCGGGAAAAGCTATACCAGAAATTCAACGGACTCGGGCTTGCGCAGTGGTTCTTTCTGAATCCCTCGCCTTCCGCCTCTATATATGGCCCGGGTTCGATTCCTGCCCTGGTCCACATGATTGGGTTTTTAGTCCCTACCTGATTCGGTGGGGTTTTGCTCCTTTATCATCTTATTTTTCTTCTTCTCAAGTTTCTTCAGCCTTGCAAGCTCAGTACAGTACCTAGAGGAATCATTGGTGTCATTACCAGAAAAAATAAAATAATCATACCATTTTGAATACCTTTTGTTCCTCGCAGCGCATCCGCAAGACACACGGCCCCGATTTCGAGCATGAGCCGCTCTGCAAACAGCCCTCTTACGACCAGCGGTGCGACTACTGCTCCTACAGCGCCAACTGCAACAAATTCGGGGATGCTGAGGAGTTACTCGTCTGCAAAGATTGCAGTTTGAAAGGTAAAAATCCCAATATTTGCAGAAGTAACGATTCATTATACGTAATAGTTGGAAAGATCTCCCTCAAAACATTGAAGACACAAGATATATTCCTATTGCATCATTGAAAGGATTTCAACCGTTTACTAATTTTATGATAAATAATTGTGTCAGTAAAGGGTCCGTGCGATGAATTTTTTTTTTATTGGAAACATAATTTATGCAACTTTCTTCTCCTCTTAAGAGTATGAAAACTATTTGACATCCCTTTTTGGTTAATCTCATTGAACAGTGCACTTCTTTAAACAATTAAAAATGATCCATGCGTATCGGGACAACTAAGGGCGCTGTTGCTATGATGTCATTTCAGGAAGACACTGTTCCGTTCAGAGGTTTTCTGTTCAAAGAGTGAACCCAAAATTTGCTCATTAAAGACATTAAAAAAATGTGAGAAAGGGTTCCTCATTGGCCTACCGCCATGTACATACACAACAACGAATCGGCAAAAAGAAAAATTACGACAGGAAAATATCCAAAATTCTAGCAACTTTTTGTGCTGAAATAGTTGTAACATTGAGGTTTATGCCTGGAATTTTTGGTCATCAATATGGGAATATTCATTAGCATAAAAACACAAAAGATACCAAAAAACCCTTAAAAATGGCAAAACGAAAATTGATAATAAGGCTAAATGGGATACAAAGGGGCATTTTCAAGAATTTCATTACATGTGCCCTGTAATAATTTCAGCAAAGTTTGAAGCAAACTGTCAATGAACAAGGTTGATATGCAGATAACTTTGCTCAACCTTATTTCAAGTCGTCAATTTTGAGCGGCACGCACGCAAGCACAAGTTGTGAAGTGATGGGCGGAACGCAGTGCATATTCCGTGCGGGTGTGTTATTTAAAATTAAGTGACCCAATGTCAGAATTCAAAAGGGCAAAAGGGTGTCTTGACAGTATATGGTCCTCATCTGACCCTGCATCGAAGAGCTTGAGGCACTTAAGCAGGCCTATGTGATACTCTGTATACGCAGACCTTAACTCAGTTTTGCTTTCTGGTTTTCTTTTTTCAACGTGTAGTTCACCCATCATGCATGCGGTACTCGGCCGAATTGGCGGAGCGATCTCGTCTGTCCCCCTGGCAGTGCATGGACTGCAAGACGTGTTTGGTGTGCAACGAGTCCGGAGACGCTGTAAGTACAGTGTACCCCTCCGCGTCCAAGGTATGATGGGTAAAAATGGTTGACCACAAAATGTAACAAAAGGAACCCGGAGTGTTCAGTCTGACCCGAGCGGTAAATTTGCCTCTTTTGTCCTTCTTTTTTTTTGAAATACCGAATATAACAAAGCTTTACATTTTTATGACATTAAGGTTTTTAAACTGCGAAAAATGCTCCATTTGAACCCAAATTTGAATCACATGCCAACTCTAAATAAATTCAAAAGGAGTGATTTATACAACAGGGCGCCACCAAGCGTTAGCCTCGAAACAGTCACTTGTTCCCCCGTAAAACATTAACAAAATGCCTGATGACAGAAAATCAGTTAATTGTTGACAACATGCAACAGCAGTTGGGATGAAGTGTAAACATTTCGTGATTTTGTTATTTCGATTACACAGGACAAACTGCTGTTTTGTGACTCGTGCGACAAGGGGTATCACATGGCCTGCCACCTCCCTCCGGTATTTAAAAAGCCAGAAGGTGAGTTTACCATTCACAAGAGTGCCTATACATCCACTCAGTACCCTGAGACTCAAACCACGTGACATACATGAATACCAATGCATGGAGATTTTTTTAGAGGAAAAATGAAACCAAGATCGATTCGGTCCAGTTGTTTTTGTTCTAGAGCCTATTTCTTGAAGCAAGGTGGGGGTCATTTTTGTCCCGATAAATTACTAAACCGCGCCTGGGAATTTGAATCACATTGTAATTGATCGAGGGATTGTTATGTAATAATACCCACATGCAAGAAGTGTGCTTCACAAAATAGGCTCTGCAGCAAAAACTACTAGTCGAATCGGGATATTTTGGTATCATAAAATGATTCTTCTAAAGCGATCCTCCATCAATTGGTATATTTTTGTGGTTTGAGTCTCAAGGTAGTGGAAGTATGCCGTTCCGGTTTTTTTGGACAACCCTGTAAAAGTTATGCTCCTGGTCGAAAACAAATCAGCCAAGAAGACTGACGGATGTTTCAATTTATTATCAGTTATCCTCACAACCCAAAAAGCTACCCTTTGCCAAATTAATTCCAGAGAAAGTGACACAAAAGGAGTTTGATACATGAACAAAGGTATTACACCAGTTTTGATAGATTCAGCTGTTAAGAAGTGCAGAGTTTTACCAATTAGCCTGCTATAGACTATTATCATGTTGCAGCCATTTGATTTTTTTTCCCATTCAAATCAGTGTAACCAAAGCGAGGCTGGAAGGAAAAATAGTCTGGTTCCTTTTTGCACAAAAAACCATTAGCATTCAGTACTGTTATTGGATACAGGGAATATGACTGAAATGGTGGCAGCATGATAAAGGTCTATTACCAACCACGTGGTCATGGTTTTGGCGAGAGAAACTGGAGAAAACGAGGGAAGAGAAGGGGTTTGACTGTTCACAGAAAAAGTAATCGACAAAGTCTTGCCATTCATTTTCTTTCCATTTGTCTTACAATGACGGTACAACCGGGCACCATTCTTCGTCTTAATAGAAAAATCAGGATCTGTGATTAAACACGAACGTTTCATTCACCACAAGGCCATGTCGGCAACGAAACGAACGATTAAACTCTGATAGACATAATATTTCATTCAGTTAATTTGCGTTTTCAAATTCGGATTTGGTTTTTTTTATCGGTATTGTCACGTGGCAGGGAAGTGGGTATGTTTCACTTGCGAGAGGGACGAAGAAATGGAGTATTATTCCAGCGATGGCAGCGCCGTACTCTCCAGCAACGAAGGTAGGTTTTCGACATAAGCACAGCTCCAATTATTTTTCAAAGTCGTGTTTGTATTCAAGTTACACAATATTATGAGGGGTAAAACTTCCATTTTTACGTGAAGTGTCCTCTGAACAACGCATGTCATTGTTCTGTTAGTCCCTGCACCACCCCAAAAATACCCGAACGCTCTTGTTTGGTGGATTAATCAGGTAATAAATACAGTGTAATACAGGGGCTAATGATAAAAAGAGACTGTTCCGAGGATCCGTAATAGGCCACGCCCACTGTGCACGCGGGCAACAACGCGTGCGCCTGTCCAATCCAATGCCACACTGCATGTTCCATACGCGCGCTTCATATGATTGGTTAAAACGTCGAGGGGGGAGTCCATTAGTCGTACATGTATTTCGTACCATTCACAAAATGTTTTTTTTCCAATTGGTATAGATTTCTACAGTATGCAGTCTTCACCTTCCGAAACGGGCACAGCACTTCCACTGAATGATGCTTCGAGAGAAATGAGGTAAAATTATCCAAGATAAGTTTTAAAATCAGCTTAAGTTGATAAAAAATTACTGAGAAACTAACATCTACATGTTTTTGGTATAATGGTAAATAGCCCTCTTTTTCTCAGTGCCCAAGGCAAAAAGTAAACATACCTGCGAATCATCAGCAAACTTTTCCTCCGAATTCGGCATTGCTTCTTGGAATCTGGATTTTATAATTATTTTCCATCAAAATGTCAAATTTTAGGAAAACAAGTAAGGAGGCATACAGACATGGACAATTTCAAAAGGTTCAGCGATTGATTAAAGTTCACTATCTTCACCTGTATTGTTGTGATACATCATTCTTTCCTTGTATCTGGTCTCACTCGAGTAATTTGTTTTGTGGAAGGTATCCTTTTTGTCGATCTAGATATTAAAAGTATCTTCAGTTTTATTCTTCACATTCAAAGCTTGAAACGTATCGCTGTATCTCATGTAACTCATAATTGTCTCCTGCTGTTTAAACAGTCACAGACAGTCAAAATTCACTTCCACTTCCCCTGCTAGACTTTTAACAAAGGCTAGTCACCAGCAGTCAGATCATATGTCAAGCAAGCTTCACTGTGACTAGTCAAACTGGGTCAACAGACAAAGCAGGCAAGTTGTGGTCACAGCTGTTTTATCACTCACCCGGAGTCAAAGCATAGCTGTATCAAGTTACTCAAACAGTCCTAGCCAGTCAATCCTGCTTTATGTAGGCTGGGAATTCTTAACTGTTGGAAACAGTCACTTGTTTGATTTTGACTGAAAGGACTACTTGGCACAGAATGTGTGTTTGCATAGGAGGGTTTTAATCCTGCCGTGAAATCTTAAACAGCTCTACTCCGGGTAAGATCAGCCCGGATGTTGCCACGCCCAGCCTGTCCAACGCCGCCCGTCTTCCGGAGCAGTCAGCCTCGGCTGGCAGCCACCTAGATTTCCCGCTGACCGACCCCGCCGAGTGGTCCATCGAGGAAGTGGTGCGGTACTTCGCGGTCCACGGATTCCCGGAGCAGAGTGCCGCCTTCCAAGAACAGGTATGGTTTGGACAAGTTTTGAAAATACTTTTTAAGACGATCAGATGCAAAATTATGAGCCCAATGAGTGTGGTGTTTATATCAACTTGATAGTTTCAGTCATCCAGTGACTGCCATTCACTAATTTATATAATTCAATTTAGCCGTCGGGACTCATTCGATTTGAAAAGAAGATACAACTAGACACGCCCCTTATAAATTATCTGTCAATTCTCTCAGGAGATTGACGGCAAGTCCCTCCTCCTCATGAAGCGCCTCGACGTGCTGACGGGCCTGTCACTCAAGCTAGGCCCCGCCCTCAAGATCTACAACCACGTGATGAGGCTCCAGCTCTTCTGCAAGCACGGATGCAAGCCGAACGGCGCGGCGGCCAGCAAGGCCGGCAAGAGCGCAAAGAGCGCCGCCAGCGGTAGCTCGAGCACGAGCGCCAACAAGACGGCTGCGAAGACGTCTAGCTCTGGTACCTCACAGACGAAATGAGACTACGTAACTGTTTATGCTTCGATTTCACTTATCAATAGGCATGCTGCAGATGAGCCGTAACAATGCAAGTAAAAACCTTTAGGTTCGAATTCACTACATTCACGAGAAAGAAAAATGTTCTTTTTGGAACCTATTTCTATTGTAAGTTTATTTGTTTTCAAATGGTATCAATATGCCAAAATGGAAGAATGTATTGAAAGACAAAAGAGCTACCAATTATAATTTTTGACGAAATTCTCAGCGAAGTTCTGAAATTTCTTTTTGTGCTTTATATCACTTGCATCGCATACCTAACGGGGACCAAAAAACATGACTTGAATATGGTGGCGTTTAATTTGCATATGTGCAAATTAATTGTTCAATTGATGCAAAGAAAAGTCTCCTGAAAAGCCTCATTATTTAAGTTTTATTTTTCTTCTGTTTTCGTTAGCTGGCTGATTGTGACGGTATTAAATTTTTGAGAATATTTTGAGGAATGTTGTTTCCACAGCTTGCGAGGTACTTTTTTTGTACATAATTATTAAGCCATGACAAGGTTGGGCATGGTAAGGCAAATTAGGCTTACGTGTAAGATAATTGACAACGTACTTCCATTCTGTAATCAGATTTATTTTATTGGATACGAAAAAAATGCTGCAAAATTAACCGTGTGTTGCACACAGCCACTGTACTTGTAGTTCTGATTTGGTGTTTATGACAGCAGCGCCCGAAACCGCCCTGCCTGTTACTGTAGCGCCCCCAACCGCCCGAGCACTGCACTCTATGGTTTTATTAACCCTAACCTTCCCAACTCCATCAAAATCCATCCCTCCATTTTTCGGGGGATTTTGGCAGGCTAGCCATGAGTACAAAGTCCATTGGGGAGTCAGGTTGGTGTAGCGGTACTTTCCTCGCCTTCCACCGCTGTGACCCGGGTTCAAATCCCGCCTGGGCCAATATGTGGATTAGGTTTTCAGTCCCTACCTGATTCCGTGGGTTTTCCCCAGAATACTCTTCTGGGCTTTTCCTCCCGTTATCTCTAAAACTGTCATTTCTTCACATTGTCTGCTCTTTACTGGGCCCCATGGGAGATCAGTGGAGTCCACTGAATGGGCTACCCAATCAAAATAAGAAATACATCAAAATCCACCCATAGCAGTGGTGGATTTGTGGTGGATTTCGGCGGATTTAGTCCTGAAGCAGTATGTGAAGCAGAGTCAGTGGTGGATTTTGGCGGACTTGGTACAGTGTTCTTAGTCAAAACTCAATAGGGAGTTAGGGTTAATTATTCAGTGAATAAACACAATGTAATACAATGTAGTACAAGTGGCAGTGGGTTAAACCCCCTAAGATCATGAAAGTTTGGCATTTCAATACTCTGGAGATGTTGTCGATTGCATCTGTGTCCACTCATTTTAGTTTTCCAAAAGTAACGGTCAAACAAAAAAACGAAAACAGTCGCGCCATTCTTTAATCGACGCCATTCTTTAAAAAAAGGGGATTTGTTCTTTAAACAGTATTGATGATTTCGTCCTAGAGTTTAGTGATATAGTTTAACAAGTCCATAGGGGAGTTCAATCAAAGGTAAGTTGAAAACATGTTTTGTTAACGCGAATATCAGAGTGTATATTCAATCATTTGTACAAAAACCTATAAAAAGTTTACGTTTTTTTCTTGTATTGACCAGTAGTTGTTTAGTAATTTTGTAGTCTTTTTCCTTTCACAGTGTCAAAGGGCACGAGTTTTGTTCTAAAGTGGCATGGATTCTGGAGAGAAGTTTTGTATTTCACAATCTATGCAAAAACTCATTGCGCTTCACTGTATAGCCGTTTTCTTTTGTAATATGAATGTAATTAAACAGAGTAACTTGAAAGTATTATTTCAGTTTTGTTGAATTTCACGACAGAGATTTAGGGCCGGGATGCATTGGTTTCGTATCAAAATGCGGTTGTCATAGTTTCGTGTGTAAAAGTGTCGCGAATACACCGTGTCCGTGTTTGGTTCATAAATCATGCTTTAATTCCCCAGATTCAGACAGACTTTCAAAACAGTAAGACCAGCGTTGACATTAATGGTGTCGGAAATGCATGCTTATAGCACTGTTACCGAATCCCGCATTTGGTTTGCCTATAAAACAGTTTCATTCCAATTGGTCGAGAGCCCGTCACGTGGCCGATTTTAAACGGTTGATAAAGACCGAAAAGGTATTTATGAATGGGAATAATTATGCTGATAATTACCCTGTTACCAGCATTCAGACACGTACACCAACCGGTCTTAAACATAGTGTTTAAAACCGGCCAAGCTCACATTTTTCCCCCATTAAAGTAACACTTATATAAACGTATTTAAACATCATCATTCATTAATAATTTTGGGTTATAATATTTGTTTGACCACACCACCCCTTGTATACAATGTAACTTATGCGAATTATGGCTTACGTATTGAAATGGAAGGTTCTCGTGTGTAACATTATGATAATAATCATGTATTTATAAACCACAAAGCCGTTGCTGCAGAAATAAAGAAAACTTGTATATCGGAAAATTGATCTTTGTAAATATTTGATTTATTAATTGTTTCCTTATAGGTACAAAACGTAAAGTGCATCACAAGAGGACGACATGTGGCTAGTCTAGGGCCATGCATACAGGAGAAGGAATAAATGAATAACATGTATTTAAATATAAAGTAATTAGTTGCTGTAACATTTTCAGTAACTTCCCGAGTATTTCTTTTAATACAAATCTTCCCAAAATCTGACAAAAATGAACGATTTAAGGTAATCCAGTTTACTTATATATGGGTTAGAGTTCGGGTTATATCAAAAACGAAACCTAAGCAAACAAAACGAAAAACATCCAAAACGAAACAAACAGCTCGGTAAATCTATCAATTTTTTTTGTATTATTATATGACGTCAATAATATAACATGAATAATTAAATCCAAATAGCAGCCATTTGAAGCCCGCTTACCACCAAAAAAATGTATTTATTATACTTAGCAAATATTCTGGTAGACAGCACACAATTGAAAACCAGCTATAAACTGGCATTTCCTAGCTAGTTACGAGTAGCTGGTATTAAAGCTGTTTATGATTAGCAAATATTGTCTTCGCTTAGCCAAACATATTGTGTTTAGCAACTCTATAAATTTGGCTCCTCAGTAGTGTGGCCAACTTCTTGGAGCCGAGTCCCAAAAAGAAGGTGCTCAAGATATCACAAAATACATTGTCAAAATTTGGTTACCAGCCATAGTTGTTGCTTGTGGCAGGTCCGATCCACAAATCATCTTTTTCGCTGAGCTCATAAGTTTGCTAAGTTTCCAATGTTTTGTGCTTAGGCTCTTCATAGAGATGACCCTCGGTCTTTGAGGATCATTTAGTGTCTCCTCTCGACCGGCGATCTCACCGGATTCCCCCCAGAGCGAGAGGCGAGGCGATCGGCCCGGGGCTCTTGCCGGGGGAGTTGAACGTGGAGGAGCGTCTTCTGGGGTGGGAGGACGCCCCTTGGGGGGACAGGGGGTAGCCGGTGGAGAAGTCCCAGATGCATAGCATCACCGGATCCTCACTCCCAACGGAAGCTGGGAAGAGAAAAGGGTGCGGGGGGATTGGAAATTTAGACAAGATTTGAAGGTTTGTTGTGAAGCAGCTTTAATAATCCATATACAGTCGACTTCCGTTATTACGAAATCCGCGGGACCCAGTCAAAATGTTCGTATTATCCGAATTTCGTATTATCCGATTCAATGGTTACCAACCCATTGTTCTCTTTTGTGTAAGCCCCGTGAACGTGCACGATATAACGGGAGCGACTTGTCGAACACCTTGTCGGTACAGATAAACAACAGGGTGACGCAAAAAGAAGGAAACCCACTTTTGACAGCAATTTTCACCTACTTGCTGAGCATATTTCAAAAATTCAATTGAATGGTATTAAAATATTGATCTTTAAACATAAGTGACGAAAAAATGATTGTAAATGCATGTTTGGTCTCATGTGCCAAACCTGTTTATTCCACCCGCTTAATTGACTGAGATATGTAGTTTAAACATTTCATGTGCCAAACCTGTTTGTCCACGGACGGCTTTATTCCGCCCGCTTAATTGACTGATCTCCGGGGGTTGATTTGAAGACAAAAACACTTACACGTGGACAACAGTGCTTTTGGGGACTTGTATTTAAATTAGCACGATAACACTGTTCTTGCAATTTTTGTAAAGATTTTTTCACCATGTATGGTTGAACAGCTATAGTTCACTACATTATAAAAAAAAGAATACTTTAAATAAGTTAGGTAAGTAGGTTAAAATTCCTGTCAAAAGTGGGTTTGTTTCTTTTTGCACCGCCATTTTTAATGAAACACTATGACTGGTTTTGACATTGGGTCAACACATCTCGGGAACACTCACCGAGTTTGTCGCCCCCTGGCGTCAGCCCCACTTGCAAAACCGGGCCCTCGTGGCGTTTCAACTCCACGATCATGCGCATCTTGGGGGATTTCCAGACCCGGATGTTGGCCTCTCCGCTGGGGTTGGCGTGGCTGGACACCAATTCCGACGACTGTTCGTACCACGCCAGCGAAGTCACCTTCATAGAAAAAAGAAACAAAGATTTAAAGAAACGACAATAACACATGTCATTTTACAACGATTTATAAGTATTGCTGCACCATTTTTTTTGTCTCGTGATCAGACATCCACGTGTGCAGAGCCACGTTTACGAACGTTGATATACTGGCCGGTGTATGCGACCCCAGCCAATCGGAAGCGACTTTAGAAACTGTTACGCCATTTCAATCAGCAATGTGGACTATTCAAGCTGTTGGTTGGTTAATTTGGCTGACATGTTTGTAATACAACAATTAACGGGTTACGAAAGGCGACCCGATACAAGGCGCCCGCTGAATGGTCAGAATTTCGAGGTCAAGACGCAGTCTTGTTTTGCATGATAAATTGCCGAATTCGCTCGCATAATCATATAGTCTATTCCATATACATGTACTACCAAATTATAGGGCTTACCTCAGATCCAACCATGAGGTTCTTACTCATAACGCCGCTGTATGCATTCCATGTGCGGATAGTCTGGTCGCTTGCCTTCCCACCTGTTGTGACGTACCACGGTTTCCACGGGCACCAGGCCATCGCCTTAAAGGGGAAAATCGCACACTCATAAGACCATAGAATCTATTTAAAAAACAACGGTAAACTTTGGTGTGGTGAAGAAATAAGAACTTACCCCGACACCATCACTGTGTGCCTCCATCTCGTGCTGGGGTTTCTGGCGTTGTCTGGTGTCCCAGATGACCAGCTTACCGTCTGCCGTTCCGCAGGCCAGCAGTCCCCCGTCCACGGAGTAACGGAGCGTGGTGATGGGGCTGCTGTGCCGGCTAGTACAGATGAAGGACCCGACGGTACACAGGCCAATCCTGGTGTCGTACGCCTGGACGGCTCCGTCCAGAAAACCCCTATGATTTCAGAAGTCGAAAAATTCTACTCAAGTGTCGGTCAGTATAGTTTCATACCAGATTAAAAAAATATGTCCGCATTTGCAAATTAACCCTTGGACACAGGGGCGGTGGAACGCTCCCCCCCCCCCCGGGAGGGGGGGCAACACCAAAAAGGGGCACTTGCTCAGAAAAAGGGGCACCTTCCATCGGTGTGAAAGTGGAGGAAAAGAATATGTTCCCGTTTATTTTACTCTTTGTGTTTCTTTTACCTAGTTCATGTAGAGAGAGCATTTGTTTTGTTTATCGCGAGAGGGGCACTGTTGCTTTTGATGGCAAGTTCAGTGACCATTTTATTCGTCTGAAGTGCACTATTACTTTTTAGAGGCCAGTTTTCCATCTCGAGAGGGAGCACAATTTTAATGTTGTGAGCGGGGCACTCAATTGTGCTTTCGAGGGACAGTTTTACATCTCGAGTAGTTATCGCGAGAGGAGCACTATCGTTTTTGATGGCCAATTTTCCATCGAGAGGGGCACAATTTTATTATTGCGAGAGGGATGTATGTGTTTTCGATGGGTAGTTTTCCATCTCGAGAAGGTGCACAATCCTGTTTTTGTGAGTGGGGTGCTTGTGTTTTTGAGGGGCAGTTTTGCATTACAACAGAGGAGACCATTTTATTTGTAGTGCAATCATAATTATGCTTTCATGTGAATCTATGAATCAAAGTCCATTTCACGGCTTTTTTATGTTGATGATTCCTTGGTCCAACTTACGCTGATAAGCAGTGCCGGCTCCAGTCCAGGCAAGATGGCGGTGACGACGTCATGATGGATGCGGTGACGTCTCCAAGCGTGGCGTCTATCAGCTGTAAACAACAACAAAATATCACAGTGCCAGCCTTTAATGCCATAATGTTCTTTATGAGGGATTTATATCCGTGCTTTTTGGTTGTGGCATCCCACAACTTTCAATTTTGAATTAGGAGCGTTCCGTTCCTATACTTCTATCAATTTTCACGTGCAGCACAATGATTTTACGGGAAAATAAATTGTAAGGTTTTTTTCGTTTGTCGCTGTTGTCGTTTGTCGCTGTTGAGTAAGTTCCTCTCGATATCCCACGATTATAAATCATTTTGTTATACCTCTGTCTTGTATACTGTATTTTCATTGGCCTAGAACGATCACGTGTTAAGTTTGTAAAAAATCATGCTGTCATTGGCACACCCCCTATGGGATATCACGTACGTGATATCCCACAGGGAGTGTGCTATGACTTTGCACGTACGGTGTGAAACGCTTGTATCGTTGGTACCCACGCTATTTTCACCATCGGTTTGTACACAGAGTGGGAGCAGCGAACTAGCAGACGATCAGCTGTTTCGAGCACGCGACATGCATGTGAGTTGACGTTCGATTGTCTAATTGTTGTGTTTACTGTTGTATTTTTCGTGATTTTTACATCAAAATCCAAAGAATCTACGACAGAGTTGTTGTTGACTGATGTGATGTGGGATATGACGTTTCGAACACCCGATGGCGCATAGCACCCGAGGCGAATATCCCACATCAAGGCAGCCAATAATAGTTAAGTGTTAACACTTGAACAACTTGAGAGAAAAAAATTGAGAAAACTATTCCACCATTAAAGCTGGGCCGCCGACAGCCAGCGTATGGCCCGTAGAGCTCCATTGCACGCACCACCGGCGTTGGCGGTGGAGCTGGCCCGCGTCCCGTCCGGTAATTGGCTTGGTGATGTGGAGACTGAACGGTTCGAACGTCTGGTCGGGCCGGGTGAGCTCTTTGATGTGGATGGCGTCACCCTGTGGTATGGCGAGCTGGCCGTGACAGTTAATGTCAAAGAGTCGTGAACATTCATCTGTTTAGAGGAGCAAAAATTAGGTATACAGTGTGTATAAAAAATGATACATTTAGAGAAAAAATATTCGAAATATATAGCTCTTATTTCCTATATATAGCTCCTATTTTCCTACACTGTAGTTGACATCCGCCATACTACCAAAACAATGAGACAGATAGGAGGCGGCTTTGTCGCCTGTCGCACACTTACCGCTTGTTCCGTTGAGACCGGTGACATAAAAAGTTTGTGCAGGCGACGACGGTAACTGACGGCACGGTTGCTTGGATGTCTCTGCGTCTCTGTAACCTGTCGTATAAGTTTATTCCAAATCATTCAATTTATACACGTATGGTTAATTGATTTACGAAAATCACGTCAAGTAAAAATCTGTTTCAACTTGTTCAAAAGAGATTTATTTTCTCAGTATCAATTTGGCCTTCGGGACTTAAACGTGACTATAAACACATCATGAAGTCATTCCACAAGGAAGAAGGCCACAAAATTAGCCTGTGATTGGTCGAAACATTACATGGGGCGGGGCTTAATGAAATGTATCCGGTTTGTTAGTGTGACGTCACTTCATTTTAAGCACGCCTACTACACATTAAGTAGCATTGGAACCATCCAATGGGCGCTTGTAATCAGTGGTGCGTGCGTGTGTACATGTACTACGACGAAGTCACTAACGAGCCGGAATTACTGATCTCTATATAAAGACTGGATAGCGGATATGCATACAACATTCACACAGTAGACTTTGCATATTGACCAATTCGCCCCCGGTCTCACGAAGATGGCCGCGTATAATACGAACGTTCTACGCGTAAATACGCGCGCGTTGTATGCCGGAATGTTGCTTTGCGCATTGGCGATGCTGTCTCATTGGCCGACTTCATTCACAAGTGCGCGTACGCGCAGAACGACGCGGTGCGCGTATCCGCGCGCACGTATATTTAAATGAGTTGACCCTGCGCCAGGGTCATAAGAACATCAACGCGATGGTCGTTTTCGGACTTTATATCCGGATCACAGATATCAAGCTACGTTCAGACTAGAAACACACTGCGCAAAGGTTTGCAAATTAGTTTGTGTTTACCGCTCCAGCTGCCGCTTCGCTGTCGAGGTCGGAAGGAGAGAATGCTATCCTCCGTGACCCTGTCCGTCAGGAGCGTCATCCGTTGAAGGTAATCGCTCGAAGACTAGAAAACAAGTGATCAAAACACAAAACAATAATGGTCATACTTCTGCTTTGACTATTCAAACTCTTCTAGCCTACCCCACCCCACCCCCAAAAAAGAAACTGGTTCTCTTTTTCTCCCTCTCACGAAAAATGAATCTATTATTGTCAGCATTATTTGTTAAAACCTGCCTATAGATTAAACACAAATTGGCATATCCAGCGGTCGTCTAAGAGGTAAGGACCCCCTTCTAATTTTGCCTGATTAGCCCCTTCCCCATGTCTTGACAAAATGTGGCTCTAGAATGGTGACTTGATTGCGATCGATTATGCTAAATTAGTTTGAAAGGTCAGCCGAGCCCTCCCTTTTGACTTCTGGACCCGCCCCTTACATAACTTACCTCCCTGTACTGTTTGTAGGGCGAGTCATTATTGTTAGCCTCACCGGCCTCACCCGCAGACCCATCGAAGACATCTTGCGCAGAGGTCGCCCCAACATCATCGCTTCTCCGGGATGAAAACTTGAAGGAGGCGGCAGCGAGGCTCGCCCCGTCCCTGACGGGGATGAAACGGTCGAAAGACCCGGCCCGAGCCCGTCTCTGCTGGTCATGGTGGTGGGCGCCTATCATCGCTGCTGATGTAGACAAGTCCGCCAAAAACGGGGGAAATCGACCACATCAGAACATGGCTCCTCGCATACAGGTCTGTAGCATGTGAAAATGATGTCAAAAATACATTCAAAAGATGTATACTCGTCCTTTTTTTACGAAAATGAGGCCAACAAACACACAGTGCCTGTGTGGCAAGCACGTGTACTCTTGACGTGACAAGCACAGTTTGCAAAAGCCCGATTCATGGTTTTGTTAATTTGGGGGCATTGAAATGCTAATGTATCATTGTTGGGAAGAATTTATCTCCAGGTGCAGCAGACTGGTAACCTTTAATAGCGCCCTCTGTTGACGGCCTGGCTATATTTCACTTTGATACCAAAGGAATGAAGCTCATTTTTCTAACTTATTGAAGAAAAATCATCTCTGTAAAATAGAGGAATAATAAATAGTACAGTCGATATAGCTGTTTTAGTTGAAAATGCAAAATATGACAGAGACTTAAGGCACAATGGTCTAATCTCTGGTATTAATGTAGTGCCGAATTGGTATAAATTTATCATGAATTATTTTCCTTTAAAGGGTCAGTGAAATACTTTTGCACTTTTTTCTACTCCTCTTAAAATGTATGAAAACTTTTTGACATCGTTTTTGTTTTGGTTAATTTTATTGAAAAGTGCACTTCTTTAAACATGTATACATTGTTCCATGTTTTTCTGGACCACTGAGGGCGATAGTAATGGGGTATCATTTCAGGAAGACACTGTTCAATTTAGGAGTTTTCTTTTCAAATAGTGCACCCAGAAATGTTCCCACTGTAAACATCGGTGAGAAAGTGTGCTCACGTTTACTGCCATGTACTGACACAACAACGAATCACCAAAGAAAACGCATTTTACGACGGCAAAATATCCAAAATTCTGGCAACTTTTGTTGCTAAAACAACTGTAACATTAAGGTTTATGACATTAACACAAAAACCAAAAGGGCACCAAAACACCCCTGAAAATGGCCAAATAAAATTGTTAATAAGGTAAAATGGGACACAAAGGTGCATTTCCAAGGATTGCTCTAAAAAAAATGACATTGCTTGGTGACTTTAACGTCACATAATCCTTCCAGTTCAATAGCTTTCCTGTCTAATTATTGTATTGTTTACAGATTATTACTGATATTAAACATCCTTGTTTTGGGGAGTTTCCCACTCATTGTCCCCGACTAAAATGTACTTTTACTGATCACCAATAGTTGTTTTTACTCCAAACATTGTGAATGTTCGACAGGAAGCGAGACCCAGTATTCTTCTCATACAGACTCGCCGACTGGTCATAAACTTCGCTATCTATAGTGTTCCTGAGTTTATCCTTGCCAAAACCTACAGAAGTAATCTGGTCGCAAAGTTCCGGGTTAGTCTTGGTGCCAAGTCTGAATTTAGATTATCTTCCCCTTGCATCATCTATATATAGCTGCTTGGCAACGCTTGCCGGAAAGAGACTAGGTATGGGAAGGAGTTGGGGAAAGTTTTATCCAAAATAATGTCTTGGACGAAGACTGTATGTACTGTAGGTACTTCCGGGTCTGCTTGGCTTATCCTAGACGTTGATACTGAATATTTTTGTCAGTAGCATGGTCCCAAATTTTCAGTTAAAGTTTTCAGCTACATTGTACGTTTGTTAAACATCTCATTAGAGTTTCATTAACCTTTTTGGACAAGATAGTGAAATTTAGTTAACTGAAATTTCGAGCTTAAATCAAAATAGGTATGTCACTATGTATTTTTGTTGTTGAGAAGATGACCCTTTCAGTAGAAAAGGTGCTGTCACGTGACTCATTCTGTGTGCATGTCACCGTCTTAAGAATTGTTCATCTATGACTTCATCTGCACGTTCGCTCTACACACAATAGTCTGGTGACATGTCAGGCAGAGGGTAATTAATACTTCATTTAAGACTTGGCACCAGGTGTTGCTTTTGACACATTGCTTGTTTAATGAGCCACTGACAGATGACATTGAGTGATTTGTCTCGTATTGCATTTTTCTCCTTGAAAATTAAGTGTGGAAACCCACTCAACTAGCAGAAATGACGAAGTAATTTAAAGGGAAGATACAACATTTGCAAACATCAGAAAACGAAATGATAAAATTATCACGAAATACCTTACTGGATTGTTAGGGAATGACAGTCTAAAGCATCCTGTAAAACTGTGGCTCCTGGTGTGCTGACATTTTCAAGAAAATTTGTATTTTCAAACACTCAGGTCGGCCGACCAGCGTTGGAGAAACCTGTTTTTTTTTCTCTTAAAAACAGCTCCTACTTTGTCATATTTAGTTATTTCGCATTATCTTTGCAACTGATTACACACCTGTGAAGGGGCACAATCCTGCGAGACTGATTCTCTGACCTTACAGTTCCCCAAAGTCTATAAATTGATCCGTTTCATCTTAATTGGTGCCAGTGAACCAGACTACAAGAACATGATTGGTTTTCTTGGTTTTTCTAGCATCTACTAGCCCAAAACGTGAAACAGGGCAGTTTAACGATATTTGCTATAACATACTAATCCTCGAAATTCATTTATTTCTGAAAATTGCAGCAAAAGCAAATGTTGTTAATTCCCTTTAATCACGCTTAGTTATTTCCAGTCTGTTCAATAAGTAGGCCTATAATGGACATGGTACAACTATTTACTTCTGTGATGAGTTGAGTCAGGATTTAGGGGAAATACGAAGGATGGTAGCATCCTGTGATTGTAACTTTGCGGTTTCCTGACCCCCTGACCTTGAGCAATTAGTAAAACACAACTTCATGGCCAAAAGAATTGTCTAGTACAACAAATCGTCGTCGGAGTTTTAAAAAAAACACAAAATGAATAAAGAAAAACAAAATTGAAAGAAAAATTGAAAGGAAAATAGATTTAGGCCAAATATGTCTGAAGTACTTCCTGATATGGAAATATTAATTATACTCAATCAACTACATTTACTTTTCATTTACTTCCACAAAGTTACATCGATTCTGTCTGATAGCCTGACTGCCTGTAAGTTTCGTCCTGCTTTCGTCATGTCAACGACGAAAATATCGAGCAGGGGACCAGTCTATGTCATGTGATATGTATTTATTCATTTGTTTTGTTTAGATACGGACTGTTTGTTAACCTCAAATCAGTTGATGAGTTTGATTTTGTTTTTGTTTTATCCTTTCGTGGCCATTTCGTGTCAGGGATTCACTCACGGTGAATCATATCTGATGCGGAAATGTTGTCTTCCGTACCGTCCACCTTCCGTACCGTAGTGGGTGGATGAGACCTCCAAACACAGCTGATAATGAGTGTACAGACCGCCTTCCTTTTTCTTATCTTTTTTACCTATTATAATTTTCTTTTAAAATAAATGTCACGATGTTGCAATATTTAATTCCTTGCCCTCCACACCGCACTGTATTGTGTCATCTTTTCAATTGCCTGAAGCCAAAAAAAGAAGAACCCAAATGGTGCCCCCTATTTTTTTTAAAAGAAGTTATGCATGTAGCGCTTTCCAGGTCTAGTATATGAAAGCCCGCCTAATAAGCTGTCTTTTAGTGAAAGAATCATTCAAATTGCTCATGTTTTTTTTTCCAGGTATGGAATTTTGAACACAAACACCGTTTTTTGACCCTGTCCACGGATCGCATTAAAGGTAAGTTATATGTCAGCAAAACGAAAACTATTCACATATCAAAAACACATCAGAACACTCTCATAACCATGATAACTGGCACTTACAATAACATTTATATCTAAAAACCTTCAATGTTAAAATAACATGTTTTACAATGTTAAAGTCTTGCCCTGCCTTCTACTTGGCTACCCGGAGACTTATGTGATTGTTTTGATATCATTTTCAGGATACGCCATGGTTTCATTTTTACTGAACTAATCATGTACGTTAAATGTGATCTGTGGACAAGGTTTAAAAAAACTCAAAAAGTACATGAGCGATTAGAATGACTCTTGTACTAAAAGAAAGCTTATTAATTGGGCTGTCATATCCTAGATCTGGAAAGCGCTACATGCAGAAATTCTTTTAAAAATAGGGGGCGCCATTTGGGTTTCCGGGTTTTTTTACTCACCCTGTATTGTGTCATCGTATAGTAAAGCGTCTGAGGCCATATATCATTTCACCGCATGACATTATAGTCAAATTTCTGGCACAAATTCCCCAGAATTTGTTTCACGGCGGCATCTCAAATTTCATCGCAGAGTTATGAGTCAAACTCATTTATTTCTTCCCGTACGGTTCTGTGATATATAACCGTGAGGTTAAAAAAGTGAAGTGGTAAGAAGTCGGGGGGAAAATGGACTTAAATTAAGAAGTATATTAAGAACATAATTGTTTTCAGAGTTTTAACTTAGCAGATACTGCCGCATGAAACTTTTTTTTTTCAAAATGGCGGCTAACTTGAGGCAACCAATAAGCGACTGACAGACTTTACACAGTGTACTGACGTCACACTACTTAAGGTCTCTGATTGGCTGCCAACTTGATAAACTAGTTCTCACTCCTCGACCGTGTAAAGATGAGGATCACTTTTGCGTTTGAGATCCCTGTTGTCCATCCCGAACGTGAAAGAGCAACATGACAATGGTTGTATGCTCTGACGCAATAGCGACGAAGAGGCCTAGAGTTTTGTGGTACAACATAGCATTGCTACTGCAAGTCTCAATGGATGTGGTCATGTGGAGCTTAGGCCGATCAGCCACTTCTAAGACTACGTAGAAACTCGTGCACGGACACACTACTGAACTCCAACTCCAATGAACCCTTGGCGGCCGTTGTGGGGCCGGATATTAGCATATACAGCCACTGGTGAGTGGTGTGGATGTTGTATGGGTTTACTACGGCCACTGCATTGTGTATCACGTACAGGAAAAAAAGACTTTTGTATTCACTCACTATCAGTGGGCCAAAGGCTGTTGCATTTCTGCTACGTTTTTCCGGTGGTGCGTGCAAGTTGGCAACGCTCTGTTAATCAGCTGGCACATATCGCACATAGACTTGAGCGCGTATCGCATACCAACCGCAGACTCCGTAGCGCGTGGACAACTGTAACTTTCTGTGAAGACTTGTGCCGTTGTGTTTGTATTCCCGGCTACTCCCTGAAGATTTGTGACAGTCATATTTTGTTTGCGGATACAATTTAATGACATTTGATCGCTGCACTTGTCGCGTGGGCAAGCAACATGATGGCGATATGCAGTAGCGTGTCCACACTGCTTACAGTACTGTTTCTTCTGACTAATCGTCACATCGGTAAGTGCCCAATCATTTCGATCAATTTCTCTTTGATGGATTTCGATTGATAATATTGATGTGGACTATATGTACAGAACTATAATGTTCGATTTGGTTGAAACTTGACATGTTCGTATAATGTGCTATTATAAGACATTTGAAGTGACGTCACTAATTGCTCATCACGTGCACAGAGTATTTCAAATATCGATCTATAAGGTCAAATTATTAAATTGTTAACATCTAAAACTGGTTCTAATTTCAAAGCTCTTTAATTTCAGGTTGGAAAATTATTTTGAAATGTAAATTATTTTCTTGATTTCAGGTGCTGAAGATATAACCGTGATTAACTCCACGCCATTGGTGTCCAACGGAGAAACCTTGTTGTCGTGCCTTGATGCGGCCGTCGCAGCTCCCCTCTCGCCGGCGCAGCTCACTCTCCTCGGGCTGACTGCCACCGGCCAAGAGACGCCACTGCCCGGCGGGGCCAGCGCGGCGGTCAACGGGGAGGGGGATCAGCTGGAAGCCCGCTGGGGCAGCGAACTCGGAGACAGCCGGCGTGGGGCGTTCTTCTGCGCCGGGTCCGACCGAGAAGACAAAGTGATTACCTTCAAGACGTACAAAGAAGGTGAGTCAAGGGAAGATGAGTGAAAATTTGAAGAAGAAAAATGTGTGGGGGGGGGGGGTTTGGGTTTTTTTTTATTTGGAAACTTACCTTGGAAAGTCGTAAAAACTAAATGAATGGCAGCATTGAAATAATGTTCTAATTATATACAATCGACGCATTTCAGTTGTGCACATCTATTCCAATCATATACTCTTCATAGAGAATCGCAATACTAATTTAGTTCACCATAAAAATAATTAAGTAAGAGAATTTGTCTTCGCTTTTGTCCGACATTAAAATGGGATGTTTAAGTTGTTGGGGACAAGGAAGGCCTCAAATTCCTCGTTGACTGAAAATATGTCATGATTGCATTTAACAATTTTACATTTGGATACAAAATAGTTTAAAAGGTTACTGTGACTACCAGATAAACTTGGGTGAGTTGTTTTGTTTGTTGAATGTTGCTTCAGACAATGTCCGGATGTGGCGTAGGGCCACTGTAGTACACGGGTTGTTTTCGAGTTACTGTGCCACACTTCCTGGTTAATTTCGGCTTGGAAGACTCCAAAGTTGACTGGATTTTTTTTGTATAAACGTTCCGGTACCTTTTTCACCCAGTGGCCTTGAGGTTTCCACAAAGTGCCCCTTATCTCCATCCAATACCGGAAGCGGAAACAAAAAAGGGGGAAATCTGGTAGAAATAGAACAGGAAAGCCGATAAGATACAAAACAAATTAGGACAGGCCTAAGTTATGGCAAGTTCCGGGTCCCCCCACACCCCTACCCCTCCCCCCCCCCAAAAAAAACCTACCCCCCCCAAAAAAAAAACCCACCTCCTTTCCTTGTACAAGTTTGGACAATCGCCAGGGCCACATTTCCTGCATAAGCCCCTCGCTAGTCCCCACTGACCCATCGCCTGGTCGCTAATCACTTTCACAGAAAATTGTAAAGGAAACGCAAGCTTTTAGGTTGACACCCCAGTTAATAGGCCAAAAATCCGTCCGCCGAACTCATGCATAAAAGTTATACACTCAAATGTTTCTATATTAGAGAGTTCTGAGAGCCATGGAATTGGGAAATTGAAGACATTATGGCACTGCATCTCTGGCCTGGACTTGGGGCTTCCACCTCCGAGCATTTCGGATGCAATTGGGTCCGAACTAAGTGGTGCTATTTAGCCATGTTGTGGAGGGATCCTTTTTTTTTTAATGGCTACTTTTCCTGTTTGGCCATTCGCTTTATGGTTGTCATCTTTGGGCGAGAATTTTTCGAAACGCCAATGTTCAACCCACCAAAAAATTGAAAGAAAATGAAAGATGACATGTTGGTCATCATTTTTCTGTGCAGCCTGAACACCTGTGAGAGTTTTGAGTATTTTAAAAAGAATGTTGAAGTATGGGGATTTGTCACCGGTGCCTACGGGAATTTGTATACTAGGGTGCATCCTTCGTACATGAGTGACATATTGTGCTGCCCGAATTGCGTGCTTCTAAACTAATAAAACGACCGCTGCCGAGTTGGACGTGTACACGGCGTTCTCATGCAATGCGGCGCTGAACAACACTTGGGAAGTTCAGACGTCTTGTCGAACTCGAAACGAAACACGGTGATATCGCCAAATGGAACAGACCGTCGGGAATTGCAGCTTCAAGGCCGAGGGTCAAGGGTGATCATAACTCAAGAGGGTAAAGACAACCAACCTGTTGAGTTTTACCTGTAAGTCAACCTATAGTTCCCAGTTTTGATCATCACTACTTTCGATTACAAGGTTGTAACGTTATTCGGGTATCGAATCTAAACCCTCAAATCGGTCACAACTGTTACATGCATTAAAATAAACAAACCCGGATTGGGACCTGTTCCATGAAAATGAAAGTACCCGCGTTCGACGAATATACAACCACCTGTGATATTCCCATAAGCGTATTCCTGATATATTATTCTTTCGATATGTCAGTGTCCTTTTTCCTGGTGAGAATCCAGGGAATAATTTTCTTCAAATTACACCGAAAGTTTTGACACTGCACCGTTGGTGCCATTCCAGGCCTGCTGTAGGAAACATAGGCTATACTTTAAATGACACTTAAGGGCTTTCGTAGGAATGTTTGATCCAAATATAAACCACTGTTTGACTGGCGGTTGGCGAAATACGCATTACATACAGGGTGAGTAAAAAAAAACGAAACCCAAATGTCGGGACCATTGTTTTAGTGAAGTTCTGCATGCAGCACTTTCAAAATCTAGGATATGAAAGCCCAATTCATAAGCGTTCTCTTAGTACAAGAATCATTCATGATGTACTTTTCATTTCAAGTTACGGAGATTTAAACATAACCACCGTTTTAAGGTTCTGTCCACGGATCACAAAAAAGTTCGGTGTTCTTTCAGCAAATCGAAAACGAATCACATAAGAATGTGTGTGAATTGTTTTCGTTTTGCTGAAAGAACACACACCTTTTTTTGTGATCCGTGGACAGAGCTTTAAAACGGTGGTTGTGTTTAAAACTCCGTAACTTGAAAAGTACATGAGTGATTTGAATGATTCTTGTAAAAGAAAGCTTATGAATTGGGCTTTCATATCCTAGATTTTGATAGTGCTGCATGCAGAACTTCACTAAAACAATGGTCCCGACATTTGGGTTTCGTTATTTTTACTCACCCAGCATACGTTATATTGCGTTTCTTGCTCGAGTTACATAAAAATGTCTGGTGTTCAGAGTCTCTTCACTTTACAAAGATAAGGAAGGGATAGCACGTCAGAAGTGTAGAACAGTAGAACAAGGAAACCGAATCGTGACATGCTCAATTTGTTTAGTATGTCGTGCACTGGTACGTGCACCATACGGAATATCGCTCTACCGTGAGCGGGCGAGAGATCACAGCCCGCCTGCCCCTTGCGCTTATCTCCCCGCGACACACGACCCTCGTTACAGGACCACGGCTATCAAATTACCAGCAATAGTTTCCCGGTATATCACGGTCACCTGTTTTGACAGCCCAGACAAACAACAAAATAATTCATCGTAACAAGGAAAAAACTTGGAATTCCAGAAACAGCTTTGGGAAGTGACTGTAAAACACTTTGACGATTCGAAGAAATTCTAAAAATCCCCTTTTTTATCTAACAAAGATTGCAACTTTCTGCAAAACATATGAACGTTCGATCATTCAAACAACAGACATCAAAATACATTGTCATCCTTTATTTCAGATACCGGAATATACCATGCTGCCACCATTTCAGTCATGTTTCCTGTATCCAATCACAGTACTGAATGGCAATGTTTTTTGTGCAAAAAGGAACCAGACTATTTTCCCTTCCAGCCTCGCTTTGGTCACGTTGATTTGAATGGCAACAAATCAAGATGGCTGCAACATGATAATGGTCTATATGGACAAACTTATACGGTTAAAACGCCACAGAAAAGACGTTCTGCTTTGTGTGTTTAGTTTCTATTTCAACAACAAATGGCAGGAATTTTATGTATTCAAAATAATAACCTATCCCTCTTTGACAGATAATTTACACAAACAAACTTGTTATGTTGGATTGCTAAGATTTACTAACCGATGTTTTCAAACAAACGAATTATTTAAATGTTGTTTCGAATTCCCACAGAATGGTCCCTTGTTACAGATTCGCGAGACACTTACACTTTTGAGGGGGAGGGGGCGTGTCCCCTAAAGCCATCATTGCTTGCCCACACACAACACAATATGCTTCAAGTATGACTAGATTCGAAAAAGGAAACTCAAACGAAACCAATTAAAGTTTGAGACACTGGGAGGAAGCACACATATGGCTCATATCGAAAGTAGAAATCGAAACAAAATAAGCCTTAAAACATTTTTCGAATATTGTCAACTGGGACAATAATATGCGGATAGACTTGATTCAAGTCGTAAATGAACTGCTTTGGTTTGTTGTCAACTGGCGTCATTCTTCACTTGAAGTCAATCAAGGCGCTCAGTGTTGGGCATTTTCTTTATAAGGTTTGGCAAAACGAGTAATATAAAGTCGCAAATCTTTGCAAGTTCAATTTAAAATGTTCAGCTCAATTAATTAATGTGCTGTTTTGAACTTGTAAAATGCAAATAAGTATAATATTAGTGAAAATGCGCAAGTATGAAAATGGTCTGTGGCAAAGAATTTCGTCCCGCCCACATGGTTTTAATTATCATGCTTGAGTATAGTGATATGGACTTACCCTGTGATGAATTTACCTGCCCTGGTGATGCGCATGCGCTCACGTTTTGATGCCATTTTACGCGCACATGTGAAGTTCGGTTGAGCCCAGTGATCGAGGGGAAAACGAGGAAGTATAAGAACGCCCTCGGGGTCATCGCCCGAGCACAATGTTCAATCTTTCATTGTCGCATGGCAACCACCATGTAGCTGATGTAACGAGATAAAACAATGTAGCACACGACTTCCTTATCGAAGTAAGTAGGGCGTGCATGCAGCAACAACATCCATTCCCCTACAAAACTTTCTTTTGGTTATCATTATTTTGGGGCGTTTTTTGTTTGTTTTGTTTGCACTTTCTAAAACTGGGTCGATCACGTAGAAGTGCCTGGAAATAACGCGGCTTGTTTCCGCACGATTGAGATAAACGCATTATTGATGTAGGCCGTACCTAGTCTGAGTATCACCCGGCGTCCAACGGAGGCCTCTCCGTATTCGTCTGATGTGAGCACTGTAACTTGTATGCGACCCGCGCGGGAGCCAATCGGAGTCGACTTTAGAAACTGTGACGCCATTCTGATCAGATATGTGGACTAAGCTGTTGAGTGGTTAATTTGGATGCCATGTTTTTTGTAATACAACAACGCGTTACAACCGAAGACCCGATATAGAAGGCGCCCGCTGAATGGTCAGAATCACGAGGTCAAAAGGCAGTCTTTCAAGCATAGTAAATGTCCGAAACTGCTCGCATATTATATAGGCAAATTAATGATAGGCCGTGTCCGAAACGGGCTTCCAGAGCTACGGCTACGTCTATTGTCAGCGCGTCCCCGCGTATTTTCAATGGGCGCAGACCTAGACCTAGCTCTAGACAGCTGATTCGGATGCAGCCTCAGTCTCTTATGTAGAACATCCCACATCATCACAGCTCATGCATATTCATAGATGATGATTCATACTGATTTTGGTGTCACTTTTTGAAAACAAGACATTTTGAATATTCATGACGCGTGCTTTTCCCGGAAACTTGTCAGGCCCCATAGGACCCGGATCTAGTATTAAATCTGACCCTCGAGTTTTTAGAGTGTAGTAGTAATAACTAAAATTTGTCTACAGCTCAGACTGAACACCTTCAACATCCTTTTGCTCTCATAGGTTTTCCTTTAAGGAAAAGACTGTAATTATTCTACTTTTCTCAATTTGTTTTCCAGCCCTGATCCAACCAGAGCGTTTGACGGTGACGGCAAGTCTTGGCGAGACCGCCCGCCTGACCATGGTCAACAAGGGACGGCGGCCGGCATCGGACACGGCCCGCTGGACGTTCAACGGGGCGGACGTCGATCCGGCCTCGCCCAACATCTCCTCCATTCCGCCCGGGGAGGAAATCTACGAGATCCCCAACGTCAGTCTGGCGGATGCGGGCATCTACGAGGCTTACCCGACCTCCAACCGGTCCCTGGGGGGTTTCGTTCGCCTCATCGTTAGAGGTGAGTTTCAAGGAAGATTTGATTCACGGTTTACTTAACTTAGAGACTTTTTACCACTTGTTTTGTGCAATATACTGTGGTTTATTATAACACAAGCTGGTTTACCCGATCATAGATCGGGTAGGGCGTAGTGTTGGGGATGAAAATGTGGGGAGTTAAATGTAAATGGGGGATATAGTTGGTGAGACATGCAGTTAAAGAATATCAATTTCTGTTGTGTGATCTGAGGCAATTTCTGATCACTAAAACCAATTTGAGCAAAAGATCATCTGTGAAAGTTTTGAGTTTTGAGTAATTGAATCAGCTACATGTATTCTGAGCAATAGAATCATTATTGTAGGCTACAATATTTTTATTCGGGGAAGAAAAAGTGTGTGTGTGGGGGGGGGGAGACCAAACAATGTCCCCCCTCAAAATGTGGGGGTGTGTGTGTGAGGGGGGGGGGGTCCCCTGTCCCCCGTCGATTTACGCACATGATAATTATGTACCATGGCAACTGTCTGTAAATGTTGCCGTTGGTCTGTTAAATTGGCTTTTTGTGAGGCAGTCGCATTTGGAAAACGAAGATCATCTTTTAAACATCAGTTTCGAGTTTGGTGTCATTGAATCAGCTATTCTGAGTAATGGAATCATTATACATGTAGTAGCTACAATTTTTATTCGGGGAAGAAAAGTGGGGGGGGACCAAAAAAGTCTCCACCACTTTAAAATGGGGGGGGGGGTGGAGGGGTTCCCCGTCCCCCACCGATTGACGCCCATGATAATTATGTACCATGGCAACAGTCTGTAAATGTTCCCTTTGGTCTGTTAAATTGGCATTTTGTGAGGCAGTGGCATTTGTGAGAAAACGTACTTGAAAGGCTTGCCGTAGTACACAGGCGAAGGCTGATTAAGAAGGTCATAATTAAGTTTCAGTATATTGGACTCTTCAACAAACGTAAACTTGAACGTCTTACAATTTGCGAGACTGTCTGCGAGGAACTTGTCGAGTCAACTGTTATTCAACTTGGGTCAACCATCTATATAAGAGCAAATTTTACTCGGCCTCCGAGAAATGTTTGCTCCTGAAACGATCTGAGACCGCGGTCTTTCGCGACGCCAAAATCGCTCCACGTCCGTGGAAAAATGTGGAGGGTGTCTTCCGCCGGATCGGACACATTTTCGTTGATTTTTTGTGTGACTGCGTTTAAGATCGCGATGTTTGAAGCAATGCATCGATCCTTCGTTGATCCCAGACAGGCCCCCGAAATTATAACGCAACACTGTGGCGGGCAGCGAACTCACAACGCTCAGCCTTGGTGGAAGCATGGAGCTGTATTAACACACGATGGAAGCAACAGAGCACTATACACGTCACTCACATGCTTGTGCTTCAAATCATGCAAATAGCGAGCACCGTAGACCCAACCTCGTTTCCAGGGTGTGGAGCAGGCTGCAGTACGCGTTGCCATCGACAGTTTTGCATAGCCCGGATATACTACGCAGTGTAGACTTTCGATTGGTCAGACCGCGCAAGGCATACTTAATGTGTAGTCCTTCTGAGTATTCGTTGCACTCGGCGCAGGGGCGGCAAGCGAAGCATATGAAAGAATAGGGGCACTCGGTGGCCACGCACCATGGAGAAAAAATATTTTACCAAGGTCACGCCATATCACAATTTGGTGAACGCTTTGGCAGTACGGCTGAGTAGAACACGTAAACGAAACCCCTACGTTGACCTCGCTGACCTCGCACAGTCTAGACTCGCAGAAAAGCCAGCACAGGGGGCGGCCAGGCAGTCAACGTGAAAGCGCACACGACGGAAAATTCCTGTGCAAAATGCTGTCACGAAAAATAGACGAAAAGGATCGCCGGTCCGTACGGGAAAATCAGGACGACCCGAAGTGTCCGACCCGGCGGAAGACACCCTCCGTATTTTTCCACGGACGTGGAGCGATTTTGGCGCCGCGGGAGCCCGCGGTCTCGGATCCTTTCATGAGCAAACATCGTCTCGGAGGCCGAGTTAAACTCTCTCTTATATATATAGATATTCCTTTGTCTTGTGGGCCAGTAGAAGTATCTGAATATTTTGATGCCAGACTTACCACACTGAACCAATTCAACTGATTACATCATTACATGCACTCGCAGAGCTGCTTATGTGCTGCCACCAAGCGACCGATCCCGAATGAGTCCCTTTGCCCGACGGCCATTTTGGTTTGACTTCATCATTGACGTTGAATGTGCCATATTGGTTATAAGCGGTGTGATATTGGGAGTGCAGTTAAAATAAGTATCTACTCGTTGTAGCCGAATAGAAATATGACCTTTGTTTCCCTGTATTATTTCTTTCTTGTTCATAAAATGCTCATAAAAAAGGGCTTCTGAATTGTTGGCATAGATCAGAGGAAACAACAAGTTTATATAGTTTGGATTGAGTACGAGCTGATGCATCTTTACCCCGTGTGCTTTTACCATAGAGTTACACGTCACCGATAACTTATTGAACCTTGAGTTGAATGGATTCTAGCAAGGATTTTCATTGATGCTTATCCTATCATGAAGCCTTCGACCAACCTTCGTTGGTGCACAGACACAGCCCCACGTTTTACCAAGGAAATAGGAAACGTCTGCCCATTTGACCGGCCATATTTTGTCTTACCATGGGACAAAGTTTTACTTGTTCAAGGACTACAGATCATCAGACGCCGAGTCTGTAGCTGGTAGATTACCAGGGACCTGGACGCGCCCAAAAGCCGGTATGGGCCTTTGCGTGTTGCCACGTGTCGCGCAACTTGGCGGATATACCTTTATCATGCTGCCACCATTTCAGTCATGTTCCCAGTATCCAAGAACAGTACTGAATGATAATGTTTTTTGGGCAAAAAGGGACCAGACTATTTTTCCTTCCAGCCTCGCTTTGGTTTCGTTGATTTGAATGTGAATTTGGCCGCAACATGATAATGGTCTATTGTGATTGGTTTTGCAATGGGACGGTTTCAAGGCTGCTAATTACAAAAGCATTGCCGTCTTGCAAATTAATAACCGACCCAGGAGGCCCCGCCCACTGCACACGTGGGCCCGGCATCAACATGACGTGCACTCACAACTCACAGTGCCACACTGCTTGCATTGTGTTCAATCCGCGCGTGTCGTACGCGCGCGTGCACGCGTGTCGGGCATTATACTCACGGCTGTGATTGGTCAAAACACATTGGGCGGAGCTTTAATCTGCTAATTAGGCATAAGATTTACCTGAGAGCCAGTCGCAAGCAGAATGCATGCGCCACAATAACTTATGTGCTTGTACTAATTTTGCGCTTGCCAGTTCCATAAATGCAAGATCATCATAACGTATAAGATAGTAAGTTAATGTGTAACTTTTAAAGACAAAGTTGCCATAAAACAAAAAGCCAACGTATCTTAAAATACATCATAGTATCTGCTGTAATGATTTTATCATTATTAATGATCTGCTGTATCTGCATTTAAGATACGTTTGCCCTGTCTATACACGCATTGCTATAGGCAGTAGTTTATTATTAGTATAGGTTCATGGTATCAGGCCAAGGTATTTTGCTGGCAGTGATCCGACAAGCATAACGCATAACATGTTTCTTCAATTAACTACCAGCCATAGTACAAACGACCTCGGCTAAAGTTTGTTTTTAACTCGGGTGGCTATTGGGTCGCAAATATACACAAAAACCGGAAGTGAAGGGCAACATGGGAGTCAAGGCTCATTTTTTCTTACACCCAAAACAAGTACATAGTATCGGTCCATTGAATGCGGTTCTATTTGTAGCCCCGAGGACTAGCAGTAACAATGGAGAGTTGTAAGTAAATGATGGCAACTTCCTGTTATTGGCACGCTAGCCATACCCTGTTTTTGTTTTTGTTATGATCATTTGAGTGAACCCTGGGCAGCATATACCGTGCAAGGGCAAGATGGCGCGCCGTGTACGTGCCCATCATTTCCCTCTACGCTACGCGTCGAAACTTTGGAAGTCGGTTGGGCAGCCTGCTTGTAAACAAGTTTGAGTCAAAACAAAAGCTCCCCGCCCCAGGGAATTGGAAAGTAAATGACTGTTCGAAAATGGCCCACAATAACACCAGTTCCAAGTTTCTTCCGTTTGTACTCGGCGCAGCATGGTACTTTGTTCGCAAACCGCAATTTTGTTCTTGTGTTGTTTACTGGAAGAGTAACCTGCCGAAAGTTACATTATGCTATAATGTAATGATTGTGTTATCATTACAGCAAATATGTTGCCATTTATGAAACGTTGGCTTTTCTTTGTCTTACAGACAAGAAAGAGCCATGCATGGTGCTTAGCCTAAAAAAGTGGTCACCAACGAAAGTACACCACTGATACTTCAAATTGGCTGATACTGCGTGACAGTCTTTAATCGATATTTCTGACGTTTATGACACCTCCTGGCGTTACAACGTTTTTGCGACTGTGGCTCTCTCAAACACTTTCAGTTTTCGGTTGACTTTGTGTAAACATGAACGGGATTTCGCGGTTGATATTCATCAAGGAAATACCACCGCCGTAATCAAAAGCTCCAGGATATTTTGTTCACATCTCGAGCAATAATATTGATTTAATAATGTCCTAAAAATATCTAAAGCAAGTAAAAAGCGGATCAAAATATTATTGTGGTGATGGGATGGCTAACAGCCCCCCCCCCCCCAAATACACACACCCACCCACACCCACACTCGTTTGTTTAGGGTTTATTTGTATATCGAGGATTTTCTTTTGTTCCTCTTCCCTTCTCCTCTGTAACTTTTTCGCAACAGCTCTCGTTGGATTTGTACACGCTTTCCAACCAAAGAGTCCTCGATTTGGTTTCTGAACTCGATTCATCGATGATGTTGCATGTGTATGTCCTCGATTTACACCATAAACAAACGCACACAGTCGTGAATATCTATTCGCCCGAGGACAATGGTCTGTGTGATTTCCTTTGTCCCTGTAATATAACACTCTCCCATACACAAAGGACATAACCGTACGATCGAGGACCGTTTTCAACAAAAGACCCAACGCTCGAGGACGGACAAGATATTTTGTTCTCTGTAAAGTCATGTGCACATACACACCATTGCTTGTTCAGTAGTTGTGGGGACTACACACGAGTTTGTCCTGTAGTACTAGGGGGACTGAAGACGATGTGGGGACAGCAGAAAGTCCCCATAACTCAGTCCTAATTTGCCTAACAATGAAAACTTCCCCGTCGCGACACATCGTCGCGACGGCCCGCCCACACCCCCACCCCAAACTGACCAAGGTTAATAATTGTATATATATGGGAAAAAAACGTAAGTTCCTCGAATAACATAATCACTCAATATTGCTCAAGTTATTGACTCGTCACTATAGGTCTAGGCCTTTTATATTGTTATGACTGCAATGCCTCACCGACCCGTACCCCAAGCCCCGAACCAACACTAGTTCCCCCCATTTGGAAAATCCGGTATCCACCTCCATTATGTAATTTTCATGTACTACTCTAAAACAATGACTTTTGTTTCAATTTTGACTGATATGATTTTCTTTGAATAACTTTCCTCTTCGGCAGCGTGTCAAGAAGGCAAGTATGGTAGCGACTGCCAGCAGAATTGCCTGCCGTGTCAGCACGGCGGGGTTTGCCACGACCGGACCGGTGCTTGCATCTGCCCTCCGGGATTCATGGGCGACCAGTGTGAAATCGGTGAGAAACTTTGAGGAATTTCGAAACATTTCATTTACCCAAAAGGACGTTTGTGCCTGAAGCATCTCCTTTTCCTCCTTATGTTTAAATAAAACCTATATCAAGACGAGGTCATTTATGTAATTGGAACATCCAGGTATTAGGTGCATCACTTTTCGGTGCCGTCTACTCATTGAGGGCGCTATACGCTGGTATTTCACTGGTCCCCAAGGGTGCAACCCTGCAATAAGATTCCCATAGACACTAGTGCTGAATGCGCATACTTCAAAATTCTTTTAAAAATACTCAGAACTCTCACAGGTATTCAAGCTGCACAGAAAAATGATGATCAATGTGTCATCTTCATTTTCTTTTCATTTTTTGGTGGGTTGACCATTGACTTTTGAGATATTCCCACCCAAAGAAGACGACCCCTATTTTCCCCAAAGCGGAAAAGTAGCCATCTTGAAAAAAAGGATCCCTCCACAACATGGCTAAATAGCGCCACTTTCGGACCCAATTGCATCCGAAATGCTCGGAGGTGGAAGCCCCAAGTCAAGGCCAGAGGTGCAGTGCCATGTCTTCAATTTCCTAATTCCACGGCTCTCAGAACTCTCTAATATACAATAATTTGAGTGTGTAACTTTTATTCATGAGCTCGGCGGACGGATTTTTCGCCCATGTAATGGGTTACACCCCTAATTTCTTTCTTTGTCTTTGACTCGATATTGTTTGACCGGTGACCCTGGGTCACCACTGACGCATGCGCACGACATGTTCGCACGGCATGTCGGTCATCATGGCGGGATCACCCACAATGCCTTGCACGGCACATCCATTCGATTGAAACTTCCTGAAAGCATTTGAATTTGACTTTCATTTCTATAAGTATTCATCCAGGTGTTATTCTTAAAGACAAGGAAATAATAACATTGGAGGAAAATGACAAAGAAAACAACTCACAGAATGATAAACAAGACGAAACCAAACTTTCAGATCGCGACTGATCACCAAAGAGAGAAAACAAAGTTACTGACAAGGGGTTCTAACAAATAAATGAATCATATTTCTTCAAAAGCATTTTCCGATTTGTAATCATGAAATGATTTCTCAACCACTTTTTTTTTTTTTTGAAACAGCTTGCGGTGGCAACAAGTTTGGTCCGACCTGTCAACGGCAATGCAAAGCAGACAGTTGTCAACACATGCACTTCACCCTATCCGACCCCTACGGCAGCTCCTGCGCAACGGGCTGGAGCGGCCTGGCGTGCGATCTGCGTAAGTATAGCTGCTCTTTCGTTTGCACCGCCTTTTGTCTTTTTAACAACTCTTGTATTGATCAATTTGTCCTCTGTTCACATAACACTAAAATCGTCTTTTACTGACAAGTGGCAATGATTAATAACAACGTTTTCAAAATGTTCATCAAAAGGGTTAAATCTCTAAAAAAAAAAAAAAAAAAAAAAAAGTAAAGCAACGCAGAAAAAAGTCAGAATCGGCAGAGATATTTCATTTTGTAACAAAATTATGGCACAAGCTTTGGATGCCATGGACAATTATTATTATTATTTTTGAAATCACCAGCTAATCCATAATCAGTATCGGTAATACTAGAAACTATTAAAATAATCGATGACAGATTAAAATTATATGGAACAGGTCAAACATTAATAATGCAAACAGGAAAATGTTTTTAAAAAAAATTAGAAAAAAAAATCTTCAAATTCTCCCAATTATAAAAATAAATGTGGCTTCAGGGAAACGTGGCCAAAAAAAAAACAATTTGAAACGAGACAAGAAAACACAAGTATGACATGAATTTGTGTTTCTATGTTTTGAACACCGTACCAGGCGACGCCAATGCCAGAAACATCCAGGCAGTTCCTGACAATTTCGGGAAATTTGGATTCGTTCCAAAACAAATAAATTTTTTTTCCGATTTGAAACCTGAAACGGGTTGAGCATCGCATGTGTACTGCATGTAGGCCCCCGTTTTCCAGAAATTACGAGTGTCGGGGGAAAAGAGCAATTCTAGTTAACTGCAAGCATTTTTTCGGCTTTTTGAGATTTTTCCCATTATTTTATTAAAGAGAGAACAATTCAACCGAAACGTTTGTCTGGCAGAAAAATAGAAAGGTCTAGGCCTAGGTTTAACATCTGACTAAATAAAAGCTAAACATTTTAGGTTGGCTTATTGGTAGTGGTGGAAGTAATTATGGTGGGTAGTGTAACCTAGTGGTTAGGGTTCGTGACTCATGATCTGAGGGTCAGGGGTTCGAATCCAGCTGCTGGTCATAATGTTGTGTCCCGAAGTTGGCGAGCCACTTCACCCCTACTGGCCTCTCTCCACCCAGGAGTATAAATGGGTACCGGCATTAGCTGGGGAGTAACCTGCGATGGACTGGCATCCCATCCAGGGGGAGTAGAAATATTCTCAGTCGTTTCATGCCACTGAAACCAGAGATAAACGCCGGCCTGATTGGCCACATTGGCTCGTGACAGGCTTTACTTACTACTTTACTATTGGTAGTGACCATGGGGAAAAAACATATGTTGTTCGCTATTAAGTTTATTTAAAAAGATCAACTGGTTTTGAATAAATAAGATTTGAAAATGTGCATGGGGGTAGTGTATACTAGTGAGGTTTGCGGTAACACCGTGTAGAATAATCTCTTTTGAGAAGAGGTGTGGTTCTGAAAGGAACCAGTTGGATGTGAAACTCGACGTTCCGATCAGTATGCTCTGATCGTTGAAGAGATCGTCTTCATTGATGGTTTGAATAATTGAAAATACGCAAATAAAAGTCACCCCTTTAAGCACAACAGCATTGGCCTATAAACTAACCCTTGACTAATATCATTGCAGTGCTACTATTATCGGACAAACTTATAGGATGAGAAAAAAATCCATCATGAGCAAGTTGTAAACACTTTGATTTCAGGAGTGCGAAGGAAGAGGCGAAGGGAAACGATTGTAGTAAACAAACAAAAAACAATGTTCATTTGATATCGTCCGGGGCTTTTTCCTCTGTTATCTTGTAAACAAGGTCGAAAGGAAATAACAACTAGAGCTGATGATGGTTTATATAAGTCGTGACAAGCATTGTGTGTATTTTCTGGGCACAACATGGATTCTAAGTGTGTACAAGCTATAATGTGTACTTCATTATACACCAAGCCATGTTGTGTCCACAAGACGACAAAATGCGCTGATGCTTGTGTTCTTTGGCAAGACACTTTACTACAATTGCCTCTCTCCACCCAAGAGTATAAATGGGTACCTGTGAAGGTAGAGACCAAACTGCACTGATGCTTGTGTTCTTTGGCAAGACACTTTACTACAATTGCCTCTCTCCACCCAAGAGTATAAATGGGTACCTGTGAAGGTAGAGACCAGATTGCACTGATGCTTGTGTTCTTGGGCAAGACACTTTACCACAATTGCCTCTCTCCGCCCAGGAGTATAAATGGGTACCTGTGAAGGTAGAGACCAGGATGCGCTGATCTCGAGTTGCTACAAAAACTGGTCTCACGGCCTAATGAACAGGGGTAATAATGGTGAGGCGCTTTGAAACCTTTGGTATATTAAAGCGCTATATAAGCCCCACATTATTGCATTATTATCATTCGACACAGCAACAATTTGGTGGACGTGACTCAAGTCACTTTGTAGTTTCGGCTTCGGTGTAATTGGATATGGAGCACAGTCATATTGTTGGCGACAAGCCAACACCAGTTTTCAAATTAAACCAGAAGTATTCTCAACGTTTCGACACATATTACCTATGCTCATCGTCATGAACTAAAATGAAGGGGAGTCATCACAAGGCTTCATTTTCCCCTCCCCCCAATCGTAATGCCCCGCCCCTACATGTATACGAACCTTGGTTCCTTTTTGGCGGTACGTGAAGGACAGTGGTGCTGTGCAGTCATTGAATTGTGTATCGTCCGGTGTTTCATCATCGAACCAGGATTTCCCTTGTGTGTGTGGTTTCAAACTTTTCTGCGAAATAAATATGGTCCGGTCCAATAACCTAAAAAGCCATTCAATGTCCTCTCCGAACTCTGTGCATTCTCGAAACATTCAGTTTATTTCCTAAAGAAATCATGTTTTTGAAGGTCAAAAATCGTTACTTTGTAATACCTTTAGTATTAATTTGATAAAAAAGTACTTCAATTGGGGAAAGGAAACCGTCACAGTGTTGAAGTTAAGTGATATGCAAATTATTCTCTGACTTTTCTAAAACTAGATTGATTGGTTGTCTCCTGCCAAAATAACTGCGCAATAACCATTGAGCACAGGTAACCACGCCCCTCCTAATAGTTACACTTCTTATGCCCATTATATTTTGTGGTGATTTTTTGTTCCTTGGAAAATGGATAATACATTTTAAACAAGTACACTCTTAAAATGTGTTCTTTTGGATGAGAAAAGTGAATCAGCCTAGTTCAGAACAACTTTGTCATGGTGCTACGTGATTTGACCGCTGTGAGTGACAATGCAGAAATGTAGTCTTGCAGCAATGTCACGGCCGTTCCTTGAAGTTGTGTCCGGTAGTAGCATGACAAAGGCTAATATTTCTGTGACAGATTCTACCAAAAAATACAAAGTCCATCAGAATTGTTTTAGTGTAATATTCGGGCGTTCTCTTACTGAACTCGCTATCAACTTCCGTCTCGAAACCAAATTGTGTCTGGAATTATAGCTTCAAGTCGAGCCCAGAGATGATCCTTGAACTAACTCTGTGCCCTTTTGCGTGCCTGGAAGACTTTTCAACGTCAACATAAGTCAGTCAGGGGCTATCTGTTATCGGCCTTATCTCGAACAGACCACAGCTACTACCAGGAAACACGACCGGACAAAAGTAGTTCCTGGTTCGATGTGTGCAGGCACAATGGGAACTTGCTTCGGGTAGCTCAATGCTGCTGAACCGGCAGATGTCTCTTTTTGTGTGCTGTGGCAGGAGCCAATCTACAGTCATCGGTCGGTCGCCGAAAAATGTATAATTGACCAAAATTATTTTACAAAAATTGAGCAAAATAATATGCCATGCCGTCATCAGAGTGGTTAATGCGCTCTAAACATTGTTCGTAACAATTCGTTAAGTTGATCATGAAAATTTTGTAAATGGAGGCAAGATATGTGCAGTATTGTAATAGTCACGTGGTATTTTCTGTAGTTGTTGGACGATATCCCCGGTAGGAAATGAAAATTGACGAAAAGTATGGTGTTCTGTAATGTGCCATCGGCGTCTTTTTCGCAAGAGCTTATTATTGCGCACTCGCACTTGTTTCCCCCTAGCTTGTTCTAGAAATCCTTTGGAATCGAGATCAACGCTTATTTATTTCTCCATGATTGTACTTTGTAGTCACATTCTTAACGGATCGTACAAACAAAATCGAGTGGGGTCCACAATACCAATCTATAATACCGACTTGAAATCAAGTCTACCGATTCAACTGCACGTACAGTGGAACTCTTGGTGGCGCCATTTCTCACAGGCGGGCAACACAAAAAGCATGCAACATACACTCTCTGACTCAGTCATGTCAGTCATGACACTGGCTGGTCAACAAGGAGGCCTCATTATTTAACATGTTTAAATTCCTTCATGATTAGGCCTTGCAATAAAAGGTCATCGTGTAGTTTAGGACACCTCTATTGTTGGGGAAAAAATGTAGCAACCGGACGCCACTTTTGCGATTGTGTACAAAGTCTATGGAGAGTTAGCTTGAACAACTAGAGAGGAGAACTTCAGCTAGGAATTCACCTGTAAATTTCTGTGTTTATAGCTCCATCATGTCCATGGTGATGGTACGACTCACTACGAGCATGGAGCTATGTAGCCCCATAAATGTGGCCTATTTACTGGACTGCCTCCGTAAACATAGGCCACACATCCACATGTACAAAAAATGTGTCGACTTTGCCAAATTTTGATTTTCACATTTAGGCTTACTTTGTAGATTTTTTTTGCTTTAGAAGCATTCTCACCCTCTATAAAGGCTAATCAGAAAGTGCTGCCTTTTTCAGATGTTTAATTTTTGTGAAATTTCATGTTGAAATTTTGATACGCAAACGTGTGCAAATGTATCTGGAAATTTCACGAAAAATGAACATCTGAAAAAGGCAGCACTTTCTGATTAGCCTTTATAGAGGGTGAGAATGCTTTTAAAGCAAAAAAATCGTAAAAAGTAAGCCTAAATGTGAAAATCAAAATTTGGCAAAGTCGACACGTTTTTTGTACATGTGGATGTGTGGCCTATGTTTACGGAGGCAGTCCAGTAAATAGGCCACATTTATGGGGCTAGGAGCTATGTTTTATAGCTCCATGGTATGAGCATGCTAGCTGCGGCCCTAACATTAGTAACAAGATTGGAAATGTTTCTCAGTCCCAGATTCATCATAACACATTTTTTTTGCAAAGAATAACCTTCATTGAGATAACTATGAAGAAAAAAGTGGCATCAGGTTGCGACATTGGAAAAAATGTTGCAACCTGGCGCTGGCGCCACTTTCAAAACAAAAAAAAGACATTTTTTCTTGCTTATCTTGTTGTAGGCCTACCTCCGAGTATACCATCACGTGAGAATGTAAGGAATATGTTCACAAAGTCTTAGGAGAGATTTGTAGGCAAATGTGTGGCCGAATTAGTGAATGTTTACATGTCACTGCATGTTTCCGCCTTCGTTTATCACGTGTCAGTTGAGGGCGTCAACATGCAGTGAAATGTAAAAATCCACTTATTTGGCCACATATTCGCCTACAAATCTCTCGTAAAGACTTCATCACCATATTTCTTACAGTTCTCACATGAAAGTATACTCTCTGAGGTACAAGATAAGCAAAAAAAAATGTCTTTTTTCTGTTTCTAAAGTGGTGTCAGGTTGCAAATTTCTTTTCTGCATTATTTTCCCCTCTTTTCATTCTCTTTGGAAGCATGGGAACGGGGGGGGGGGGGGGGGGGGGGGGGGGAGATTCCCATATCTGGCCATCACTTGTCACCTGTGCACAAACCATATGAGACTGGTCTGAATTTTTTTTGCATGTTGCCTGAGGGTGATAGCTTCAACCCACCTGGGTTGAGGTCAAGTGAAAAATATTCCCGCGCCTCGTTCCGTTCTTGTCAAAATAATCCAGGCGTCAACTGGTTAAAGTGAATGTGCATCATTGGCTTTTGCTGTAATTTTCAGAAGTGAACTATTTGAGGGGTTAGTATAATAGATCAAATATTGTTACACTGACATGTTTGAAGTTTTGTGTTCGAAAATGCTTGAAAAACCAAGAAAAGCAAAAACGTTTAAGTAGTCTGGTTCCCTGACTCCACTAAAGATCAAATGGATCAATTTATAGATGTCGGAAAATTGTAAGGTAAGGGAAGCAGTCTAGCTGGCCTGCAGCCGTTCATGAACATGTAACCAAAAGCAAACAAAATTTGGACTGAAAAAAATTGCAAATTTGGAGCAGTAGTTGAAAAATAGTTTGGTTTTTCCAACGGTGGTCGGCCGACCACCGTTGGAAATGAATACAAAAATACCATTTTCTTGATAATGACTCAACACCAGGTGCCATGATTTTACAGGATGCTTTAGACTGTCATTTACCAACATCCTAGTAAGGTATTTCGTAAAAACTTGGTAGTTTTATTTTTCGATGTTTGCAAATGTTGTTTATTCCCTTTAAGGTGGTTAGGGTCAAAGTATAAATTTTGTGAGTTTAGGATTCATTCTCTCGTCTCATTCGTTTTCATAAATTTCTCCAACATGCCTGATTTTTCCATTCATTGTTGCAGCCTGTGCAGATGGATTGTATGGAGCAGGCTGTAGGGAAGTCTGCACCTGTCCGCTCGGTATCCCGTGTGACCAATTTACCGGTGAATGCCAGTGCCCACCTGCGAAAATGGGACCCACGTGTGAAGACGACAGTAAGTACATTAACAACCATTTCAGATTGGTCTTCCAGACTAGCCAAACTGCCTCTATCTCTTACAAAATCGCGCTTGATCTCGAAAGATATTCAATCTCCGTGATCATTAATGTGAACATCAAACCAAAAATTTAAATTAGATAAACAAAAACAATTCAGGGTTTGAATCATTAAGGGTTTGAAACGCTACTAGTCACTGTAAAACTTTCACCTGAACATTTGCCTGTTTTGAAACCTGCACATTCACTTTGGGTCAACTAACGTCACTTCTAAACTAGGCAAAATCTTTAAAATTCCACACACAGACTCTTTCAAGAGGACGTAGGAGAAACAGATACTCAGCTGTATCGAAAAGGAAACGTAAGGCGAAGTAAAAAAAAAAACATGTTTAGCGTCCCCGCCCGCTTCCTTTTTAGAGGCCGCCTCCTTTTTTTATTTATTATTTTTTTTTTAAAAGACAAAAATTGATAAATTTTTACGATCTCTGACGAAAGAAATCGTATTTTTAGACTTTTATACCGTGTATAAAGCTGTGGAAATAGTCAATGAGTCCAAGTGGCGGCCATTTTGAAAAAAGCTGGTAACCATCTTGAAAAATAGCCCGGCCGCGTTGTCTTGAAAAATGTGTTGGGCGGCCATTTTGAAAAGGAAAAAAAAAAAAAAAAGGGCCTCCTCCTTCCTTTTTGTCAAAGAGGCAGGACGCTAAACATGTTTTTTTTTTATTTTGCCTAATCATTGCATGATACTTGTGAGCCTAAGGCCAAAAAAAAAAAATAGTTGGTCTCTGGTCAGACCAAAGTTCCGAAAATGACGCGGCGACGCAGCTTTTTTTTTTTTCTTCAAGCTTGGATTGTACAGACAAGGTGGGGTACTATTTTGCTTTTTTGGTGTCCTCTTGTACATTGGTGTCCTCCATAATTTGCCTTGGTGCTCTCGATCATTTGCCTTGGTTCAATTTCCCATTCCTTGGTGCTCTTTGGTAAAAAAAAATGAGGAGGTGCGGTAATAGAGGGCGCTGTTGGAGCTACCGCGGAACATTTTGGGGAAAAAAAAGATTGACGCGCATGATTAAAATCGACGCACGCGCTGACCAGAGACCGACTTAATTTTTTTTTGGCCTAATACTTGAACAGCGTAACATCTTCAACTTCTGCAACATCTTCTGTTTCCCTTTTATTCTCTCTTTATTTTACAGAATACTTCTTTTTGGCCAACGTGACTACGGTGACATTGGGCAGTGGTATCCGAGTCGCTCTGGTCTGCGGCTGTCAATCGTCAGTCACCGACTGTCCAGCCATCTTTATTGAGGTATGCATTTTCTATAAGAGGTTTTTTTTCTGATCCTTGACTCCATCGCTGAGTTTGGCCTCCAGAGATCCTAGGCCAGTGACCAGAAGACCAGGCCTCCAAATAGTTTCATGTTTTGCGTAGGGGAACATCAAGTCCAAAGGGCTTAAGGACCTAAACAAAAGTGTTGGCGAGTTATCTTGCAGTTCCTTTAAGATCTAGGGTAAAGAAAGCCTGAAAACACCTTTGAAATCTCCACCGTTTTCTTTTTTTCTTTCAAGAGTGTTGAGCCAAGTGCCCTGCCGCCCAAGTCCGACAAGGCCATAGATTTCCCGGACAGAAATCAGAACAGGCTGCTCTTCACCCCTTACTCGATCAGCGGCCCCTGGGTCTTCAAGTGTACGTTGGGAATCAGCCCCGCTCCAGTTTTCGAGTATTTCGTCAACATCACTGCAATCGGTATGTTCCGGGTACCTCATGCCTCTTGGATTTTATGGTGGTATTAGGGTCCAGGAATTTGCTCTTTAAGTTGCTGACAAAGAGGGGCCCTCTGTTTAAGGGAGTCAGGTTGGCGTAGCGGTACTTTCCTCGCCTTCCACCGCTGTGACCCGGGTTCGAATCCACCTGGGCCAATATGTGGATTGGGTTTTCAGTCCCTACCTAATTCCGTGGGCTTTCCCCAGAATATTCTTCTGGGGTTTTCATCCCAACTCTAAAACTGTAATTTCTTCTCATTGTCTTCTTTCCACAGGTTTCTTCAGGCTTGCGAGCTACAGTGCCTAGGGCGCTTTTGAGGACTCCTTGGTTTCATTGCCAGAAATAAATAATTATAAATATCATAGTAGATTACAATCGTTGTTGCTTTAATGCCGTAACTGAGTTTATTTGGCTAGCTGATCCCGAAAAGCTAAGTGGTTGGTTGGTGAGAATCGCAATGAATCGCCTTTGTAAATTGAAAAAAGCTATACTTGTCTTGCTCTTTATCCTGCAGAGAACTTGCCCTTGGTTTCCGTGGATGACGTGGGAGTCAACATTGGTGCGACGGCCACCTTCCAATGCGATGTGGGCAACGTCAACCCCAATGACGTCACCGTGCGTCTGTTCCCTAACGCCAACCCGACCTCCACCAAGGCCCCCGGGACACATTACCCGTCGGGAACCGGTGCCGTGTTTTTGTTCTACATCGACGACACAACGCTGGACATGGCGGGTGACTATACGTGCCGGGCTAGCGGGGCCGGTGGAGTGGCTACCGGCCAAGCTCAGCTGCAGGTTAAACGTGAGTGTCGCGCCGAGTTGATAGTGCAGTATTAAACGTCCTTCCACTTACATGAACACTGGTCTAACATTGCCAATGTTAAATTACGTTTCCTCTCTTTGTTGCCCACTTCAGAGCAACCTCGGCCAAGCCTGTCACCAGAGGTGACGGCCGTGACCTGTCACACCGCCACCATCCGAATCAACGCTGGCTCTTTCACGGGCGACGGACCAATCGTTAGGTATTCCTTGGAGTACAAGCGATCGGACGAGTCTGCCTGGACTCCCAGAGACGAGGAAAGCGTTCCAAGCGACGACATCGTGATCCTATCCGGACTGAGGGGCCAAACCAGTTACAACGTCAGAGTGGTGCTGGTCAGGCCAGGTGAGGGGTCTTCTACAAGTGGGCGAGGAAGTCCCGGAGATCCCACATCTTTTTTCACAGACCATGACGGTAAGATTTAAAGATCTTTAACTCTAACCCCTTCAGTGATTTTCTAGGAACCTTCTTCACTCTCGCAAACTCCAACACCATATGGGGAACTCAACACCCAAACTGTTGGACTCTGATTATGGTGGTATGCCTGACCCCATGAGAAGCATAATCAGTTTACTAGTGCAGTACTCACTCCAACAGATTCCAACAAAACATGTAGTTGGATTTTGAAGGGTTGGGGTGGTTAGGGCTAATGCCCCCCAAAAAAAACAGAAAAGAAAAAAATATTTTACAGAAGGAAAAACCCAGAATTCTTTTAGCAATATCCTTCATTGCATCATTTACATTTATTTATTGTCAGTCTTTTAATTATCATTTCTGAGGATGTTACATGGTTCGTTGGTTTTTATATGAAATATGCATATTCATGAGCGAAACAGTGATGTCATCATAGGAAGTAGCAAGTCTTACACTATTTCAAATCCTGACGAGATTGACACTTGATAAAACCATAAAGTGTAACTGCTTGATGTTTCTAAAGTCACCTTTTAAAGGGAATGTACATCATTGGCTTTTGCTGTAATTTTCAGAAATGAACTATTTGAGGGGTTACTATAATAGATCAAATATTGTTACACTGACATGTTTGCAGTTTTGTGTTCGAAAATGCTGGAAAAACCAAGAAAAACACAAATGGTGGAGAAGTCTAGTTCCTTGACTCCACTAAAGATAAAATGTATCAATTTATAGATGCCGGAAAATTGTAAGGTAATGGAACTAGTCTAGCTGGCCTGCATCCGTTCATGAACATGTAACCAATAGCAAACAAAATTTAGACTGAAAAAAATGGTGAACTTGGGGCAGAAGTTGAAAAATAGTTAGGTTTTTCCAACGGTGGTCGGCCGACCACCGTTGGAAATTTATACAAAAATACCATTTTCTTGAAAATGACTTCACACCAGGTGCCACAATTTTACAGGATGCTTTAGACTGTCATTTACCAACATCCTTGTAAGGTATTTCGTAAAAACTTGGTAGTTTTATTTTTCGATATTTGCAAATGTTGTATATTCCCTTTAATAATGAAGTAGGTCACGTTTTTCAAGAAATCATAAAAGTTGTTTGGGCTTTGTTCCCCTGTCTTCCACAGCCCCCAGCGCCCGTCCTTCTATCACGGTTTCTACTGAAGATGACGTCTCGACAGTACTTCGAGTTTCCTGGAGTGTGAGTTAATACTTTGTATAATGCTGAACATTTATCAGAAGTTTTTTGCTTGCATCGAGCAAAATTTGATCCTCACCGCCCGAGAGAACTTCTTAAAAAAGACAAGGAATTGTACTCGGGAGGGATGTGAGCTAGAAATCTTTAAAAGGAATATATACAATCAAAACTAAATCTAAAATCAAAACTACCAAATGATTAGGAAATACCTTACTGGACTGTTAGTGAATGACAGTCTAAAGCATTTTGTAAAATCATGGCACCTGGTGTGCTGTCATTTTCAAGAAAAGTGGTAGTTTTGTATCAATTTTCAACTGGCTTTTTTCAAATACTGCCCCCAGTTGACCATATTTAGTTATTCCGCATTTTGTTTGCAATCAATTACATACCTATGGATGGGAACAAGCCAGATAAACTGGTTCCCTGACCTTACAATTCCTCGACGTCTATAAATTGCTCTGTTTCATCTTAAGTGGGGTCAGGGAACCAGACTTTAAAAATATGATTGTTTTTCGTGGTTTTTCCAGCATCTATGAGTACGAACACAAAACTTCCAACAACATAGACTAACCCCCAAAATCCATCCATTTCCGAAAATTACAGCAAAAGCAAATATTGCATATTCCCTTTAAGATTCTGCCCCAACAGGCCGATTCGCTAAACCTTGCTGAGGTTTTGGCCAATCACAGCTGTGATTCAAGTCCAGCATGCGTGCCCAAATGTCCGAAATACGTGCACTCGTAAATGACGTGCGCATCTAGAGCGTGCATTGCGTTATTGGAGAGACCAGACGTGTGCAGTTCGCGACGCCTAACGGAACGGTCTGCTGATGCTCTCGTTTTCAACGTTTTCCCCCCTTAGGCATCTATACCACCGACAGATGAAATAGACAGCGCCCTCATTGAGTACACAATCCGGGGAGAGGACAACACCCAGCAGTTGCCGGTCAACGACCTGTCGGAGTCTAGCGCCCTCTTGGAAGGACTCCGGCCATTCACCGTCTACTCAGTCCGCATGCAGTTCGTCAACTGCCAAGGCGGGGGCCGGTTCAGTGCACGAAGAACAGTAACGACTAACGAGGGAGGTGAGTCAAGGAACTAGACATGCCTATCTGCTGTCAACTTTTGTCATCCACATATAGGGGCCGTTCGTTATAGCTCACCCGGATCGACTCGGGTAAAGGCAGACGAGTTAGCCACGACAGCCGGGCTAGTCAAATACTCAACCGCGGGCCGTGCACAATCCTCACGTAAGGCCCGTAGCAACAACCGTCATGGCCAAAACCACGGACAAAAACGCCCGTTTCGTATTGGGTTTTAATTTGAGAATTAACAGCTTTTCAGTCAGTTGCGAAACTCAAAAAGCTGGCTGGATTACAGCAACGGGTCGCAATGAACTCAATAAACGATTACTTTTAGACTTCAAATAAAGTTATTCTTTCAAGTCCACTTGAGATTTCCGCCGTCCGGCCGCCATATTTAGCAGTTTCGTGGAATGAACAACGCATGCGTGTCGTATTTCCACCACTGACTCTGCTGCACGAGCAGGGTCTGTGGTGGCTGACCCGGCTGAGCCCCAAGAATGTCGTCAGAGCTAATCGAACGGCACGGGGATGACCCGTGTCGACCCAGGTGAGCTTAACGAACGCACCCTGCGAGTCTGCAAAGTACCGGCGGTTGCGGCAAGCACAAGCCAAAACGTAAAAGTGAAGCATTCCAGCAAATTGAGACGGTATAGACCATAATCATGTTGCGGGCATCTCAATTTTTGCCCATTCAAATCAACATAACCAAAGCGAGGCCAGAAGGAAAAAATAGTCTGGTTCCTTTTTGCACAGAAAACAGTATTATTCAATACTGTTTTTGGATACGGGGAACACGACTAAAATGGTGGCTGCATGATAAAGGTCTATTGGGCAGAGGTCGAAAAGGAGGGTTAGCAGGTATTAGGCAAATGAATAACTTTCTCTTTAGAATACCGTTTGTTGCTCTTCAATCGGGCATTCCGTTGCCAAGTTATGGCTGTTTAGAATTTGCATTTATCATCATTGTCATCATGAAAGTAAAATACTTAAAGCTACAGTCCATCATTTGTAATTTGTGCATTTTGTTCGTTTGAAGCAACAAGAGAGTTCAAAATCTAATGAAGGATACTGAGCAACTAACTTGATGAAGTTTCAGCTAAGCTTCAGCTGTACATTCCGAGAAAAACAACATTCTTAGATCTCAATTTCAAGTCAAAAGTTACTGAATCATGTTTTGAATTGTTTTGAATTGCAGTTATACGCGATGTCGCACACTGATCCGACAAATTACAACAACCGCGCGCGCATGTGCGTCGTTCCAATACTTGTGCGCGCTGCGCTGAATAACAAAACGAACTACTAATTTAAATTTTCCTACGGTGCTTCTTAAGAATCACCGTTGGAAATGCCTTCTTTCGTTGATTACTTCAAAATGACAGCTTCCCAGAAAGAATAACTTCACAGGGAGTTTAGTTCCCTTACTATCTTTCAACCAAGTTTGTTTTTCAACAATAATTACGCCAGTTACTTTTCGGATGGCTGCAAATGATGGACTCTAGCTTTAAAAAAAGGCCTTTAACCTTTTGACTGTTTTTTTTTTATTGAAAAATGCCAATTGTTTTTCCTTAAAAACACATTTCAAATTTTCATACCATTTTTCCCCAATATCTATTAATTGAAAAATCGAAAAATACCACCCCCTTCAATTTGTTTTCATTTTTCTCCACTACGGCCTGTGCCCAGTTCCATCTTTTTTTCCAGAACGTCTCACAGATGTTAAAATTTTCTCTCCGTGTCCGTGTAGCCCCAAGCAAAGTCTCCAATTTGATAGTGGAAGTCCGGTCCCATGACAGTATCGCGGTAGACTGGGGCACCCCCGCCGAAGCCAACGGCGTTATCAGGTACTACGAGGTCAGCTCCTTGGAGTTCATCAGTAGTTCCCAAGAGAACGAGCCCACGGTGACCCGGGTCCATCCGCCAGACACCGAGTTGGTCCTGGATGGCCTGAGGCCATACACTACCTACATCATCGAGGTGGTTGCAGTAACGGTGACAAAGGGGGAAGTGGAGTCCAGAACCGTTCAGACTTTAGAAGACAGTAAGTGTTTCTTGAAGGGCACACAGGTTGAGTAAAAAAAACATGAAACCCAAATGTCGGGACTATTGTTATATTGAAGTTCTACATGTAGCACTTTCAAAATCTAGGATATGAAAGCCCAATTCATAAGCTTTCTTTTAGTACAAGAACCATGCAAATCACTCATGTACTTTTCAAGTTACGGAATTTTAAACACAACCATCGTTTTAAGGTTCTGTCCACGGATCACCAAAAAGGTGTGTGTTCTCTCAGCAAAACGAAAACAATTCACACACATCCCTATGTGATTTGTTTTCGTTTTGCTTAAAGAACACTGAACTTTTTTTGCTATCCCTGGACAGAACCTTAAAACGGCGGCTGTGTTTAAAACTCCGTAACTTGAAAAGCACATGAGTGATTTGAATGATTCTTGTACTAAACGAAAGCTTATGAATTGGGCTTTCATATCCTAGACTTTAAATATGCTACATGCAGAACTTCCCTAAAACAATGGTCCAACATTTGGGTTTTTTTTTTTTTTACTCTTTATAGGATCATTTATTTTTGTCAGAAGAAGCCGGTCCAATTATTATCCAAAAAGCTCACTTGAAGAATCAAAGATCGTACTGGTGCAAACCACCTCGTGAAAGTAGTCTGTCTTGGATTGCTGCTATTTAGAAGAAAACAAGAAATGTTGGTGATTTCCTACAATTGCAATTGACTTTGTCGTTTACAGTATCCACGTGGAACCCATTTTGTTCAGTACGACAGATTTAACATAAATTTCCGTTTTTGCCCGCTCAAGAACCCTCCGGCCCGCCCACATCGCCCCAGTCGGGACGCGTCATGGCCACCAGCATCGAGTTCATCTGGGAACCGCCCGTGGCCGATCAACGCAACGGCGTAATCGTCCAGTACGAGTACATCTGCGTCAGCCCAGACGGCACGGACCGTTCTCAGCACGGCAACTCTACGGACACGCGGGTGGTGGTCAGCGGGCTGCAACGCAAGGTGCTGTATGAGTTCCGCGTGCGGGCCTACACGGCGGTCGGCCCCGGTCCATACTGCCCTGAATTTCGGGAGCAGACGCTTGAAGCAGGTAACGGAGATAAGAGAACTTTTGACCAGTGTTTAGCTTTCATTCATTTTGCTTCAACAGCAAACAGTTGTTAGAAACCCGAGTCCCACTAACAGCGGGACTCAGGATTTTTCTAAATTTGGATTTTTAGGGGCCACTGGACAAGAAATCTCCAAGAGAATGTTATATAATTTATACATGTAATTGAAAGTTTAAAAAAAACTTTGATGGTGTCTCTTTGTGTGAAATATCTGACTCCTCTACAATGAGTCAATGTCTCATAAAATATGTCGCTCCGCAATTAACAGGGTCTTTGTCACTGTGAATTTTCCTGAACTATAGATGTGATCGTGACCACCAAACCGCCCCGCACTACCAAGCCAAAAGCAATTATACCAGGACAGTCCGCTGAAGGTAAGTATTTTCCTGAAACAAACCTCATTAAATAACCCTAACCCTCCCCGAACCTTCAAAGTCCTTCATGGGTTTTTGGAGGATTTTGTAGGACTTCAAAGGATTTTGAAGGATTGAGGATGCTGGCGCCCTGCCTTGTGCACTTTTACGTGGCACTTTCATGGTCACCATCAAAATTTACCCTAACCTGAACCTTCAAAGTACTCCATGGGTTTTGCAGGATTTTGTAGGACTTTGAAAGATTTTCATTGATTGAGGCTGACTTGGTTTGGGATTGGAATCATTTGCCCTTGAGCATTAAACTGATGTCTTGCTGTGATGACTGATAGCCAGGCAAATGATTCCAACCCCAACTGCAGCCCTGTTTACAGCATGAAGGATTTTACACAGCTTACTTAACACAGCACTGAAAGTGAATAAGGCAAGGAACTTGGTCACAGTGTCCAAAATGTTGTTGTGATCAATTGACCATTGTGCAGTGATGCGTGACTGAAATTAAATGAAACTCGTAGGGGTTGAGGCCAAGGCTTAAGAGTATCTGCACCACCAAAAAAATTCAAAGTTGTTTACATCTACTCGCCAGCTGGACACTCCATTGTTTAGCTAGAGGGTTGTTTAAAAAAACATGAAGTGAACTTGTTGAACAAAATCAGGTTTTTTGACCGAAAAGTTTAGATTTTTTGGACCCAAAAGGTATTTATGAATGGGATTCGGCTCGGTCGATTATCAGCAACCAGACTCCAAGCGGTCTAAAACAGAGTGATTAGAACCTCCCCGAGCACACATTTATTCCCTTATTTGTGCCCATGTTCCTTCTGTAGATGGTACGGGGCCCGTGGCTGGTGGTTTGGATGGGGCAGGCCTAGCCATGATTATCGCCGCGGTCGTTGTAGGCATGGTCCTAGTAGCTGCCCTGGCGGTGGCCGTCTACACGTCGTACTTCAAGAATAAGAGACGTAACGTAGACTTGGACACCAACGACCCCAATTTCATCATGCGATTCAGCGACGTAAGTTCCCCCCCCCAAAAAAAAAATTCCCAAACTGAATTTTTGCTTCGAGTCAAATGTGGAAGTTCCCCTACCGAACTAGTCTGCTATAATAGCATTCCAATAGCACTGCAACAGCATGTGAATCATGTGATCAACTCCCCGTAATCACGTGAGTATAGCCCTCACGACTAGGCGCATACACGTACATGCACTAAACCTATGGCGCAATAAAGCCTATGGCACTTGGCTAACCAATCGCGTACATATGCAACTCACAGAGCTCCTAAGCTCCGCCCAGTCACTAACACACAGTGATTAAGCATTAGCGCTATGGTATGACATCAATTAAACTGGCTCTAAGCTCACACATTTTCCGTCACAATATACATTTCACGTATACGTTTTATGTCGGGAAAAAGTACAATGCTTATGCATGTATATATGAGATACTATGGTATACATACGTAATATTCTTACAATCCCATGCAAATCTGGTTCAAAAATTGTTAAGCCTGTCCTTTCTGCAAAGTTACACTCAGAAATTTACACACTTATTATCCTGATAGCAATTTTGTATATAAAAGAATTTTGTATATAAAGAATTAGGTCAGTTGCCTGAATTTAGAATTTCATTTGTTGATGTCTTTAAACCAAGTGATACCTGAAGATTTTCATGAGCCCGTTGACCGGTTCTGTGACTACTAATTCATGTGCAGTTGTGTATTTACATGTACTTGCATGGGGAAAACACGGATTCCCATCATGCATCGACACAATGCGCTTGCCATCTGCACTGAAATGCCAAATTCCAGGTGTGGCACAAAGGTAAATATCACCTGCATCATCACAACACAGCCCACGAGGATCACTACAACTTTGAGTAAACAGTTTGTTGCCATGTAAGTCAACAGCCATCAGCAAATCCCCATTGCCGTTGGTGTAAATAAGTCGCTTGTTGCTGATGGTCAAATGCCTATCAATCTTTGGAGCAGGCAGTGTTCTGATGAGGGAACCATCTGGGTTGTGTAGAGATATCTGTTCCTTGTCCTTGTAACCCACTGCTATCAGATTGCTGCTGTCCACTGCCAGGCACATCGGCGTTGCGTCCACGCCGGCCTCTTTACCCGGTAGGAACTGATGAAGGAGCTGGTATTCCTTGGTGAAGATCTTGACTGCAGGATTGTCTAGGATCAGAAGTTGATCATCCTTGTTGATGGCTAGAGCTGTTGGTTTCTGTATGTCATTAGGGTCATGGGGTTCATTTGGTTTGTGGTAAGGTTTGTAAGTCTTTGTAGAAATCACCTTCCCCTCTGGATCCAATGTACGCAGTTCATTATAGTGTGCCATAACCAATTCACTTGTGGAGTATGCTGCAAGATCTTTGGGATTGTAAATAGTTGGTAAAAAGGTCTCATCCCTCTCCCATTTCTCCTCCAAGAGCAGAGTCCCAAGCTGACCAATCTCTTCACTCTCCTTAAAGCCAAGGAATGACTTCCCATGCTTGATATCCAAACTCTTATGCACCTCCACCTGCTCATTCAAATCCCGCAGCATTTGCTTCTTGGACTCCAGGATCTCATAGCACGTTGCTGTAGTCATCACTGCATTCACTTTACTCACAGTCTGCTGTGGTGTTGCTGCACATGCAAACTCTCTATCTCGTTTAATGACAATGTCCCTGGCCTCTTTTTTGAGTTGTTTTTCTTTCTCTCTGATTTTGGCAATTTCCTTTTCTGCTTTCAGTGTGATTTGAGAGTCAGTTTTTGCCAGCATCTTGTCAAGTCTGTAACGTATCTGATCTACTGAAACGGGGTTGGCAGAAATGAATTCTTTAATGTACTCTTCTGTTTTAGACACGGATTCATGTACTTCTTGTTTACATCTGCTGACCGCCTGGTCGATGCTGATGTGAGAATGCATGGATTCTTTGTGATCACTGTTTGTGCATTTACGGCATATGAGGACTTCACATGAGTTACAATACAAACAGAGATCTTGATCTGGATGCTTGAAACACTTGGGAACTTTCTTGAGTTCAGTGTCCTCTGTTATTTCTTCGGACTCAACAGGTAGCTCTGTCAAGTCTACAATCTTGTGAGCCCTCAGTGATGCCAATCGATTGTGTGCCTTCAGGCATTCTTGACAGAGATAATGCTTGCAATCCATGCATCGAGAAATAGCTTCATTCTCCTCATCACATGCCTGACACGTGACTTTTAACCCCTGACCTTCAGTCTGTTCCTGCTGATTCTTTGATCCTCCAGGTAGCATGTCCACGCCAGCCTCAGTCAGGGCAGTTTCCCTTCGACACAACGGACAGACAATATTCTTGTCGTCCTTATTTTGTGTCCGTTTCAGTTCTTGCAGACATTTCAGGCAGAAGTTGTGTGAGCAATCTAGCATCCTAGGATCCTTGTACTCCGTGCAACAGATAGGACATTCTTGAAGTTCCTTCTGAGTCTCATCCAAGACTAGATCGGTCACACCTCCTTCTGCCATCTTGCTCAGTTGTACTCTCCTGGAAAAACGATGAAAAAACGTTTACGTTAATGCATTGCGGTAACTTGTACTGAGATCGTTTTCAGTGAGTCAAGTAACAGTTTACATACATGAAAATGTACCAACTTACGTCCGTTTTATGCAGATCAAACCAACAACATGCTTGTACTGCACATAATACAAAGATTAGGAATCAACGGACAGCCAATTTCTTCTTGCGTACATTGGGGTCCAAAAGCCAATTAGTTTATTTCCATAGCTGCTATTTATTACATTTCTGCTGTATGTACTAGATGCATCATCATCGTCCACTTACCTACAATGTACAGTAGTTGTTTTAATTTCATAGGTAGAGCTTGGACGGCTTTTCCTGTATGCACTCTGTCAGCCGAATCAGCCACACCATAGGTGTATTACAGCACTACTGTCCACAGATAGTTCAATACTGAACTCAATAGTGCCTGATACCACAGTCAAGTACAC